CCGAACTCATAGATTTTTGCATGACCATTCTGCTGGATGTTTTCATGATATAAACGTGCCACGCTTACATCCTCTAGTGACAGAATAGGTGGGGACAGAGTTCAGCCTCCATTAAGATTCATGTAATTTGTACAACAACTTCTTGATAGACGTAAAAATGGTATATGCCTGCACATTCAAAGACAAATGTTATTATGATGATTAACCAGTGATCCAAGGATATTATTCACGGAGGTAAGTTAGGCGAAAGCTTCTTAAATTCCCTCAGCGACCACTTGAGCACATCAATTAGTGCGCAAGGCGTGTTGATAAACACCTACGGATTTCTTGTAACCCAAGGGAAGTTTTTGCCCAGCCTCTACGCCGGGCCACATGCCAAGGTGAACCAGCAAGAAATTAACTTCACTCCGAAACCCTTCCAGGAATAACTTCATTAAAGTAGAACCTTCCTTCAGAGGATGCGCTCGATTCTGCAGCTAACAAACACTTTGCCAGCCTTTAGTTTTCCGGGTGACGTCCTGCAAAAACTTTATGGGTAAGATTGGGCTAGCGAACCTGCACTTCTAGAAAACGTAAGATTTCCTCTTGCAACCTCTAGAGGTTCCACCCTCTTGCCAAACGTCAACACTTGATCAAATTTCCATAAAACATCCGCAGTTCACCTAATTTTTTCAAGTGAATGTGAGTAGAGTGCGAGGTAACAGTATACGTGGGACTGATTTCAGTCGACCGGGGCAAACTATGGGACTGAGTAGCTTGCGGTGATACAAGAGTTTAAAAATGGGGAAGTTAAAAGATAAAAATTTTGTGGGCCTGTTAGAAGTGGGGGAGTTCACCCAAAACTTTGTTTCAGGGAGAACTATAAAAACCCGAGTCCGCCCAAATTACTGGTCGTCTGAGGCGTTTGTATCGCACTGCTTTTAGGACGCCTGTAAAATCCGCAGGAGCACTGACAAATATTACTGAAGCTTACGAGGCGCACTGATATCAGCACTGAGGATACTATCTATATTTAGTTAATATCTGTCGGCATATGGTAGCGAATCAGTGTTGATTGCATTTCTGTGGTTTTGTCATGTCTGAAATCATAACACTGAAAATTCTGTCTGACCATGGTACCTGGCTGTGCTGCTTGGTTTCGATTCTTATTCTGCAATCTGTAAGCCTTACAGAGTTTCTTGCAAATAATGCGTAGCTGGTTTTCAGACGTTTGAGGGTTGATTTACATACTGCCGCATGCAGTCACACTAATGAATATCTCAAACATTTGCACTTTGACCTCGGGAGGCAAAAGCCTCTGACAAGCCTATATGACTCTCATTAATCAACATCCACCATAATGGTGCCTTCGTGTTCGCTGAACCTTCTTATTTTACTGTGAGTGTTTCGTCAGGAGGTTTGCATAAAATTTCGGCACTCGCTTTACATCCGCTGTACCTTCTAGTGGAACCGCAAACTATTGTCGTCATCAAACGACTTCAAGAGAAGGACAAAATCAACCCGGAACCTCACACACGAGTACATCGGTTCAAGTTGCCGCACCCTGCTGTAGCACACAAAGAACAGGGGAATAGAAAAGGTGATATCAAAATTGAACTAGCTGCATGAGAGTAAAAACGATTTGAAGACAACGGTCAGTATAAACATTTGAGGTTTAAAAGACGTCAAGTGGATGATACATCTTCGTCATTGTGGCCGATTCTCAGCCATGTCCCCATGGGGTCTCAACCCCAGATTCCTATTGTCTCCACACACGGCTCAGGTAGGGGGTCACAGACTGCGTCGACTGGTGCGATGTCCTGGCCTTGCCACCTTGAGCCATCCTCCGATCTAACTGAGATTTTCCTGGTATTCCACGTTGAGATAGGCAGCTGCTCAGCATACTCAGTTCGTGTTCAAGCTGTCTCAGTCTACTAACACTCACAACCTCAAAAACCAGCTTACCTGTCTTGGCCAGTGTGCATCGCCTGACCTTGACGTTGCTAACACGGTAATTTTAGAGTGCTAGGCTTGAATACTAGGTCAAGAACCCGCAAACCGACAGCTGCTTGACGTGTGCTAAGATCCTACATGTGAGTGGCAAAGTCTAGGGATTTGAAACGAAACTTGTCACAGTTATTTGGGTTATGCAGCTTTATACTAAAGCATACTCTAATATGAACTTCTTGAGCATGACTTTACACTTCTCGGGAAATGCAGACACAATAATGGCGCAAAATGGGAGTATAGCTTGGGAGGATCGTACGAGAAAAAATAACTCTGTCAGATCGAAGTACATTTCACTGTTCTTTTTCTCACTCCCCACTTGCCCTACTCTAGGCACGACCTTTTAATTAACACTTAAAATCTGCTTACGGGTGCTTACAGAAGCAGGAATCGCAAAAGGTTAGCTGATCTTTTGCGCCGCCTAAATAAACCGAGGTCCAGTTTGCGGGGAAATATCTTCAGTAGGCGCTCATCCAGAGCAAGAAGCAGGCTTGGTCCAAGCGGCGTACATCAAGCAGGGAGTCTGACTTATTGAACTACAAAAGGATTCGCAACCGCTGTAACATTAGAGAGCGTAGCAACAGATTTTCCCATCAAAATACTTGGTGGAGAGGTCACAAAGCAATCCCAAAAACTTGTACCGCTTCTAGTCGGGAAGAAAGTCCACCAGTGAGGGAGTGAATCTTGCCACAGGTCATGATGGGGGTATACTAGGCAGTCTAGAGATTGCCGAGCTTTTGAGCTCGCACTTTCAGGCCCAGCTAAGCACCGACGCAAGATCCACACTGACTCGCTACGACACCGACCAGGTCGTAAATAACGAGTACTTCTGTCACATCTCGATCACAGAGAAAAAAGTGTTCGAGAAACTATCTAGGCTATGTCCAGGCAAGTCCCCTGGCTGCGACAACTTAAGGCCGGCGGTTCTAAAAGAGTGCTCCGAGGCGCTTGCAAAACCACTCTGCAACCTCTTTGAGCACTCACTGCAGTCGTGCAGACTCCCTAAAGAATGGAAGAGCTCCATCTTGTCACCCATCTTCAAGAGAGGAGACAGAAGAAGCCCTGGCAGCTACAGGCCAATTGCTCTACTCCCTTTTGTGTCGGAAGTGTTGGAAAGCCTGGTAGCTAACACCATCTGAGAATTCCTCAATAGGGAAGGCACTGTCCATACTGCTCAGCATGGCTTTCGGAGTGGTCGCTTATGTGCCACCAACTTACCAACCGCCTGGGACGGTTGGACACAAGGCTGGGATATCAGGAAATCGGTACATGTTATATTTCTCTACCCAGCCAAAGCATTTGACAGTGTCCCACCCACAGTCCTACTTCACAAGATCATGTCAACTGGTATAAGTGGACCCCTACTCTCTTGGTTAAAGGAGTACCTGGAAGGGAGGCAGTTCTGTACCGAAGTAAACAGAATAATGTCGGAGTGGAGACCCTCGACGTCAGGAGTATCTCAGGGGGCACTCCTAGGACCACTTCTGTTCCTCCTGTTTGTCGATGATCTGCTAGATAAAATATCCTCACCCATCCTCCTCTTCGCTGACGACATAAAAATTTGGAGGGTGGTAAAAGAAACTGATTGTACAGCACTACAGAAAGACTTGCGGCAACTCGAGTTCTGGTCGTCGGAGAATGGCCTGAGCCTCTACTCAGTGAAGTGCAAAGTAATGCACATCAGTAAAAATGAAGCAAGTACGACAGACTTCCAGTACATGTTGAGCAACCGTGCTATCACCAGAGTGTCCATGGAGAAAGATTTTGGGGCTCAACTTCTCCGACACCTTGAACACCAGCTCCAACTACAAAGGTATGACAACCAGAGCGAACGCCATTCTACACTTTCTGCTTAGACAGCTTGGCGCCCCCACTTGCGAACTCTTCCTCACCATTTTCAAATCAAACGTGCGGCCACACCTAGAGGTCTTTAATGCAATGGTTCCTCCAACACTCAAGAGAGACTCTAATCTCCTTGAAAAATACAAAGAACTGCAACAAAATGTGTTGTGGGGCTAAGGGGAAAGACGTATCCTGAGAGACTTCCACACCTAGACCTACTTACTTGGGTTATCGTAGGAAGGGGGGTGACCTTATTATGGCATACAAGATCGCCCAGCAGGCAGACCATGCAAACAAATCAATTTTGCCAGCAACTACACGATCTTCACGAGGAAACCCCATTAAGATAGCACACCAGACAGCCAACACCATACTCACATCCAAATTTTTCTCCTCAAGAGTACGTGCTTTATGGAATGCCTTACCGCGACACATCGTTATAGCTACCTCAGGTGACTCATTCAAGAGGCGATTAGACAGTTATGTCACCTCGCTTGGTCTACCACGGATGCACTCAGGTAGTCACCAACCTCAGTAGCCTTCAACTTCCTCCTAAATGCCACTCACTATCTCCCTCCTTAATACACCCGCATCGCCAACTAATTCGTCTGCAGGAACCAAACCCACGCTACCATTCGGGCAATTCCCAAACACTTTTCTCTCGTTCTTATTTCTCTTTTTCACCCTCCTTTTCTCCTCCTTCCGTTCTTTTCCTTTTTCCCTTCCCTTATTTTTTCCCTTCTTCATTCTTTTACCACTACCTTCCTATTCTCTTTCAGGTACCTACACAGACAGGATTCACGGCAGTTTCCTAAACCTCCCAGCAACCCGTGGCTCCCCAGTCACTACAAATTACAACTTACTAACACACAAAACATCCACCTCACCGAAGCTAAAAGCAAGAAGGCAGAGGGGATTTCCTCGTCCACTGCAGGAGTGAACCGAACAACTCGATTCAAGCCCTAAGAACTAGACGCGAGAGATCAAAAACTATCAGTTTTCTACGCTCACACTATCAATATTGGAATATATACTACCTCCAACGCTTTGAAGGGGACAGGCATAAAGACTTCCGAATAAGCATGACCATACAAAAGAACCGAGCCTCCTCTACTCGCACTATTGGTGTTAGATGCCGGAAATCACCTTTCACATAATTGGCTGCTTCAAGGTCATGTTGTAATCGCTCGCGCATCAAAAGATCTTACAGTCCCACCAGTTTTCATTTAGTTTTTTGATTCGAAAGTTGTATGCTTCCAATATTTTTAAGGTCTAAGGAATAGGAAAATGTTTCAGTTCATCTGATAGTTCATTAACATGTTTCAGTGCTCCTGATTTTCCTAGATGCGACAGTTTATTGTGGAAGCCGTAAGATATCTTAGTCGAATATTCGACTAATTTGATGCGAATACCTACACAATAAAATTATATAACTTTACAAACTTGTTAAGCTCTGTTATTTTCACAGGTGGATGTTTTTCAGTAGCTGCAGTAGTACTGCTTCTTTAAAGTAGTAAATCACGTGATTTACTACGAAGTACTTTGTATTGAAATGATTAATCGATTACAACATCAGTCGTGCACACACTAATCTACAAATTTATGTACGCATCTAGCCTCACTTTTAACTGTTCTATCCATGCTGATGTCTCCCAATGAGAACTCATGAACGTTGGGTTGGTTTAAGGTCACAATGCACCACATGTTCCCATTTGCGCATATTCGCATTTATATTTCTTCAAGTAGTTATTCTAATGGTTCATTATGGTAGGTTATAAATACGTTTATTTAAATGGTGCGTATCTGAATGCAGTAATTTTAGGTCTTATAAATATACAGCAAACTTTTTTGGCTGGTTCATCTGGGTCTAAGGGATAATCCTAGGTTTTATGGTAGCTTCAGAGCGCACTTGAATTTTTCCTTCAAGCTTTTGTTTGGTATTTTCTCAGGAAATCGTGAATTTGTAAAGATGGTTCGTAGAATATTTCATATTTGGAGTTTAATATCTAGGCTTCCTTGGCTTTAGACTTTGGAAACTCTACTATGTCTACATATAGATGATTTACATTGAATTGTTACACGTGGTTTATGAATGGTAAATAAAGCCCGGAACCTAATTTCAATGCCTCACTGAAGCAATAACCCCAATCTCTGGTTCTTCATTCCTTACTTCCTCCTATATAAGAAGATAATCAGCGTATGGTTGCATGCGACACCTTGTGATTCGCGAAAATACTGGTGTAGTTGAAATCAAGGGCTTTTCAAAATGGGAATAGTGGGTAGTAGCAAATAAATGCAACACATCTAATGTTTTCTTTCTAGTCCGTGTTTTCGTTACTCCATATTATCTTTGTTCTGTATTCGCTAACGTCTTGATTCCTGAGAACGGTCTGTCTCTTGCTCCATACCGCTAAAATGTTGGTTAATTCAGGAAAGCTGTTTTTACTGAACTGCCTAAGTATTTTTGTACATGGAATCAAGTTAACTAACGAAATTTTTGTTTCTATGCGGCCATCAGAAGGCTTTGTACTACGATCTGTTTGATTTTAATTGCTGACGTTTTTGTGAGAGTAATTAGTTAATTGGACAAGCAAAGTAAATTATCCATTGGAAAGTAACAAGTGGAATAAAGATTTTCTTTCTTCATTATTGAGCTGAGGCCATACTATTTCATAAAAACGTTTCTTCAATCGTTCCGTGAAAATGCAGCTGCGGTGATGAGAACCAAAGGAGCATGTTCGTTTTGTTTCTACGGAACAGTGCTAACCAGTAAATGTGGAATTACTCGACTGACAGCTGCTACCTTGACGTAGTGGTCGGGCTTGCATATCACACTGAACCAACGAATTACACTAACTGAACCGCCTGCTCCATTAAGATCCTACCATTCCAGAAAGATCTGTTGCGTAGTCGTAAGACGAAAGGAAATTGCCGTTAAAGTGCAGATTTCTGTGCTGCGATGGAGGTCCGAGGGTGAAGTTGTACTGCTAGCCGGACTGGGTCTAAGGTGTTTCCCTTGGATGACCAGCAGTGCCATTCTGCTGCCTTCTTTACGCGAAGGGAGGGGGTTAGGAGAAGTTGACCCAGAAAACATACTCCTCCCTGCCCCATAGTCTTCCGGTGCCGGCTATATGGGTATTCTCTCTCTAGCTTCATAACCAAGTCTTGTACAGGAATCTGCAAAAGGCTGTGTATGACAGGCCTCATGCAGATGTCTCTGTCTCTGAGGTCGCTGAAATCTTTTCTTCTTTCAGGTGCCTTAAGAAGAAACAGCCTTTCACGGTGTTGGCAGGCGGGAAGTGTCAACCAGCTGCACACTTTCATTAGTACACAAGACCTAGTCAAACATAACCTATCCTCCTCAACTCTGCCTCCTCCTTTGTCTTCACCTCCCGATAATAATACAAAGCCACTGATACCTTCTCCAACCTCTCGATCTGCGACAACTACCAATGATCAAAACCATCGGAACCTCATTCCTAGTCTCCTAAGCCTGTGCTATCGATTTCATGCTGGAGCCAAATCGGACAGCAGAAGTTAGGTTTAGAGTTTTAGGGAGAAGCGGCAAGACAGTTGACGTGGTTGTGATGCTTCATTGACTGAGACGGTTGGGACATATGTTGCTTATCTGTGGCCACTGTCTGCCTTCTGCCGCGATGTTGGCTGAAGTAGGTTCAAGTTGGAAAAAGGCTCTTGGCGGCCAGACTAAAACATGGCATCGTTTAGGCCATTTAGAGCGATGCAGACTAGCCGGTTGGCGTCGCGAGACAAGAGAAACCAATTATTGGAGACTAGGTGGTAAGGCTGATAACAAACGGCAGGGTTTGCTGTCGAGAACTATGAAGGCTGGAACCATGGATGCATGCTATACATTTGAGACACGTATACAGGACCCAAGTGTAGTTATTAAATTGGCCTCACCTAGCCAGGGCGATGGATATGCGCAATTCACTTTGCAAATATTCGGCGATTCAGTGGCTTGGTCTTGTAAACTCATTTAGCTATAGCTCATTGGTCTAGGAAGTCGGCTTTCAACCAATGTATCGTGGCTTCAAAACCCATTCCTTCCAACGAGGTTTGGGCATCCATGTAGTATCAATAACCCTCACAATAGGTGTTGCTCACTGTCTGATGGATAAAGGCGTGGAAGGTTTCTGAATGCATTTCACCTTCGATTTCGGACTCGATCGTGTAGTCGTAGCATTTAGTTGTAGAGTAGTAAGCGCACTTCTTAACTAGGTACTCGTCAGCAGTCGTCTCTGTGCTATTTGGCTGAATACACGTAAAAACTAAAAGGGGTCTTGAGACTATTCGGTACCTACTTATGATCACCTACACGCACTGACTGCAGCTCGAGCGATTTCGCAACGGAAAGCGAAATGTTCAAACGTAGTCGTGGTAGCAGGCGACTTCAGCGGCAGAGTAATGAGGCTGGGCCAGTCGGAAACGCATCTTGGAGGTGTCTCCGGAATCCTATTCGAACGAACCGATGACGGTAGTTGTCCCAACAATCACGTTTTTGGCGAGCTCTAAGGAGGAACACTGTCTCACATGGCATCCGCTGACAAGATACTAACGATGGGCACAGATGTACCATATTAATACAAGCCGTCCTTGGAGGATTGTTGCCACTTCTGAGGTACCCATTTGTCCTGTGTCACGCGTTAACACGGACACGTGTATGTTTGCTCCTTACTGGTCGCAGGAAACAGGCACCAGTGAAGCCTGTATACTTGACTGAAAGATGAGAACGTCAGATATGTATCTCGATAGTAGATAGTAGAAGATTTCTCTTAGCGTAGCAGTAATTTATCCTGATGAAGCCTGGGGTTGTATTCAGTGTGCTATGGAAGCAGCGGTAAAGACTTTTGTTGACTTACATTAAGAGGTTAGCGAAACCAGTGAATTTCCGCGAAGAAATTCTTTTTGATTGATGCTAGGATATATTCTTCTTACCTGTGACTACAATGAGAAGCCAAAGCAGTTGGAAATCAAGTCGCGAGGCGTAATGGTTGGCGAAACCAAAAGGGGCAGCACTCAGTAATACTCAGGAATTATTTAGGCTTATTGAGGATAGTGGCACGACGACGTCGATGATAAGTGGGGCCATCAGCGAAAATGCTGAGACCCTTAAAACCTATTGGGACAGAAATCTAAAACAGTGGGTAGAACACTTTGAAGCGCATTTCAGTTAGCCCATAACAACAATTCAGTTGCCCAGCACCCAGCCCACACTTGAATGGGACATAGATTTCGGTCCTCCAACTCTCCTGGAAGATGAGAAGCATGTCTCAAGCATGTGACGATGTGGAGCAGTGGGATTTTAGCGAAGAAGATATCAAATCGCCGAGTAAATTAACGGAGGAACTAGGTCGTGTATGGAAATCAGACGTAGTCCTATCAGACTCGTCTACTTGACTTATCATTCCGACCTGTAGGAAAGGAGAGAAGTCTTTTTGTGACAACGATAGGGGAGTCAGTTTGACTGTCATCATGTCCAAGATTATAGTGTCCATAGTTATCCGACGCTTAACCGTCGCTAAAGAACAGTAAGTTCTAGAAAACCAGGCGTGTTTCAAGCTTGCACGAGGGTACATTGATCAGATCCTCACCCTTCTTCAGGTTTCGGAACACAGACATACGTACCAACGACCACCATTTGCCATAGTAGTTGACCTGAAGATGACATTCGACTCGTTTAACCGAGAGGTGTTGTGGTAATATCTAGCTGTTTAGGGATTACTGTGAACCTATGTAAAGCCAATCACATCTGTATATTGGAACTCACGTAGTCGAGTTAAGGCATATGAAGAGCTGTCGTCTGAATTGACGACAACTAGTGGTGTCCACCAGGGATGCCCACTACTACCGTTTCTACCTAAATTCGTTATCGAAGTACTAATGGATGTAACCTTAGGCATATCTGACTTCACAGGGATTGATCTGCTCCCTGGAGGGCATGCGGTTGACTTGGAGTGTACAGAGGACATAGCTGAAAATCGTCCATAGTGGCATATATGTGTTAATTCTTTGACGTTTTCTGAAGCTTGACCATTTTCAATAACCTTGATTTTCTAATTTGTCTTCCTCCCTATCACTTTCGTCTACTGCGTTATCACTTTCTACCCACTTGTTCTTCGCGTGCAGCTGTGAAAGGTGGTGAGCTGAACCGATGCACTTGTGTGCGATGTTTTATGTGGATTTTTGTCTGTCTGCATCTGTGGAATAGACTGTGAGGTATCAAATATTCCTTCAGCTCATAATCCTTCCAGTTTGTGTCTGTCTGTTTTAACCATTTGCTCGTAAGTGTTCGTTACCATTGTATATAACGGGAGTAAACGACCACACAGCGTCGTAGTAATATTTGTTTTTGTAACCGCTTACCAAGTTATAAGCAACACATGGTCAATATCAAGGTGGAATCTGTCATTACTTGGGAACCCAAGGCGCTATTTCTCACATCAGATCAGGACACAAGATGCCAAGACGGAGGACAGAGAAATAGAAAGAAAATATAATCAAAAGTCTCATAAAGTTATAAAAAGAGGTGATGAAGTGAAATAATAATGGCGTGTGATTTGACGAATAAAATGAAGATAATTTGGGGATGCATCTGAACTTCTGAGGCCAATCTTGGGCTATAGAACTTTCAACAAGTAATTTCACTTGTTGCCCAAACTAGAAGTCTACTTTTCCCTACACCGCTCAAATCAACAGTCATAGGCCGATGGCACATTTATGTTATCTACCTCTTTAACCTTTTCTAGATATCATCATATGTCAGACTAGATATGTTTAATAAAGACCTTAGCTATGTAAGCCAATGAAATTTGACAGCTATCACAGCTGTTGTGTGGTGGTTAGCCTTTCTGCGTAGCTGTTCAAAATATCTTAGTTCGAATGGCGTTATTGGTTGTATTGTATTCTCTGAGCTACGTTGTTTATTTTTCGGAGCTTTCGTTGTCTTGCTAGACGATATCATCAGCACTAACTTCAGTATGAAGTGAGCTGTCGATATCTCTCCGTCTTGAAAGACATAGAAAGCTCCACGATTAAACAACCCAGCTCAGAGAACACAATGCAACCAAGACCACTCACCTGAGCTACAAATATTCTCCACCATTTTGAATGGCGTTAGGCATTGTAGCCCACTAATTGAAAGTCGAATGTGTACTCTAGTGAGCTACAACTCTGCTCATTGCGTGTTGCCGATAACATATTGTATGATTATTGTGTGAAGTTTGTCTGATTGTTGGCATAAATTGGTAGGTTTCACGAATTGAAACGTTTGTAATATATAGTGGTGTTTTTTATATTAGGATATTTGCATATTAACTGTTGTCCAAAAATGTACTTATATATTGTATATATGCTTTTAAATTTCATTAAGGCATTTTCAACCAGTTAACCAACCTTCCTCTCTTTTGGTTTTAGTTTTCATTCAAGGCACTAAATTGTTCCGAGAGACCTTCCTTATGTGATTTAGATTCTTCAAATAATTCAAGTTCAAATGGTCGTGAACATGGCGTTCCATGTTTGCTTGAAATAACCAGCAAACAGACAAACTCCTACGATTTACAGAAGGTGAATTGTAAGAATACGGTTATCTCAAGCACCTGTAAATCACTTAACTTAAATGAAGTTTCTCCAAATGCTGCTAGCCTTTTGAAGCCCACAAAAACACGAGAATCAGAAGAGGTAACTACTACTGTTTAACATTCGTTCCAACGTTCTGGATTATTCATAAATGTATTTGAATATAATTAGCTTTATATTCAGGAGTTAGTATTAAAAATGCAGCGTTATATTTGGGGTATGTTGATTTGAACTACATGTATATTATTAGTAGATTAATATATGAAACAGGAAAATGACTTTTTTGTGAATTTCAGTATTGTGTAACCTCTAGTTTAGTCGGTCTTTTGAAGTATATGCAAAATCGACTTTCTTAAACCTTAAGCTTTTCATGTAAATGTTGTTGCCTAACTATTTCTACGCTTTCCAAATGTTTAGGTAAGGATTACAAAACTCTATCATCTCGCTTTACGTCTTTGTTCGTCTGATTGTCCTGATGAGGAATTTGGAGCCAGACCTATTTTGGAAAGTATTTTGAACAGTTTTATCATTGAAAGTAATGTAAGTCCCTCTTCGAATTTCTCTTAACCTTTCTCCTATTGTATCTGGTTACAGGTATATTTGGCGGCAGCTTTTGCCACGGTTTTAAACAAACGTTATGTAGTTATCATTTGAAACGTTTTTTTTTTGCAGTACAGGATTATCCATCGCTGTATTAAGTACTCATGCCATGAATCATTGAATTTGGGCATACAAATCACATTGGTGTTAAGCGATCATAACCAATCGTCAGAAAGCACTGAGCTATAGTCTTATACTTGTTGGCACTTGTCAGCAAAGCGTATCTGCAGCTTGGAGGGAACTGATGCTCTGTACACCTGTTTTATTTATTACTGGAGACTTGTAATGGTCTATCTGATAACTGTTTATCAAAACACGGTGGAGATAAATGAGATTGTCGGAAATTTTGTATAATTGTATATTTTATTTAGAGTTTAAGGCATTCAAAGTTTCCGTAGGAATTATTATACGAAGACTTAAATGCATTCAGACAACAAGTGTTGTTCTCTTGGAATACTAATAATTTATGTTTTGTTTTTAGTGTAGTGTTACATCTCTTACTAAAGGCAACCCGGTATAGTATTCCACAAGTTTGTATGGACAAGAATACCATCAAAGCGTAGGATCTATTTCCTTGTTTCTTTGAGTATACACCGACTCAACTCAGCAACCATGTATTCGTTTTTTCTCTAGTTTATTAACCACATCTGCTGCGTATGGTCATATGATACTATTTAGCTGCAAAAAGTTTTGTAGGTACAGTGAACCTGGAAATAGTGGTTCAGTGATTGAAAGATAAGAGCTCAAATTACTAAGCTTGAGACTACCTTGCTGCAGTTGTCTTTCTTCTAGAATATCCTCTTCTAGCCTTCTGGTTGTTTAAGCTATCTGTATCACTAATCAGGAGGTCTTGAAAGTTGGATACTCTTTTTCACCAGTCTAGATTTCATGTCTATTTAGCGATACTAACCTTGGAAATGCCACAAACATCCCTAGTTTGGCAACGTGGATGGTAGCCTTTTCAATGTATTTGTTGAGAAAATAAAGATTTTATGATCGCTGTGTAATGGTAAGCCTCAATGTGGTTGTAGCAAAAACGGTGGTATCTAGTTTTCTAATTTGTTCCGATCGTGGTTAGCTGTTGTTCACCTCTCAGAAAAATGACCTCAACAATTTGATTTCATTTAGGTATCTCAATGTTCGTTCCTAAATATTCAATGATTATCTGCACTTTGACTTGATTGTTTTCAGTATCAACAGTGTTTTCAGGTTATAACGAATCTGTGATGAGTGTAGGAGCGTTTTGTCAGAAGGTTTGAGTTTGCCGTTGTGATTTGGTAGGTTTATTTCTGGAGGGTGACGGTTAGCATGCATGAATCTGACCGTAGTTCCTGAGTTTCGGTACTTTACGAAACTATTTAAACTAAGTGATTTGTGACTATTATTTACTTTTGTTGTCATTCATTGTTGTAGACTGGCAACAAACACTTGATTGAGATTCCTTTTAGAAGGTGATCTAGAGCAGCTGTATTTTTTTTCCATCGGGAGACATTATGATTCGGGTTTAATACTGCTCAATGCTTGTCCTGAATTCCTTCAACTTATGATTATTTGTAGCTCATGCGTTAGTTAGTACTCTCAGCTTCTCCTCAGTCTTCACATATTAGAATACTTTATCATTACAAACCTTCGTATGTAAGGCTGCTAGTTTCCATGGATCTACCAGACAAACGACATAGAACTTCGGATGTGTGCCTGTTTTAGTTGCCAGAATTTACATCAACAGATTGACACGAAAGTCAGCAACTGGAAATGGCAAAATCGAAGCGTTTTCACGTTTTGTAAACATTTATAAGGTAAGAGGTAAAGGAGGTAAAGGGAACGAAGATAATTGATAATAAGATTTTAAGACTTAGATAAACAGTTTGTGTACTTATTCGCACCACTGCTATTGATTTCGAGTCGTATCCTCAAAAGCTTATAGCTTTCATATTGGGTTCTTTCATTGGTCCCAGTCAAGAAGCTGATGTCCCTACTTGGCTCAGACTATTGGTTAGAGTCTTCATGGATCACTACCATGTATTGGTCTGGTAATTGTTAGCTCATTCTATAACTTAATCTCACATTGACTAGCTTGATGCTTTATTTAGCAGCTCACCTGTACGGAAATACATGATGATGTTGAGAGTTATCATACTTGAGAGAACTTAGTAATCGAACCTCTACATTGGCGATAACTTCGGAATTCTTTATGGAAATACAAATCACACCAAAGTAGTTTAACAAACTGAGCATACATGATTTTATTGTTTGTCATTTGATGACTAAGTTCTTCAGGGACGTTTTTTCTATTAGATGAGGTTAGTTGAATTTATGCTTATATAATGTATAACTCCTTTTAGTTGTGTGTAATCTTCAGTGATGCGAAATCCATTTTGATCTAGTGGTAATTAAGCGTTTGATTGTTATTGGGATGCATAAGATTGAGCCACTTCACTTTCGGAATTTGGCATGCCTTATAAGAGATTAACTACATATTCTCTCTGTGCATTCTCTTGCTTTACAGAAATTAACTCCACAACTGGCATCCGTCAAGTTTGCTAGTTGCAAGTTACTTGGAGGCATTTATTTCAAGTTGAATAAAGATGCTGAAGGTATCGATCTTCTTAATAAGGTAATCTCTTGTTTCATGATAATATTTATATTATTCTTCGCCTATTTTCCCTCATTAGTTTTAATTGAATCTAGGTGTAATTCGTGTCTCATTGGTGATAAGAGCAATGACTGTGTTACAAGCATGTGAATTTTTTTGCTGAATCGCAGAATAGTTATGGTACATAGTGCGCATAAATGTATGGCTGTTTAGTGATGCGTCTTGTTGTTTTTGTTACCTGTTTATCTTTTTTTCTCCAATACTTGGAAGCATCAGATGGTGGGAACAAAAGCAAGCAAGGGTGACTTTAATGCTACCCTAGCAACTGTTGAGGTGGCCAATAACTTTGCTTTATTTTATTACGAGGTTCCTTTCTAACCAAAATACAGAAATCTGATTGGTTATCTCAGCAGTTGCTCATAAGCGAGTATGTACTTTCGACAAGACCAAATGATTTGTTACTGAGCTATCCAAACGTGTATTGAAATCCCATTTTGGTCTTTTTATTAGTTGTGTCACACAGTGAAACAGTAATATCTAAGGGATAACGTTTCGGACTCAATTTATTTCCCATATTCATATAAGACAACATCTCGAACTATGAAATGGGTTTATATAGTTATAATTTCCTCTCCTTCTTTGTGATGACGGTAGTAGAATTTTCCATATATCTGGGATATGTGCCGAATCATTCCTATTGTATGTCTATTTGAGATCCTCAAGGTGGTTTAAGTAAGTTGTTAGAGACTGTTGATATGGCTGAAAATCGTTCACAATGGCGTGTGTTTTGATTCTTTAACGTGTTCTGAAGCTTGAAAATTTTCACTTATCTTGATTTCCCAATTCTTTTTCCTCCCTTGCATCTGTTTTTGCTTCAGTATCATCTCTTCTATTCACTTGTTCTTTGCATGGTTCCGCGAATTGAACCGATGCACTTGTGTGCTAGGCTTTACGTGGGTTTTGTCTGTTTGAACGATAGATTGATGCGACTCGGTTGCTTCAAGTAGTCCAAGAGATGTATTCTCTCTGCTGTGAAACACAGAAAGCTCTTATCTGAAAAACATGCAGTTGATGCAAATCTTCGTTCTGTTTTACGTATGGATTAATCAACTCAGAATCTACCTTCTATTCAGCTGTAAAGTAGTGAGACACAACCGTACGACAGGAATGTCGTAAAGTTGTCAATGCTATGATTAGAATTAACTGTAGAGTACCAACTGCACCTTTCAGATCTTTTGGGTGATGTGTTAGTACTGGGTGTAGGGACGTATGAATACGTACATTATTTAGTTAAATTAATGCAAATCAATCTGGTGTATGTTTTATGCACTAGGCTTATTATGTTACCCGATTGCTCAGATCAGTGTAGATGGAATTGGGCTCGAACTTGAGACACATGGCTTGGAAGCGTAGTGCTAAAGCCAATGAGCCGTCGCTCCGCATTCCTTAGTAATAAGGAAATATGGGAAGATCAACCTTCAGCTAACAAAGTGTGTTGTTTAATGTTTACTCACACTTGCACATAGACAACGTTGCACGACTTCTCATTATATACGTTAAATTTCACTGCTGTACTGTTTGTTACCTCTTCTCTCACTTTATCTTTTTATCCAGGCTTTACAGCTTGATTCGAATGACTTAAGTCTTTGGATACGCTTAGCTCGTGCTGCTATACGTTCAGGTTCTTTTGAAGTTGCTATAAGTTCGATAGATCATATCTTAACGAAACGACCTTCGCATCCACTTGCATTACACCTTGCTTTGCCGTTATACTTCGCTGTATCTGAATTAGAAAGTAAGTGATACATATATGCTGTATTTTTAGGTTAATGGGGATTTCATTTTTAGCGGAGTATTCATCACGGACTGACGTCAGTTGGAGAACCATTAAAAGCCTGGAAACACTGGACAGCTGTTTCGTCCTAGTATGGGGCTCCCCAACAGAATGCACCAGCGACCTGGCTAGGAATCAAACCCAGGACTTTTGGGTCTCTTGGCGAACGCGTTGACCATTCGGCCACTAGGCTGGAGTTCAGTAGTCCACAGTTCCATACTTCTGTCAGTTCACGACTGGTTGACCCCACAAGTCACGGCTTCGCTGTATCATGAACTGAGTGAAGTAGGAAATTGGAGACCATTAAACTCCATCGCTCTAGCTAGATGGTTAACACGTTCTTTATTAAACCTAAAGGACCGATTTCGATCCATAGCGGTGTCGTGGATGCGTACTTCTGGGGAGTCCTATAGTACGACAGATTGGCTGTCCAGTGCTCTCAGGTTTTCAGCAGTTCTCCAACTGATGCCAATCCGTGATAAATACCAACCTATAGTTTAGTTTTCTTAAATTTTCGTGCTTCCTTCTCTTTTTTCTGAAAACATCAAATGCTTTGATCCCAATTTATTGATTTGAAGTTTAAAAATGTGTAGGTGCTTTTGTTCTGGGTGATGATTAAAGGCGCGATGAAAATATGGGCCGTGATGGGATTCGAACCAGTTAACGATGGGTTTCCGACCCGGTACTAACGCATCGCAAATTCACATGTTAGTCGGCTATAGCTTTTAGTGATTGAAGGAGAAATAGCAATCTGGTCAGCAGTTGGGTCTCGTAGCTCACTTGGTAGAGCACCAGGCTGGAAACCTAGTGGTCATGATTCCGAACCCTGCCATAGCCCAACTTTTCATTTAATCTTCAATCGTCACCCAGTATCAATACTAGTCTCCTAAACCGTGACTGTCTTAGAAAGTCAGAATGATAGGTGGTTTTATGTTGAAAGTGTTAATCATGTAAGGAAATACTCGTGGTGATCAGTTGAAATAGTAGTCAGGTTTTTATGATTGGTAACATCTTTTTGTGTCTATCATTTTTTGCTCACTAATGAACTTCAACAATACTTGGGTAACGAGCCGTTGCACTTTATGCTGCAATGAACCAGTTATATGTGAATCAGTCAAGCATGTGAAGGTTATTGGGTGATTATCAAATATATTCAAGTAAATGATGAAGTAATATTAGTTTGTTCAGGAGTGTTTAATTGGTTTGGGCTTTTTATCGACTCAAACGGGATTGTTCATCACCGAAGTGTATTTGTTTTATCACAAATGGTTATACACATATACTGTACTAAAGGTTAGATTAGCTAATTATTCTATTTTTCAGAAAAAAACTTGACTTTTTGTAAACTTTTATTTATCTAAAGTAGTTTGTTTATTTAGATGGTTTGTCTTCTTTCTGATGTTCAGGAGAAGACCTACTAACTTTGTAGACTTTTGAAGTATTGTAGACAGCTCGTACTAATGACTTCTGAAGTTTTGTTCCGTGCTTGATAAGTTTTGAGTTTATAGTACATAGTCTATGATCGGTGTTGTTGACAGTATGTACTACATTGGAAGAATACTTAGCCCTCTTTCCAATCTGTTTTCTGTCTAGTTTTGAACTGAGATAGTATTGTTTTCATTACTGTTTAAAACACAGTAAAAACTTGGTATGGTTAAAGATGAAGAAGTGTGCCACTTACAATGATATGAAGATATAGGGAATCTCATGAATCTCATTTACTGGTTCAGGATGCATTAAATAGCCTAAACCTAATAAAGCTATCTATCATTCTACCATTGCTACGTCGTCAACTAGTTACCCTTTTATTCTTTTACAACCGGTTCTGCCTTTTGGTATATGGTTTTTGATATAGGAGTTTCTGAAACAGCATGCTAGAAAACGTGTTCAAGTTGTTGAAATCGGTGCTGTAATAGAACTTCATCTGTTGGTTAACGATGTGTACAATGCTCTGAAATACACTAGTAAACCTCAAAATTATCTACTTGACTTCCAGCGAACAGAGACTATACTTCACCGACAAGATTGGTTAAACACAGAGACCAAAATCAACACTTCCTTGACAGAAACTATTAACATAGCCATATAAGCGAACTGTGGAGCTGTGGTTCGTTGGTCTAGTCACCCAATTTCCAACCGATGGTTCATAGGTTCGGACCCAGCGTGGTAATATTCATTATCCCTCACATAATAGGTGTAGCTTATTGCTCACTACACAAACGTGCATAAGGTTACTGAGTGGATTTCTTTGCGAGATTACTTGACAGAAAACGTGGAATTTGATCCTATCAAAGCATTTGGGGGCTGGATGCTTTTGTTACTTTTTACACTTGGATGAATTCATTCACTTTCATGAATGGACTTCTTATAAACTATTAACTTGCCTTTGTCTACAACAACATATCTTCGTGTTATGAATTTAGTGTGCATTTCTACCATGCATTCATTGTTGCTTTCAAGATGTAAGACTTGGTTGATGAAGTTGATCTTTTCTTGGGAATGTCTGAGAATAATTAGTTCTACATTAGTTTTTGTTTGTAGTGAGGCCGTCTAATCAACACTTTTAGAGTTATTTATAAAGTATTGTTTTAGGTTTGTATAACATTGGATGAGTATGAGTGTATATGTAAAATGGTGCATTCGGAGGCATTTGTTGGGCATATCTAGCCAATACATATTATGATTTACAGCATTAACAGCGGATACATTTATTTCCACTTAGAAACTTTCAAATGTTGAGTTAACCGTCTAGGCCTTGGTTTTCACTGGGTAGTACTATTATTCTTTGCTGTTTTCTATTGTCTTTGTCTTCTCCACAAAGACCTAATTATGTGCCCTATTTCATGTTTTTTTCAGTTTGTTTAGAACTTTCAACTCGTATGCTGCAAATAGATCCTTCCAGTGAATATGCTGTTTATTTCATCAATCGCATCCTTACAATCCAGCCTAGTTTGCATGAGATGGTTCAGGATTTATTCTTACAAAGGTAGGTGCTGCTTTTCAAATTCCATGAATAAATAATCTTTACCTTCTTCCTTTTCTAGACCAGATATTTTGAGTCAGTTACCGTCATGTGAAGAAGCTGAACGGGTAAATAAATGATTAATATTCTCATTTAGACATTTAAAAAAAGACATTAAGCGAAGAAATATATTCTGTTTCAACTAAGTCTTCGTCTTGGGCTCTACACTAATATATGGTTTTACAATCTAATCAAAATACCATTCAGGTGGTAGGGGGTGTGTGTAGCTGTGGGGTCACCCCTTGGCCCCCTCTTAGCAGAGGTTTTTCTGGCAAAACTAAAGAATGGCCCACTGAACGAAACTGTTAGCCGTTTAGAATTATATTGTCATTACATGGATAATACCTTTACACTTCTCAAAAGTGAGATTGATAAGAATGTTGTTCTCAGTAAGTTCAACAGTGTTCATCCAGCAATCAACTTCACAATGGAAGAGGAGAAAAGTGGCAGTATTTCATTTCTTGATGTTCTGTTGGTAAGAAGGTTAGATGGAACTTTGAAACGAAGTGTATGTAAAAAGTCAACGTCGATAGGTCAATGCAAGCACCTTTTTAGTGCCGTACCCCTCCAATACAAAAGGAACCTGGTGAAATGCCTAGCCTACCGCGCCATAGCTGATTGCTCAGATGATGCTATAAAGGAAGAGTTCGCCACCAATCTGTGATCTGCTTAGTAGGAATGGCTATCCAGACAAGTTTGTGACTAAGCATATGAATGTTACGAGGGTTAAGACAAGAACGCCAACAGTTTCTAAGAAGCAAATCTTCTTGAAGCTGAAATTTAAGAGTAACATTGCCAGTGAGATCATCACACAATACTTAAAAAGGAGTCTTGCATAAAGCATTCCGAGCCGCTAAATTGTGTCCCATCTTCTACAACCGCGGGATTCTGGGTGCAAAAAATAAAAACAAAGTGTCTGATTTTGACACTTCTATATGCATTTATCAATTCAACTGCTTCTGTAGAGCTAGTCACGTTGGGCGTACAATGAGGCAGTTCCATCGTCGAATTTCTGGCCACTACCCATTATGGTTGAGCAAAGGACAAGTTAAAACAATAAATAGCTCGATAGTTGCACACCTAATTGATATGGGACATCAAGTGGGTACTAGAAAAGCTTCCGAAATTATTCATCACATACCAATTAGTTTACTAGATTGAATACGCGCTCGCTTACTTCACATAGCAGAGGCGATTTCAATCCACCTTTACAAACCTAACCTTTGTATTCAAAAGAAGTTTGTTCAACCGCTTTCATTACCGTGGTTGTCAGCACGATTTAACTTCTAGTATTACTTTGTACACCTCTTCCCCATCTTGTTTCTATCACTATTCATTTGTTTCCTTATTATTACGTAATCGCCTATTGCTTATGAGTGAACACTCATCAAAAATCACTGCATTTACCTAAGAATAACATGCTTTATATTAATTACTCTATTATTTGTTTACATCTTTATTTCTAAAACATCATCTTCATAATTTACTTAAAATCTGAGATTATTGTACACCACCCCCCTACCACTTGATTGGTATTTTGATTGAATAGTGGAACTATATATTAGTGTAGAGCCCAAGAAGAAGACCTGATTGAAAAAGAATATATTTCTTCGCTTAATCAGTCTTTTTCTAAACAAATAATGTCATTTATTTTATGGATGTTATGTTCAATCATCTTCTTTCTTCTGCTCTCTGATAATATTAGCCTGTGTTCAACTTTCGCTGTCTGTAGATGTCCGTGTCTACTAGTGGAATAAACGCTTAATTATTCTTTTCTCTTTTATAATCTTGTGCCAAAGTTGTTCATTTGACTGCATATTCATGTTCCAGCTAGTTGGTCACATTTGGGAAACCCTCTTCATTTACTGAGGTTCGGATAAACAGTTGACATCACAGTTTTCATTCAATAAGTTTAATTTATATAACCTAGGTAGAGCTATTTCATATTACCTACGTTTAAGTTACTTTTGCTCTTCATCGTAGTTAGAACCATCTGGAGTCAGTCTTCTCGCACCAGTCAGTTTAGATGACGTTACGGAAATCCTATGAAATTCGCTAATTTTGGGTGTAAATTATCAGTTGCCTTTACCGCTGATTCTACAGCAGACTTATTATCACTCCAGGTTTCCTCAGGATGAGCATTGCTATCACGATATTGTCCTGCTGAGTGAAGATGCTTACAAAATGCAGATTTTACTGAACATGTTGGGCAGAAATCTTAGTATTTTTAGTATATGTAAGATGATGCTTCAGGACTGGTCTGCAACCACTTCACTTACTTGGGGAGTTTCCTAAGCCAGAACGGGATGGTTGCTGACGAGATCTCAACTCGAATACGGAAGGCTCGTTTGGTATTTGCCAACTTGCGTCATCTCTGGCACCGGCTGGTGAGGTATTCGACTATCTGAGGATGAGTACACTGCACGGCAGTTCATGTTGTCCTGTTATACGGCTGAGACGTGGACGTTAGAAATAGAAGACATGAAGCGATTACTGGGTTTCTATCGTAGGTGTCTTTGTAGCGTTGGTCGCGTTCAGTGGAATCACTGTGTGGGTAATGTTGAGGTCAGGCGAAGGGTACTAACCAATATGATGCTCCCCCTCTCTAATTCAATTAGATTTTGATTGGGATGAGAAGTCCTGACTAGACAGCCAGTGTGAACATGATCAGGCGGTAGAAACGCGTCATGAACTCACATGGTAGTCGGGCGAGACCCATTGTGATTGAAGTGAAATAAAAATCTGGTGGGCAGTTGGACCTCGTATCTCAGTTGGTAGAGCATTGGGCTGGAAACCCGATGGTCTCTGGTTCGAATCCGGTCGCGGTCTAAATTTTCATTCCACCTTCAATGATCACCCAGTATAAATACTAGTCTACCAAACTACGGCTATCTCAGATAGTCAAATGATAAAGTCTTTACTGCATTCAGCTCAAGTATCATATTGCTTTCAGTATGGTCATTAATTGCATCTTATTCTATTCGATCACTTGAGTTTTGTTCTCCACTTACACCTATCTTCAGGTTTACTAATTATTATCGAAGCATGCATATACTTGTGAACTAGTTGTTTCATTGTTTCTTTCTGTGGATGTTGAAGATTATTTTTTCTAAGTTATGGGAACGGCGTTTTCCTCTTCATGTAAAAACTATTGTTTAGTTACTATCGTGACGGATTTTTAGATAAATTATTTCAATTTTTTGTGTATTTGTCTGTAGGTTGATCGTGAAGTACAAAAGATTCGGTTAATTTATCGTAAACAAAAAGATGCTGAAGTTGAATCACAAATAATTCCATTCGTGAAGTTTCCATCCCCACTGAAACATTTAAGGTTAGTGAGATAGTGTATATTTTGTTTACTCTAGAGTACTTGGAAGTAAAGTTTCCGAGCTTTAGAAACAGACAGAAGTAAAACTGGATGCCTAAATCGATTTCACTGCATAAATATATGATATCATTTACTAAAGTGTTGTCTAATGTTGGTTATGCTTGAAATGTTTAACTGCTGTCACAGTTATGATTAAATCAGGCGACTCATTGACAACTCTGTACGTGGTCTTGCAGGAGTAAAGACGATGTTTAAGAGAGGAATCATCGAATTTCTGTTTGAAATTTACGTGCACAGTTGCTTTAGGTTCGGAATGATGTGAAGCAGTGAAATGTATGTATTTTTAAATGATACTTCGCTGCATTTTCGCTTACTCTGGTTCCAGACGATGAAACAGCCACTATCGTGTTCACGAACCTCTACATATGCATCCAGAATGGTTTATAAGCACATTTATACTCCTTTATGGCTCACTTCTGTGAATTGTAAAAGCTGAAGGTGAGAAACAGTGCAAACTATTAAAAGAGTAGTGCTCTCCTCAATAAAATTTGAATTAACCATCTATCTGTTTAAATATCAGCGTGTTATTTACTAGAATACTGAATTTTGATAACTACTCATTGTCAGAAAGAGACAGAATCAATGTATCAGTTCAAGTTGCCACACTTCACAGTAGCATACAAAGAACAGGTAGAGAGAAAAACACTCATGTCAAAGTAGATAAAGTTGTGTGAGAGAATAAAAATTTTGACGATAATGGTTGATGTAAATATTCAAACTTTAGAAGGCGTTAACGAGTGAATACTTCAGCTGCATCATTGTGATCGATTTTCAGTCATGTCAACAAGAGATCTCAACCACTGATTTCTATCATCTTGGGAACTTGAACCAGACAGTCAACATCTCCCCACTTGGTTCAAACCACCAACCAGCGACTTTATCGACTGATACCACCGTCTTGGTCTGGCCACCTTGGACCCTCTACCAGGCCAATTCAACTTCCCCTAGCATCGCGCTTTACGGTGGGCATCACTCATTCAGCGATAATGGAACGCATATATATGCTAAATAGCTTATCTTTTTTGGTTAACAACTAGAAGTGTCAAGCTTTCGTTTATTTACTGTCATTTCCTTCACATCGATGCTCATTTAATTGAATCATCCAATGTATCTTAACGTGATTAGGTGTAAAGTTTCAGGTTATTTTAGTAAATTATTCTGTAAGTTGGCAAATGTTTGTTGCCTGGAATTTTCAGGAGACGTTTTTTGCATGTTCATTTGGTGGATAACTTAACCTTATTGATTCAATAGTAGGAACTATAATGACAGCAAAACAGACAGAATCAACGTAGAACCTCGCATACAAGTGCATCACTTCAAGTTGCCACATTTCACAATACTACACAAACAAGTGGATAGAAAACGACCGATATCAAAGTAGACAATGGTGAATGCGAGGAAGGGGAATTTGAAAATCAAGGTTAGTGGAAGTGTGCCGTTGTGATCGATTTTCAGCCATGTCACCAAGAGTTCTCAACCACTGGGAACCCCATGATCTATTATACCATGAGAATTCATTATTGATTACTCTTGATGTAGTTAATGAATAAAAAGCAGTTGATTGGCTGATTAAACACATAACCTTTCAAAGTATGAGTGATTACTGGGTACATCGTAAGTGGGTTTGTTCTTGCCAATCGATGTTATGCGACAATATCGTGAGCGACAGCTTTGATTTTCGTGTTTATCTTCTCTCTCTTAGCTGGTTACATTTGATTGAACAAACAGTGGCAATGTATGACCGTTTACACATGGAGTCTGTAAGCTCTTTTCATTCCTATTACTTTTGTGCAAGTTTAATTATATTTCTGTTAACTTTAAAAAGTATATATCAGCTTCTTTTACTTAACACGAATAAAATTTACGAATACTTTTCGTTCAATTAAATGTTGGTGAAACTATCTACGATATCCATGGTCCGATAAATTGATATTATTGATACAAAGTAATGATGTTTAGAGGTGGAATGAATACTTGGACCAGTAGTCCTTTATTTTTCACTTTCAGTAATCACTTCTCGATCAAATAAGTATGTATGATAAGATTAGGACATTCTAAGTAAAATCATACACAATAATGTCGTCAACTTTTTATGCTTTTATTGAAGATTCGGCCTGAAAATGAGAAGAAACTTATGTATTTGTAAACATTGATGAATTTCTATGCTGTAAGACCAAAATATTGTCTATATTTTGCTTGGGTATATTACCCGTGAGATCAAACCAGTAATGATTTTGTCATTCATTTGGACTAAATCACAGTCATCTTAAGGATCCTTGTGCTGCATCATGTTACTCTATCGTTATCTTTGTCAACGTAAGTGAACAAACAACGAAACGAAATACACTCAACTACCTTGTGCACATCCATGTAGTAGACAATCAGCCACACCCTATTTTGTTAGGGCTAGTGGTGCTACCCAAACCTCGGTAGGTGGATCGAGGCTAAAACTCATGACCCAGTGGTTGGTAGTCGTCTCCCTAAACCGCCAAGCTCTGTAGCTTCGACAACGTAAAAAATTCGATTCAAAAGGTACAGTCGTTATGACACCTCTTGGATTAAATTCTATTATTTTGATAACTTTTTAGATTCTTTCCATCAGTTAGTATAGATTCTTTTCAAGTTAGCATTTATCATGGACTTACATCAGTTGGAGGAACACTGGAAACCTGGGAGCACTGGACAACTGTTTCTTCATAGTATGGGACTCTTCATCAGTGCATACCCACGACCCCACCCCTCCAGAAATCTAACCTACGACCTTCATGTTCCGTGACCATCACGTGACCACCGAGTCACTGGGTAGGAATCTAACGGTCCATATTTCCAACTTCTGTCAGTTCACGATAGAGCGTGACCAATGCTCTCAGACTTCCAATGTTCCTCCAACTAATGTCAGTCCATGATGAACACCAACTTGAAAAATCTCTAAACCCCCCACAAACCCCCAAATTAAGTAAATTAGTTTTCCATAATAAAACGGATGGATTTCTTTGTGCTTCTTATCCTTTGAGAATACCTTTTCTAATGTGACCTGGTTTATATTTTTACTATCTTCTATCGATTAATTGATACCTAAGTATCTATCTATCTATCTGTTCAGATTGTTTTATGTTTTCATATTAATGATAATTCAACATTTATTATTATTATTAGTCCCTTGGGTTCCTAGTGGAACATAGGGCTTCAGTAGCACGCCTCCAGTGACCTCTGTTCTCCGAGATCTTTTGAACCTGGTTCCACGACAGCCCACAACCTCTCATTTCCTCCTCGCATGACCTCCTCCATGTCACCCTCGGACGTCCAACTCGTCGCTTCCCATGGGGATTCCACTCGAGGGCCTGACGCGTGATGTCCTCAGTCGGCCTTCTCAGTGCATGGCCAATCCATCTCCACTTCTTCCTGCATATTTGTTGCGTGATAGGTTCTTGGTTGGTTCGTTCCCAGAGTTCCTTGTTGCTTATTTTTTCTGGCCATCTGATCTTCAGCAGCGAGCGTAAGCAGTTGTTGATGAATGTCTGTAGTTTATTGGAAATCCCTTTCGTGACGCGCCAAGTCTCTGAGCCATACAAGAGCACTGACTTGACGTTGGTGTTGAAAATCCGTATCTTGTTCCACATGCTGAGTGCGGAAGATCTCCACACTGGTTTCAGGCTAATGAACGCCTGTCTTGCTTTTCCAATTCTGACTTTGACGTCCTCGTCCGTCCCGCCTGTAGTTGAAACAGTGCTTCCTAGATAAGTGAAGGAGGTTACTTCCTTCAAGTTTCTCCCGTTGACGGTGATTGGAGTTTGTTGTTGTTGTTGATGTTGGTGGTGCGGTATCTTCATCACTTCTGTCTTCTCTATATTCACCTGAAGTCCCGTCTTAGCTGCCTCTTCTGTCAACTTGTTAGTTTTTGCCTGCAGATCTTCAAGTTTATGTGACATTAGGCATAAGTCATCGGCGAAATCCAAGTCTTCTAGGTTCTTTTCCGTCGTCCAGTGTATCCCCCTCTTCTCGCTGCCTACTGTTTGCTGCATGATCCAGTCCACCACAATAAGGAATATCATGGGGGATAGTAGGCAACCTTGTTTCACTCCTGTCTTCACTTCAAAGGCATCACTGAGCTTCCCATTGTGGATTACTTGGCATGTGGCATCTTCATATAGTTGTTGAATGAGGCGGATAAAGGTTTGCGGTACTCCGTAGTATTGAAGCAGTTTCCAAATTACTTCTCGGTCGACGCTGTCAAAGGCCTTCTCAAAGTCGATGAAGTTGAGGTATAGAGCTGATTGCCATTCTACGCTCTGTTCTATGATGATACGAAGCGTTGCAATTTGGTCAGCACATGATTTGTACTTCCTGAAGCCTGCCTGTTCCGGTCGCAGTTTTGAATCCAGTGCGTCTTTAAGCCTCTCCAGGATGATGCGGCTTAATATTTTACTTGGGGTGGATAGGAGAGTGATTCCTCGCCAGTTCTTGCAAGCACTGAGGTCTCCCTTCTTCGGCAGTTTGACAAGGTAACCCTTCTTCCAATCGACAGGTACCTTCTCTTCCCTCCACACCTTCTGCAATAGTGGTGTGAGCATGTCCGCTGTTGTCTCTGCATCTGTTCTCAGTGCTTCTGGCGGTATTCCATCTGGTCCTGCTGCTTTCCCGCATTTCAGTAGCTTTATGGCGTTCAGGACTTCCATTTTCGTTGGGGGATTTATGTTCACTTGTAATTCAGCGGCTGCAGGTGGTATTTCTGGACGAAGTGCAGGTGGTGGTCGATTCAAGAGCTTCTTGAAGTGGTCGGCCCATCGTTTCCTCTGTTTCTCTTCTTTTGTAATTAAATTTCCTTCTTCATCTTTTATTGGTTTCATCTGTGTTGGTCTCTTCCCTGATAGCAACCTGGTTATTTGATACAATGTCGTCAGGTCTCTCTTACCTGCAGCCTGTTCTGCTTCACTTGCCAGTGTGTCGTAGAAGTGTCTTTTGTCTTTGCGTGCACTCTTCTTCACTTCTTTATCCAGTGTTTTATACATTGTGCTCAGTTCCTCTTGTCGTTGAGCATCCTTGCACTGGTTTATCTTCTGTTTCACCATCCTCCTCTCCTCTATCAGCTTCCAGGTATCCGTCGAGATCCATTCCTTGTCTTCCTTCTTCCTTCCTAATACTGTTGTGCAGGTTTCTTTCCACATAGCTTTCAAAGACTTCCAGTGTTCTTCTACACAGGTTTCTTCAGGGATGTCCCTCGACGTCTCCCATTTTGTCTTGATGGCTGCTTTGAAGATCTCCTTTGTAGTTTCATCCTTCAGTTTCCGAGTGTTGTACTTGAATTGAGGTCTATCACCAGCTTCCTTGAAGGCTTTTAACTTGATTTGGAAGGTTCCTTGCACTAGATAGTGGTCTGAACCTACATCTGCTCCTCTTCTTGACCTTGTGTTAAGTAGACTGCGTCTCCATTTTCTTGAGATTGAGATAAAGTCGATTTGATTTTTAGTGTGTCCATCTGGTGAAGTCCATGTCGCTTTGTGGATATCCTTGTGCCTGAACACACTGCCTCCAATCACCAAATCGTTGAATGCGCAGAATTCTGCAAACAATTCTCCATTCTCATTCATTTCACCTAGCGCCTCTCGACCCATGGTTAGTTCTCTTCCCGTGTTGTCCCCTCCCAGTTTGGCATTCATGTCGCCCATTAGAATTTTGATATCGCCAACTGACGTCTTGTCCAGTGTTGACTGAAGTTGTCTGTAGAATTCCTCCTTTTTCTCTTGCTCTGCATTATTTGTAGGTGCATAACATTGTATGATTGTGACCTTTCTTCCTTTTGAGTTGAATCTTGCTGTCATGATCCTGGAGGAGATTGGTTCCCACTGCATGAGAGCCTTCGATGCTCTTGAGGACATCATGATAGCCACTCCCTCAGTGTGCTCGTGGTTGGCGTCTGGGTGACCAGAGTAGATTATTGATTCTCCAGTTGACAGTTTGGAGAGTCCACTCCCATTCCATCTGCTCTCGCAAATCCCAAGCACTTCGATGTTATACCTTCTCATCTCCTTTGCAATCTGGGCTGCCTTACTGGGTTCAAACATCGTGCGGACATTCCATGTCCCCACGTTTACTTTCGCTTTCATCGAGAGAAGACACATCGGCCAATTGGCTTCCCGAAGGCTTTCACCAACTGGCGTCATTTCGCCTCTCCGATTCCAGCGGGGAATAAGTTTGTTTTCATTTTTTATATTTTGTTTGTGCTTTGAAGTTTCTTTAGCGGTTAGATTTGTTTTACGGGGTAGGGTTGCTAGCCCTATGCCCAACCTTCCCTCTTTACCCGGGCTTAGGACCGGCTAGTAACTAGTAAACTAGTTAACCAGGCGAGGTTGATAATTCAACATACATAACTGATATAACGCTGTTATAGTATGGAATTAGACTACCTAAATCTTCATAAGTAGCCATAAGCTGCCAAAGCCCTTTTTAATCAATCGCTTTGCTTCGAAGTTCCAGGAAAAAACAGGTGAACCAAAGTGTAAATATCAGGTTGGTTGAAGAGATGAAAAAATCAATATGATTTAAATCTAGAAAGGCCTGGAAATAGCCAAGGCCATTGCGAATACATCTTCTGTTATACTACTGCTTTTTCCATTACGGAGGAACTGAGTGACCATTAAGGCTATAATCGGAAAGTTATTGTACAAAACATCCACTGAGGTTATCTCAAATCACTTTAAGAATATAACAAGTGGCAAAAAGAGGTTATAAAAAGTAGTGACTAAAGTGTATAAAAAACAGACATAAACAACACGACAACATAAGCAGTGCAATCACTTAAAGTCATCATTCACGTTTTATTTGAACCGTATCTTTAAGATTTGTCAATTCAATTACTTTCGTAATCAGTGGTACTCTTTTGTTTTTTTTTCTTATTTGTTTTCTCTAGTCCATTCATGTAGTCCTTGATCTATCATCCTTGTTGTACAAGGAATTACTTAATGAGACAAGTGAAGTTTTAAGCCACCCAACAAATACACATTCTAATTGTAAATTAACCGAAAAATCAAATGATGCTATCAATCAAATTGAGAATTCTAATATTCATAAAGTTTCAAATTCGGATACAGTGTGTGAATTATTGAAAGATGATTTTAATGATTTTAATATGGAAACATCTAGTGATGATTTAGCTGCTGGACTTGAAAAACGTCGATCTGCAAGAGTGAGTATATGAAAGTGTTTATATTTAACCATTCAATGATATTTGGATAATGTAATTAGAAGACGTAGAGATTATCTGAAAAATGTGATGTATTAGCGCTATACATTTCGAACAATCTGATCACACATTTACTTGTTAAGGCATTATATATGAAAACTGGAAGTGGGGGAAGGACACATATGACATAAAGGAATTCAATAATAAGAAAGATAATGAGAGGAATAAAAGATAAGACTTGAAGACAATCTTGGTAATACGATAAAATAAATATTACCAAGGTAGGCTTAATGTAAGGACAAACTGTTTTTGCACACACAATGGGGGGTTAAATTTATTTATGGCTAGCGCCTCAACAAACTTAAGTATACGCCCCTGACAGTTTCTGTACAAAATTGTAAAGGCTGTTTTGATATCAATTCTGTGACTCTTATCAATGATATGTTTCGCAATGGATGATGATGGTTGTCTGCCATCTGCGCTTATCAATGTTTGTGAATCCAGCTGCTTTCGTAGCCACTTTGGAACATGTTCCCCTACCCTCAAGTGCATATCACGATTCGTCCTCCCTATGTATGTTTGTCCACACACACATGTAAATTTATAAACGCAGTGGGATGTGACACAATCGTTTATACAGCGTTGAGGTCTAGGTAGCAGCAGGTGTTTGGTCTTCTCAACTATGATAAGCTTAGCTGCATAGTACGTTTTGCTAACAGCAGACCTTAACCTTCGTTTTAATATTATGCTATTAGATTCTCCTCTGTATGGTAACGCGATGTAAACGCATTTCTTCGAAACAGAGTACAGATCAGGTTTGAATCCTCGCTGATTTTTGCAGCGGTTTATGAACTTCAATGGATATCCATTTTCCACTAATGTTTCCGTTAGTATTTTGATATCATCATCCATTGAGTCCTCCGTACAAATACGCTGGATCCTTTTAAATAGACAAGTTACCAAACCTCGCTTGTATTGGGTTGGACAAAAGCTATGGAAACTTAAATACTGACCTGTCCAAGTAGGTTTCCTGTAGATCGACCGTTTTATTGAACCATCATTTCTACGACTTAGGAGTATATCCAAGAATGGCAGACGGTTTTCTTTTTCTTCTTCACTTGTCAGGCTTATGTTGTTTTGTACGTTGTTAAGTCTTTCTAACAAACATGTTGCATCTTCATGCTTATCACATATCACGATTATATCATCAACATATCTTTTATAGAGAGTAACTTTATTGATGAGATCGCCGGTCAAGCCTCAATGTGTGACATGTAAATATCAGCTAGCAATGGTCCTAAGGACTTCCCATAGCCACACCATCTATTTGTCGAAAATGTTCACCTTCAAATGTGAAATGAACTTTATCGGTACACAATAATAACAGCTCTCTCAAACACGTTGAGGGGATAGGGAAAGAAGGATTACTGGAAGATATATGATCACAAAGAATGTCAATGGTTTTAATTAGGGGTACATTAGTAAATAAGGAGTTGACATCAAATGAATACAATCTCTTATCTTTGATATTAATATCACTGACATAATTAACAAGTTCAAAAGTATCTTTTAAAGAAAACTTACATAAATCATTTCGAATAGGAATTAGAGTTTTTGCTAACCATTTCGCCACTTTATGTGTAGGTGAACGGAACATGGAGAGTATAGGACGTAAAGGATTATCTGTTTTATGAATTTTAGGCAATCCATACAGATTAGGTAGCTCAGACCCCATTGGTTTGAGGGAAGCAAATTCTTCCTTGTTGATAACATTGATATTCAGGAGTTTTACTAGACTAGATGTTACTTTGCATTCTAATTTTCTAAGGTCGTCTGATGGAACATCAGCCATAAATTTACTTTCATCGCTAAGGATGGACATCATCTTGTTTTTGTAATCACATTTGTCCATCACAACCACACCCAACCCTTTATCGGGTTTGAGAATGATAATATCAGATCTATTTCGAAGTCCTTTTAGGGCTTTGAAATGTTGTGAAGTTAGGATACTTCGCTGTCTTGGGCCTGAACTATGGAACTGATGGGCAATATCCACCAGCTTAGCCTTAAACCAACTCTGATTATCTGAGGAGGTTGGAACAAGGGGAAATAACTGATCATAAAGACTTTCAAATTGGGCATCAATAGCCAAATCCGAAACTTTCGTGTGGGGAACCGAAAAACTGAATCCAAGGGAAAGCGCCTCCTTCTCACACGTCGAAAGTTGAATAGACGATACATTAGTCACATATTTATCTGGATTAATTGGGAATGAGATAACATGAGACTCATTAGTACAAGATTTTGACAGCTTCTGTTTTGTCTTCTCCTTCGATTTAATGATGACAGAACTACAAAAATTGACGAACTTGATATGACAAATTAATGAAATATCAGATAGTACACATGAAGAATGAACATGAAGTTCGACTAATCCATTTAACTTCTCACTGCAACTATCAATATGAGATTTAGCGAGTCGAACGAGGTTTGAGATATTTGGTTGCAATTTTGTGAAACGTAAGGTTTTGTAAAAATGTCTGGGAAAAGTGTGACTTGAAATACAAGATTTGTAAAACTCCAACTTCACCTTTTCAGATGCTATTGTTCAGATAATCTACGTCTTCTAATTACATCATCCAAATTCATAAAAGGGACTAATTGTTTCAAATTCAATGATATATTTCAGGTTCAATGTTTACTTATAACTTCCACACAAGATATGGTTGTTTGATTTTTTTCAGTTTATTGCATTTTCAGGCTTTACCATCACTAAGAAATACTGTTATTCCTGGAAAATTGAGCTTAACATTACTAAAGAATCAGTTGATCCTAATTACACCGTTACAAATTTCACCTCCCCCCTTCTGCACAGAAATTCTGATTTGACACCACTAATTTACATTCTAGATGATCCATTGAAAGGAGCTTAGTGTTGAATCCTTCATTACATACACATCTTTTGACTTTTTAGAATCTTATTCATCCAAATGGGGATGAAATTCAGTATGTTGAATAAGCAAACCCGTAACGATGGCATTCAAAGACGACTATTACTAAAGTTCTCGTGAGAATAATTATTTCGATGCAGCTCAACCTGGTGTAGAAGTTGATGCATTGAGATATACGCCAGATATATCGTGTTATGGGTTGTAACCCATGAACACTACCTTTTAACGAAGACCGAAATAGATGAAGGAAGGTTTGAATTCATTTACTGGTTGGTTTGAAAGCTAAGCGCTTCAACTGGGGATCCACAACTCAACAGTAAAATATTCACTGCATGAGTTTGGTGAATAGTTTTCTGTGTTAAATGGTGGGAGTCATTCGATAGGAAGCATTGGACTTAAGTTTCGTGCTTCTTGGCGTTCTCTCAAGGATTAGAACCCACATGACTCAGTGATGAAGTCAGAGACTTAACCATTAAGCTATTCAGGCCTCGTCTGACTCCGCTTAGTACTTGATTAAGTACTCGAAGCTCTTTAGTTCTTAGGGCTTAGCACTGCTCGAAGTTTATCGGTCAAGTTCTGCAATGTGGCCATTGAGTGAAGTGATGCAACACTGCAGTGCACTCTGTTTTGGTGTTAGATGGTGAGAGTTAGTTGGTGGGAAGCCCTGAGCCTACTTACTTATTTATTACGTAAGAAGTGGAGGTGATCATCTAAGAGTGGGAGATGCAAAATATTGTAAGGATTTGCAGTTTCTAAATAATTTTGTTGCAGCAGTTTTCTAATGTATTATATGATCTGCTGAATTATTATTATTCCTCACTTGTCATGCTGTCGACGTAGTTGAACAATGCGAACGTTGCAGAGTATGAAGAGGTATCATACTTATATTCATCCTTGTGACTAGAAGTGGAGTCCAGGATGTGCATTCCGTCCAATTTGGAACTCGTCAGCCGGTGTACCTCCACTCCCAGTGAGTGATGTTGTTCCTGTTGAGACCCGAACCTCTTACCCATCGCTTCGAATGCCAAGGCGTCATCCGCTAGGTCACTAGGGCACAAGATTCGCTTCTTGCGTATTATACGTTTTAATTATCTGAGAAATGAATATTGTGTGATGTGTAGTTTGATGAAAACAAATCTTGAGTTGTTTCCGTTTATTGCCAACTAATTACATTCTTGGTCCGAAATGCTACTCATCGGCTAATTCGAAAACATTTCTGGAATTTATACACTAGTGTTTTAGTTCCTGTTTCTAAAATTCAGAAAGTTTCGCTGGTGTAATATGAATCAAGTCCCCGTATAGGTCTGGTTACTGAGCTGTGAACTACACTCGATGTATTAAACTTTATGATAGTGTTATCCTATCGCTTAATTTGAAGTTTGTCTTTATAAATTTAACCTAGTGGTTAGTAACAGTCAACTGACCAAATAATTGAGTTGCAAACTTACTGGAGAGGTGAACAGCAGGAAGGAGATAGCGATGATACTGATAACCAACAATCTTGTGAAAACACAACGAGAGACGAATAGTGATAAAACGAAGGATAGATGGGCCTATATTTCGTAGTTGTTCAAGAATATCGTGAGGCTCTCAAAAGACAGATAGGATCGGAACATCATCATCACGAGGCCCGATAAAGCAGCTGGAGTCGTAATTATGGACGGAGTCGATTGCGTACAGAAAATGGACTTAATATTATAAGACGAAAGCAAATCTCAGAAATTACAGTCAACGAAAGACCTAACCGAAAAAGCAGAAAAGGACCTTACCGTCTCATTAAAGAAATTGAAAGATAACGAATACATTTCATCAACCTTATTTGAAAATTTGAAACCTATACGCAGTACGATTCCACGAATGTCTGGTCTACCAAAAGCATACAAACCTGAAGTGCCTCTTCGTCCTATCCTAGACATGACCAACTCGCCTTACCATACTATCGCTAAATGGCCAGTACGAATACTTAAACCTTTTGCGTGACCAATTAGTAAAATATGACGTGAAAGATACCTTCCAGTTTGTAGACAGAATAAACAACTTGGATGTTTTACATAAATGCATGGGATCCCTAGATGTCACATCTTTGTTTACTAATGGCCCTCTAATGGAAACCGTCGATTATATTTGTGAACAATTATTGGAAAGAAAATTAAACATCGGAATTCCGATTATGAATTTGAAAGAACTATTGCTAAAATGTACAATGAATGTCCAGTTCATCTTCAACAGTAATCTGTACAGACAAGTTATCGGAGTGGCTATGGGTTCTCCGCTGGGACCAATATTTGCAGACATATTTTTTGGTAAAATTACAAAATGGTCCTTCGAAAGATCAAATTGCTAATATATGGAGTTGTACTGTCGATACATGGATGATACATTTTTAGTCTTTCATAAGCGCATATGTATTAATTCCATTCTGAATCATCTCAACAGTGCTCATTCATCAATTCATTTTACATATCGTGTCTATGAAGTACAAACGTAATATAATCAGGTACCTGGCTTTCAGATTTCGATTTTTTCCAATCAACGTATGGAAAAGAACTACTGTGTATCCAGGATATTCTAAGTGAAAACCGATATCTGGATAAGTCTATCAAAACTAACGTCAACAACCTTGGTTCTAAACGAAAATTGATGACAGTGGAGAAGAAGTCTTTGTTTCTACGCTTACAATTCAGGGGAGATGTTGCAAGTGATGTTCTATCACAACGCCTAGCTAGAGCAATCAATAGGACGTTTTATGCAGATTGGCTTTGTATATCATTCAGTAGTCTGCCAATGCTCAGTCCGAGACTAAAGACTAATCTTAGCTCTTCATCTTGCATTTACCATTCTAACTGTTTCTGTGGAACTAGTTATATAGGGCATACTATTAGGCAGGTGGGACTTCGGATACGAGAGCATTTACCAGCTTGGTTCAGAAAGGGTGCAATGATGGTGGTGAAAAGTTCAGTCCTAGCTCATCTAGTTGACACAGGGCATCACATAGATGCTAATAAAGCTTTCAATGTCATTCATCGTGTTCTGAAAACGGCACCATGTGTAGCTCGCCAATGCCTGCACAACATAGCGGAGGCTGTCTCAATATGATTGATCAAGCCTGAACTCTGCATTTAGAAAGAACGTGTCTAAGCGTTACTACTCCCTTGGCCTTCAGCTAACTAAAGAGATACTCCTATCTTCTTTATTCGTTATCTTTTTGTTCACCATCATATCATTCTTCTGTATATGCATCATCCCAATATTGACTCATTTAAAAAGATAAATCAACTTCCTTACAATTCCTAGATTCTCTTTCGATTTTGAAAATGTAACTGCCCAAAACATGGCTTGTTTTTTACGCTTTACAAATGCATTTTATAATTGTAGAACCTGAAGAGAATTTATTGAAAAGAATGTTCTTTGTTCAGATTGTTGTTTTTTTAAAGCAGTATTATTCGAACTGTCTAACTATCGGTTTTTAATATTTCATAAGCCTCAATCAGACATTCTTCCCTTTCTCACACAGATCAAACTTGCAGATATTGATGGTTCGTAGTAGGGTTGTTTCTCGGTCCAACCAGCTTGAGATTCTTTTCAACCATGAATACTTGTTCGCGTAACAGTATAATATTAGCTAGATAATCATTGTTGACTGGAATTAAAGGATTTCATTTTTAGAGCTATGTGTGCTGGAGTTGGCTTTTGAGTCGATATATACTAATGAATTTGCACAAAGCGTTCGAGCACATATATTACTCATCAATGAAGAGCACCACAGACTTTTGATTGATGGATGGCTAGTTCATTTCACTACTGTTGCTTTCTTTGAGTTAGATGGTTTAGTAATGACTGAGGTGCACATGATGCCAAGAAGGCTTCGAAGGACAATCAGTCGCAGTCAAGGTCACTAAAAAAACGGATTTGCCAATTGTAGAGATCAGTTCTTTGCTTGCTGTTTGCACTGATCATATTTAGAATAAAAGGAAAAACCTTTAGCCATCTAGCTCAGACGATTCACCAACTAGTTCACTTCATAAATTATTTATCACTAAAGTTGTGTATCAGATACAATTTATGTCTATCATAGACATTAAGCTTCACAAATGTTATTTTTGATACGGGTTGATGATTGAAGGTGAAATGAAAACCTGAGTTGCTTGGCAGGATTCAGACCTGCGTTCTCTGGAGCTACCGGCTAGACCGTCTGCCAAATGAACTACGAAGCCGAGCTGCTGAGGGTTCTCCCCAATTGTTACATCAGTCTGCCAAAACCACAGCTGTGTTAGACAGTCCTATCGCAAATGTTATTTTATTCAAAAAGTACAGTTTCTATGGAATATAAAAAGTTTTTGCGTTTTTCTTTTATAGGTTAGAACATGTTTCGATTTAAGTGATGGTTTGAATCGTTACTGTTCAAGGCGATCTGTGATAACAGAAATGGAAAAAGTCTCTGAAAAATGTAAACCTCTTAGTGAAAAGGTGAACAATGCACAAAAAGAAAATAATAATCCAAATGATCGATTTAAGCTGGCGGACAGATTTCAAACTCTTCTGCCTCAAATATTCAGGTTAGACTTATTTTTTTCAATAGAACTATTTTCATTTTGATTAGTCAACATAATACACTGGGATTACATTGTAACACTTCGGTTGCGTAATCAGTAATCACTTTTAATGAAGTTGAGGACAGAAAAGGTCATGACATAATTTGAATCAGCCGCTTCCGAATTACTAGGTCAGTGCTTTATCTACTGATTTAGGACATCAAACTGCTGGTTAAATCTCACTTTGACTTAACTGTCTGAGGCTTTTATTCCAATTCAGGGTGGATTAGTAATTCAGAAGTGTTGCGTTATGATCATACTAACTGTCCAGCCACTTCTTTGGGTATAACTCTGGGTTGATAATCTGGGAGTTATCGGCTCAAATCATATAGGAATCTAGGTTTTTGTACAAATTACGTTGTTATCCTTATATATCAAGATTGGTCTTCTAAGACTTTTTCAGATGGTTATTTTTATCCTACTTAGATGGCTTCATCAATCGTCTAAAAAGAGTCAAAACTGGGTATGATAAATGCCAACTGGTTGAAATGGGAATACTTAAACTGAAGTGTGCTATAGATTAAACTTTTATTTAATATGTTTCAAATTCAAGTTCTAAGGACATCAAACGTTTATTTCAGATCAGTGCACACTGGTAGCATTACAAACCTGTGTTTTGGCGTCGTATCTCAGCAATATAACATGGTGCCTTACCGTATCCAATCGTTCTGTGCTATGTTATCTCGCCATCGTATTGCTCAGGCAAATCATGCCTTTTTCAGATAGAAAACCTTATTCTTTTTGAAATATAGGTTAGTGATTTAGCCAACTAACTTTCAAATAGGGATTCACTGGTTGAATCCTCCCCCACCCATCTACTAATATCCTCAGCTCTCATATAATAAGTACTCGCTTACTGAGTCAAATAACATGTTATCTATGCTTATACAAATCTGTTATTATCATTCTTGTTTTATATGACCCCCTATTTTTGTTTCCATTAAATTATCATGGCAAGTAAATGTGTGATATGTTTGTGTGAGATGTTCTGTACAAAAACATCATATTTTTCAGACAAACTTCGTCTTTTAATTATACTTTTTACAAATCTGGAACATATCATCTATAACTGTATTCAGGTGTAGTATGTTATGCCACTATGAAATCAATATTGTAATTATCATTCCTTTCTTTACGTTGATGAAGTTCAGTTGTTTTGTGAACTTAAGTTTCTGTTTTAGTGTTTCACTATCAGACTATCTTGTCTGTGCTAAACATTTTTCTCATATTTTTTACCAGTTCTTACAAATATGTTTTTTCTCTCTCTCGTAATTATCATTGGAAATGCGATGAATGTAAACGTCTTTGCAGTGATGGGGGATTTTAAATAAGGATGAAAGGAAGGAGACAGGATTTAATGACGTTTAGTAACTTTGGTCATGATATTCATCTTGTTAGAAATAAGATATTTCAAGTTGTTATTCATCGAAGACTGACATCAGTTGGAGGAACAAAGGAAACCTGGGAGCACTGGACAGCTGTTTCGTCATAGTATGGGACTCCTCAGCCCACAACCCCCTCAAAAAAAAACTTAACTGATGCTCATTGGTGACTAGCTTCGAGAAGTATTCCCGAAGTTCCAATGACAAGTCGTGACCGGTGGAGTCAAAGCCTGATGGCCGTGAGGACAGATACTCAACGATGACATTGGGTGGCGGTTTGCGCTATATCGTGAGCTAACAGAAGTTGGAAATATGGAGCATCGGATTCTGACCCAGTGGCTCAATGGTAACGCGCTGGCCGCGGAACCTGAAGGTCGTGGGTTCGGTCCCTGCTGGTGGGGTTGTGGGTGCGCACTGCTGAGGAGTCCCACACTAGGACGAAACAGCTGTCCAGTGCTCCCAGGTTTCCTTTGTTCCTCCAACTGATGTCAGTCTTCGATGAATAACAACTTGAAATATTTCCAAATCTCCACAACCCCCTCAAAAAAAAAACTTAATAGAAATAAGATAGTTGATAATAGATTGGATTTGTGTAACACTTTTATTTAATCGTCATTATAATTATCATCGTTTTGTTACAGAGATTTAGGACTGTATAATCGAAAACAGAAGACGATACACGAAGTGAATTCATCAGTGGAAAATTTAGTTGCTGAAGCTACTTCATCTGGTAAAGTTGTATCGGTTCATTCGGAGACTGGTAAATTTATAAATTCATAATTTTTTTTTTTACTGGAGTTTGATGAACTAAATTACGGAATAAATTAATTGCCTAGAATAATTATGAAGTACTTTTTTGTGAAGATTTATCAACTTCCTGTTGATGAAATCTTTATTAGGTTTGAATTCTATAGTTTCAAATTCTGTATATATGCATTCCTAAGGTATTAAACTGTTTAGCCAAATTTATTCGATCTATTTTTTGTGGCCGGAAGCTCTTTAGATATATTTTGATAGTGCATATTCCGAAACTGCATTATTATCACCATTTTTTGGTAAAGTAAATAGTGTACTAAATCAAGTTACTTTTTCGGTGTTAGATTCAGTATAAGTCTCAATTTCACTAATACTTTGCAGGACTCTTCATGTCCTGCAGTCATTCCCTACGAAGTTATAAGTCTGACTAGCTGACGTCTATACTAGGTGATATTGTCATACGCTGTTGGATGCTTCAAAGCTTACGTAACCAGTTTTGTATGATAACGTGCGTATGTTTTTATCTCACTAACAGTCACCTTTGATCAACTCCTAAATCAGTGATACAGCCAGTCCATGTAAGTGACACTATTGTCTAGTAGGTTTTCATCACTGGTCATTGTCAGTTAGAAGAAACCTATTATTATTATTGAGCGACTGAACTGGCATTTTCGCTATGTTGTAAGAATCTATTGGGAGTTAGACTCGTGATTTATCATTTAAATCCTCTATATGTTGTCTTGGTTCTAAGTGTGAAGCTGTTACTCTTCGGGCCGACTGAGTGTCATGCAATATGTGACGTCATAAGTCCTGCTGTCTAATACGCTGACTAGGATTACGATTTCCATTTGTTTAGACAAAGTTCAGTGATTTTAGAGTGATATGGTTATGTTATGTCCTTATGTTCCTCTTCACGGTGGTTACGCCTGTGTGATTTTCAGTTCTCTGAAATCTTGGATATTAGCTGACCAGTATCGATATGTACTAAACACTTTCAAATTTATCAATTGACCTGAGATTATTATTAATATTAATGTTACTATCAAATTTTGTTTTATATTTTCAGTTCCATCAAAGCAATCTGATTTATGGAGTGCAAAATCTGTTCATAGTTTCCTAATCCTATTGAATAGTATGAAACCGAATGTTGTTACATTTGGTATATCATTGCTGTTACAGACTAGTCGACTCACTGGATGTCGGTGGTAAGCATATATATATATATATATATATATATATATATATATATATATAAGACGTGTAATATCTAGATTACTTTCCCTTCCTAAAGAAGTTTGTTTAGTCAGAAAAATAAACGGAAGTGGGTAGTTCAATCAAAAAATTTCATTTTGATGAATGATATTAGCCAAGAGTCACTCTTTTCAGTGATATCATTCTCATGTTGTACAATCGCATATATATTCTATTCACATGATAATAGAAAAGAAACGTTTCATAGAATTTGTACTAGGTGATGATTGAAGGTGAGATGAGAATCTTGACCGTGGCCAGATTCGAGCCAACGACCACCGGGTTCGAATCCGGCCGCGGTCCAGATTCTCATCTCACCTTCAATCATAACCCAGTACAAATACTAGTTTGCCAAACTACGGCTTCCCAGATAGTCAAATAATAAAGTTTCATAAAATATTTCTGACTGAAATCCAGTTCTGATTATAAATCAGGAAATGGGAAAAAGAATTGCGTAGTGGTTGAAATAGTAATGAGCAGAATACTTATCAGGACCGAAGCAATATTTGGTTACTAGGTTAAATGATTTATTGCGGTTAAAGGGGACTGGTAGATGTAATAAAAAATCAGAATTGATTGTATTGTATACTCTGGACTGGGTAGTTTAATCGTGAGACTTTCATTGTCTTTTTAGACACCATCGACACTAACTTCAATATGAAATGAGTGACTCAGTAGCTTATCTTGACGAACTGGTTCGTGATTGGTTGTTTCCTTTAGTTGTGATATCATTGACTGGATAGATTTTCTTGTTGGTTTCTCCGCCGTTTGATCTCTGACCTTTTTGTGATTTATCACGTTTCGTATTGGTTTATGGATTGGGTCTATTTCTATGCATCTTTATAGATTGCTGACTCATCTGAATGCTAAGCATTTCGAAATGTTCTGATAATCTTTATGTTTCTTTTGTCCAAGATTTCTACATTTTCGAAGTTGAATTCATGCTCAAATTGCTGGACCTCTTTCTTTTATTCACATTCGGTTTAACTTTGTAAATAATCTTAGAAGGCTATTCCAGTGGAGCCGAGCAATGAGAAGTGATATGGTATCCACTTAATCTAACTGTTTAGTAATCCACCGTATCCTGTTGTTCTCATGGCATTGTAAGATCATCTCTCTGGATATAAGGAGTCTACTTCCCTTTACTTTTCTTTACATGTACCAGATGTATGTCCTTTATCACGAAAATTATATCATTTAAAGAAGCACTGAATATCAGGTAGATGATTTAATTTAGAAGGTTAAAGTTATGGATCCTTGGATTCCACTCTAGTATCGGAACGGTAAAGTGCTCCTCGTGAGGTCTGAAAATCCTTGGCTTGATCACTTCTAAAGTATCGTAGGTGTCCCGAAATAGGACAAAACAGCCCTCCAGTGCTCTTTGATTTTCACTTGTCTGCTAACTGGTATCACTTTGTAATGAAGCGTATTCTGTAGTCTTGTGCACATTTGTGCGGTAGGCAATAAGCCACACCTATTGTGTGATACTACCTGGCTGCACAAATTTTGGTAGGTGGGGCGGGACTGGAACCTGTGACCCATTAGTTGATAGTCAACAGCCTAAACTAATGAGCCACAGCTCTACTGTTTGTAATGAAACCTGTCATCAAATCAGTCAGTTCCTCCCAATTCACTCATCCAAACAGCCAATAACATGACTATAAAGCCTAAAAAGTTAATAATATATATGGTTCTAAGTAGTTGCATTGTGCAAAGTAGTTTTAGCTGATCAACTCTTTTAGTCCACATACATGTTGTTCAAAGTTTGGGGGTTGTTTTACTTGTAACCGAATATGCTTCAATATCCTTCCGACGAATACTCCATGAACTATGAAGCCTTGTTGGCACTTGAGTTAATGTAATAACAGTACAAACAAATGCTTTTCTTTCATTCGCACAATATCAGCTATGATAATGCATGAAATTATTATTAATCAAATCTCTTAGTCTGGTATGTAGTGAAAAAGTCAGCCCGTCTAAATGAACGCCAGTTCCACTGTATCTTTAGAGAAAAAATTAAATCACCACCCGTGTATTTGTTCTCATTTCGTCTCCCCCACCTAGCTAATAGTTTATTTTCCTCTCTGATACTATAGGTCTTCAGAACTCGCGACTGCCTATTTGAATTTGTTCAGTCGTTTACAACCATCCTTCCCATATATCCTAACAATCCCACCTTCTCATTCGTCATCAGAAGCATTAGGTGACCATGTCCGTGAGAAGACAGTAGATTCTGAAACCTGTTTACTACCGGAATATGTATTAGCTCTTAAAGTCCCGCCTGAATTAAATCATTTATCAGACTTCTACATCATATATATTGAATTATATTTCGAGGAATTAGAATCTAATCATAATTCAACGGAATCTACAGCAAAGTAAGCTACTGTTTATCATTTCGTATAATTGCTTCTGTTCCGTGTTAAACTTTAAACCTTGTTTGTTGTGAATAAAGAAATTTATTCCTTTCTCATCTCTCTGTGTAGTAGAGATTAGTTCAACAGAATTGTGGACCTTTTCCGCTGAAATAGAGGTTCTGGAATACAAGTCGGTCACGCTAACACAGTATGTATGTAACTATCTGATTCTTCAGGCCAAAGTAGGTTAAGGGAGTTTTAATCCGGAGCACATTGCTTGAAAGGTGACCGCTTAAGCCAACTGACCGTACTTTTCCCAAGTCCCTATCACTTAAGCATAGTATTGATAAATGTATGACAAATCAAATACTAAGCAGTAATCTCTACTTGCTTGTGTATCAGTGGACCTCTTGATTTTAGGAGTAGTTGTTTATTTCTGTCTTTGTTTGTAGACTGATGAGGTTTAAGTACATCAACCATTTGATGTCAACTTTGATTTTTAGCCTAAGCAATATGTTGTTATTCATCCTGTTCAAAGTAATCACAACGTCGTTAGCATAAATGTAGAACCATATCACGTGAAGTTCAGCATGATTCTTCTTACTCAATCTAACTTAGTAGCCTGTATTGTGTAATCCTACTGTTGTACGATTGCCCTAGGACAACTTCATTTTTCTACCACTTTTATTGAAAGTGTTTTGTTCTATGGTATATATATATATATATGAACGATATTGTGCACCAATGCGATAAGATTAACGATCGAGCAATGACCAATAAGTGTTTAGTATCTTAAACCGCGGTAAAAACAAGTAACATTTGCATGAAGCGAAAAAGGCGCGAAAATAATGTTTAAGTTTAACACTGGAAATATATACACACTATAAATTAGTTTTTTAGGGATCAACCATCCCTAACGGTAAGAGATTAGATTTTGAACTGCTTCATAGTGCTATATTAATCTTGGTGACTAGCAGAGGAACCCAGGAATCGTTTCGTCCTATTTGGGGCTCGTCAACTGGATGTACCTGCGATTCTGCTTTGTATAGCAGCGGGAAACTACAAATATCATAAGAACTAATGGTACCCGTTGCAAAAGAGGTGGCTGTCGTGTCCTGGTGGCCTAGTGGATAACGCGTCGGGGTTTGAAGCAGTGGGTACTGAGTTCGAGTCTCAGTGGGAACAACATTCACTGAGGTGCAGGTACGTCCAGCTAACGAGTCCCAAACAGGATGAAATACATGTCGTAGACTCCTCTGCTAGTCATCACGATCAATATAACATCATGAATATCTGGCAGTATCGAGACATCTTCATAGGAACCCATCTGCCAACAGCAGTCGAGCAATTCAGCCCTGTATAACAACGGGAAATTAAAAATATCATAACTACTTCATAGTGTCTTGTTGTTTTGACATTCGGTGGTACTATTGCTTTCCAGCTAACATATAAATGAATATTTTGTTTTATAGCTTCTCAGTGCAAATTCATGGATGTATTGCCAATGGAGTTACTTACCTGATTTTCTAGTTGTGAATGTCTTAATTGATGTACCCTGAATGATGATACATGTATATAGATGAATATCTTCAAATCGCACCTTACTTACCACTTAATTCTTTGAGAATGAACAAGACAGTAAAATAATGTGAGGTGTATTAAAAAATCCATGTTTCCACAAGGTATTACATTTCTTATATGTGTATACCTTGCGATGTTAGCTTTTCCAGGCTTTTCTTGAAGGGCGTCTGTCTATCGCTGATTAAGTCTTTTAATCCAGTTGGCTATGTACTTCACATGCCTAGCAACCGCCTACCTGAATATGGAACATTAGGAGAAGTTGAATTGGCCTGTAAAAGGGTCTTAGGTAGTCAGACCAAGACCTGACACCAGTTGATGAAGTCTCTGACTCTTTATCTGAGTCGTGTCGGGAGATGTTGACTGTCTGGTTCAAGTTCCCAAGATGATAGAAATCAGTGGTTGAGATCTCTTGTTGACATGACTGAAAATCGATCACAATGATGCAGCTGAAGTATTCACTCGTTAACGTCTTCTAAAGTTTGAATATTTGCATCAACCATTATCTTCAAATTTTGTATTCTCTCACACAACTTTATCTACTTTGACATGAGTGTTTTTCTCTCTACCTGTTCTTTGTATGCTACTGTGAAGTGTGGCAGCTTGAAGTGATGCACTTATATATGAGGTTCTACGTTGATTTTGTCTGTCTGTGTCCTATCCTTCTTATCATTTTCAATAAAAAACATCCGTACAACTGTAGAGAATAAAATAACCTCAATTGACATCTTTGTCGAACTGAACAGTTTGGTCAAGGGTGCGCACTACTGAAGAGTCTCATACCAGGACGAGATAGCTGTTCAATGCTCCCAGGTCTCCAGTGTTCCTTCATGATGAATGCTCACTTAAAAAAATCACTAAATCCCCACAAATTCCGAAAATTAAAAACACTTTTATTTTTTCTGTCGTAGTTAATTTACTTTAGTATTTGCAAACTTCTAATATGGTATTCTTCTTTTGCGAAAAATGTTTTTTGTACTTTTAGGAATTCTCAGTCGATTGAATCATCAACATCATTGTTGTCTGTATTAAATGAAATACTTTCAAGATTTGAAGAAACATCTTCAGATTATCCTATTATTATGAGCCATTGTAAGTGTCATATTCCCCTAATTATTTGTTTTACTGTAAGCTAGATAATGATGTTAACATACCAAAAAAACAAACACTAAAGTATATTTTCGTGACTTTTTAAGTGAAGTATAACTTACATTACGTTCAATAATCATTTTGTTCAGTAAGTGTGGTATTTGCTATGCAACCTTGAGTACATTCATGCAGTAGGCAATGGGCCAAGACTATTGGCTACCCAAATATCGGTAGGTAGAGTGGATTTCCAACCCCTTGACTCTTTGGTTGAAAGTCAACTGCATAAATCCGTGATCTACAGCTGTGTATATGAAGATGTGTAGGCTGGTGATCATTTGCAGTTTTTTTGTGCACTAAGTTGTTAGCTACATATATTGTTACTATAAGGCTACCTAAGCCTCAGTAGTCGGAGTAGGGTTCATACTTGTTTTCGGCACACTTCCATCTCGATTTCTCTAGAAGTTTGTGTTTATTTTCAACTCATTCGAAGCTAATTCTGAAGAAAAGGCTTACAACTCGAAGTGACTACTTGTATCAGTGTATAAAAAAACTAATGTAAGCAGATATGCGCTAGTATAGGAATTAATTCCCACGGATTCAGTAACAGCATTTTCTTCAGTATTAGTATGAATGGCGAATTTAGTACTACATCATGGTTGTGATGGCCGTCTTAATGAGGTTCAGAATAAAATTTGGTATCTGTGCTTCTTAATGGTAACTGCAAAAATACCTTCGACATTGGTCGAGACTCTACCCGTCGCACAAGAAGTGGCTGTTGTGGCTCGGTGGTGTAGCGGATAACGCTCTTGCGTTTGAAGCGATCGGTACTGAGTCCGAATCTCGATAAGAACAACATCACTCACTGGGAGGCAGGTACATGCAGCTGACGAGTCCCAAATAGGACAAAATGAGCGTCCTGGATTCCGCTGTTTGCCACTATCCATCATTACTATAATTGGAACACAAGTAATATCGAGGTACCCACACAGGAGCCCATATGCTAATAGAGACCGATCAATTCGGTCCAATCAGTGATGGTATAATACAAGCAATTATACTACCTAAGTACATTTAGAAATGAAAAAAAAACTAATAAAATTTGTAGGTTGAATGATAACACAGATCATCTTTGCGTAGTTAGGGTAGCGAGAAAGAATCGTTTGATTCTTGTTTTGTATGAAAGACGAACTCCTGCTATAGTTAAGATGAGATAGATATAATACGTTTTAGGCTTTGTTAAGATCCAAGAGATGTTGATTATATGTTCAAGTATAAAATGTCCTATTGGTTCTGTCTACCGTTCTATGAACCATAAAAAATAATGTTCGGAAATGTGATAGAAATTGTATCAGGTATGCTCTCAATTTAATCGATCCACTACCACCTATATCGATGTAGGGGAAGTTAGAGTAGGCTGGAAGAAGGTTCAGGGTGGTCAGATCAAGACCTGGCACCAGTTGATGAAGTCTCTGTTGGTTTGAGCTGTGAGGGGTATGTAGACTGCCTGGTTGAAGTTCCAGAAATGATAGGAATTAATGGTTGAGGACGATTGGTGACATGGCTGAACATCAGTCACAATAACCCAGACGTTTTCGCTCCTTAGTGTCTTCTAAAGCGTGAATATCTGCACTGTCCGTTATCTTTAAATTGCTTATCTTCTCACTCAACTTTATCTACTTTGATATCACTTTTCTATCCACTTGTTCTTTGTATAGTACTGTGAGGTGTAGCAACTTAAGGTGATGCACTTGTTTGCAAGGTTCTACGTTGATTTTTCCTATCTGTCAACCTAATTTAACTGACTTTACAGGAGTAGTTAAACTGACCAATTCACATGATGAGCTGAAACTAGGCAAGCTACAGTTTCAACTATAGCTATTTCTTTGAAGAAGGTATATACTTTAGCTTTCGTTTTTGTTGAAGTAATATGTTTTGTCGAGAACTTGATCAGACGGTTATTAATGCTGAGGAGATTGGAGACACTATTGAGATAGATGTTGATTGAAGATGTTTAAGCAAATAACTTTAGTTTGCTGAAGTATTTTCGTCATTTTTTTTACTGTTGTCGAAGTCATTCGCGGTATGTATTGCTACTTTCTTTTTAATCATTTTAGTATTATGGGTAGATTATTTAATGTGTTCTCATCGTCAAGATTATGCTGAAATGAAAGAATGTGTACTTGCTGTAAGTCTTTTTCATGATTTAGTATTGTTTAATAATTACAGGGGGCTGAATAGTACCAGTTGTTTCCAATACATATTCACCATCTGGTGTGTAGATTAGTAGTGGACATAATGTTATTTTATAGCATGGAAACGCTACTTTCTTAGAGTCTAACTATCACAATTTTTATTTTAATGCTGTAGCACAGGAGTAGGATGACACTAGAATTCATATTTTTAAATTTTCAATGTTTCTTTGAACTGATATTGACTTTCGGCGTGAAATTACTTTCGTATTTTATGCACATCATCAACCAATTAATTTACACCATTCTTTTACATGTAGACGACATTTAACACGTTCCACAGTAGTTCACTTTGACATTTTTCACAGCTGAGTAGTTTTTCAACCATGGTGTCAACAAGGTTTCCGCTGGAATCTATCCAGCCAAAATCGCAAGGTTATGATCTCTGATACAAAAGTGTCATAAACTGACGAAATATACCATTGAACAATTTGAGTACTTAGAAACCTTTCAGGTTGATTTGTTAATTTTGCCAGTCCGACCACGTTGCTCATTAGTAGTATGTTCTATTGACCTTTACGACGAATTCGTTGAATAATTACTGTGAATGATTTAAGTAATAACTTTATACACCTGGATTACAGCTAAATCATGTTACATATTACTTCAGTTGGCAAGTGAAATATTTCTCTCTATCTACTAAATTAAAAGGAAATCGACTTATCTAACAATTTTATGAGACCTTTTGAGAATAGGTATAATCCGAAGCATTCCTGTTGATTTCAGAATAGTTTTCACCATGAATCGAAGAGAAACACTGTAGGCTAGAGAGCACTAGGCAACTGGTTTGTCAGTGTTTAGGAATCTTTAGATAAGCACACTTGAAACCCCAAGGAGAATCGAGCCCACCTGTGGTGGTGAACGTGATAATATTCATCTGCTAGACTGGAATCCACTGGCCCACATTTTTCGACTTCCATTAATTCTTCATATAGTACGATATCATATAATACCATCGTCCAGCATGTGTTGTGACGCCTATCCAGTGCTGTCAGGTTTTTAGTGACTCCGTAGCTTATGTCGGTTTCGTGATGAAAACACTTTATAAATAAATTCACTCACCAAAATGCTGTAAATCGATATAATGATATGATCTTGCCGGATGCTGATTCTAAAATGGCTTAGTCTGTTGAACAGATTTTAATGGAAATTTAAAAGTATTTGAAATTCGTTTTTCAGTTGTTAAATGTAGAATGGTACATTGGAACGTATTATACGATTTTATGTAGTTTTGGAGAAGAGAAGGTGGTTAATGGATCCGTTGACAACTATATTTACTTGCTTCAACTCTGATTCTATTGTAATTGCTAAAATTTAATCACAGATGCAAAAAGAAAGTTTCCTTGACATCCACTTTCTCTAGTCTTAGGTCTCATAGTATGAGCTTTACTTGACAGGGCGAAATATATTCAAACTGACCCCCAAAACTCCCTAAAAGACTGAATATTTGGCTCTGCTGTTACCCACCCAGGTCAATAAGATTCTAGTTACCAATCAAATTTGTTTTACGTATATTGAAAAATTAGAAACAGTCCCTTTTATAAACAGTGTGATATATTTACTCAATACATTTCGAACAGTCTAATCACACATTTACTTGTCAAGTCAATATATATGAAACCGAAGAGTGGGAGAACAAATACAACAGTTAACACAATAGGGGATTAAGATTAAGGAAGATGAGAACAAACAGGTTGATCCTAATCTCGGTAAGAAAACGAAGTTCACCAAGGTAGATGTAGTGTAAGAACAAATTGTACACATAAAGCTGGTTTCGATTTGTTTATGACTATGACTTCCGCAAATCTCAGTATACGTCCCTGAATGTTTCTATATAAAACTTTGAAAGCTGTTTGAACATTAATTTAGTGACCTGTTTCTATGATGTGTTTATCACTGTTTCACACTCCATTTGGTTTTGAAGCCATTTGGGTATATGTTCTCCCACCTCCAGCTGCATGGCTTGATTACTCCTCCTTATGTGTGTGACCACACACACATGTAAATTGGTGAGAGATGACTCCGGTCATCTATAGCTAAACATATCACAGAAACAGGTCACTAAATTAATGTTCAAACAGCTTTCAAAGTTTTATATAGAAACATTCAGGGACGTATACTGAGATTTGCGGAAGTCATAGTCATAAACAAATCGAAACCAGCTTTATGTGTACAATTTGTTCTTACACTACATCTACCTTGGTGAACTTCGTTTTCTTACCGAGATTAGGATCAACCTGTTTGTTCTCATCTTCCTTAATCTTAATCCCCTATTGTGTTAACTGTTGTATTTGTTCTCCCACTCTTCGGTTTCATATATATTGACTTGACAAGTAAATGTGTGATTAGACTGTTCGAAATGTATTGAGTAAATATATCACATTTTTCAGATAAACTTCATCTTCTGATTACCCATCGAAATTGGAAAGTTAATAAGAGATAATTTAGCGAAGAAAAGTTTCTTTTCAACGTGTAATTTTCAAAAGCTGTACGTCGTAATCATAGTTACCACAAAATATCTATCCTTCACTGGGTAACGAGTCAGTATAAAGTCATCAAAACGGTCAATGTAGTCACAAGATGCTAATAGCTGGAAGGTTATCAAAAGTTGCTCTTAGGATTATAATGAATAAACCAACAGTCAACATAGAAGTCTTAAGGAGATTACCACTAGGGCAAAATTAAAGATTGAATTTATCTCTTTTGAACGCAAAGATCAGGCTTGTACGACTGGATTACCAAAGCGTCTGCTGTGTTGAGGTGGCGAATACACACTCTTCAAAATGTTTGAATTCACTTTTGAGGTGTCTTTGAAAGAAGACTCTGGTGGAGCAACATGGCAAGAGGTAACCGAATGCTCAAGAAGCAAGCTGTTGATGGCTTTACATTGTCCTTTGTACAGCCATGGAGAGTAGTGTTCGGAGATGCGTTTGGATAGAACACGCTTTGTGCGGCTTATATAACCAGCTTTACCGGAGCAGGTCAATTGGTAAACATAGATACCTCAAGAAGGGGTAGCCTTGTACGGTGTTGGCAGTCAGTAAATGTGTTTCTGAGACACCGATACAGAATTCAAGTTTCTATTAATTTGACTCATATGGCCAGTGTGGTGAATTTGCAAAAATTTACCCTTCGATTATTTGTAGAGTCCTTGGTTAGTTCTTGGTATCTCGCAGGTGTAAGTAGAGCGTTTATTCTACAGCAGGGTGGTGTAGATGGTTGACTTTCAACCTGTAAATCACAGGTTCGAACGTCACTCCGTTCACCTTTGATATAGATAACCAAGTATTCTCTTACACCTTCAAGAAATAGGTTTGACTCACTGCTTATTGCAGGTAACTGTACGTATTGGTTTAGAGAGAGGACCCAGGACGGACAGTTCTGCACTCATCTAAATCAAAATTGAATGTAACTTATGAGCTTTTCGGCTATTTGACACATTATGGACTGAGATGAATATTGGCCATGTAATCCTTGCTTACACTCTTACTGGCTGTATTTCAGATGATGTAAAAGATGAATTCTACAGTAGGCCGACAAGGTTTTTATCGAAGGCTAAATGTTCAGTTGTGGTTATTGTAACGGGTGATTTTTATATTCAATTGAGAGGACTTAGTCAGGTGAAGAGACATTTTACTGGTAATTTTCGAATCCAGAAAGAAGGAATTATTAACGGTGTCTGCCTGTTACAACTGTGAGCAGACAACCATCCATTCCTAGATAGCACGAGATTCAGACATAAAGAGAGACATTATCTGAAGTGGCATACATCGATATTAACTCAAAAGTGGACACATTGACCGTATTGCTACCAGTAATAGACAGAGAGGTTGCCATTTTTCCTAGAGAACATGTCTGGACTGTGGTCATATGGGGGTTCGAGGATGCGTATGTCCACACCTAAACAGGCGTAAAAAGCTACGATATCAAAACCATTCTACGCATGGCTTAATGATGAAAATACGAAGGCCGGTTTGAACAAGGAATTGACTAGACACTTATCTGAATTGGACAAGATCAATTATCCTGAATAAACCTGATGGGATCTTCAGTCCGTTGGGAAAAGGGCGTTAAAAACTGTGACCGACTTCTAGGAAACTGTTAGCAAGGGCCAGTGGATCTCATCAGATTCTTCATAAGTAGAGGATACACGTCAACGCATTGCTTCTGACAATGAACACATTGAGGAGCGTAAGTAACTTAAGTATAGGCTGGCAGCACTGAAAAGATAATCCAGTGACTGATTATCTGTCTCAATTCAATGCTGAAGTTTAAGTATCAAGATTTTATTTTATTGTGCGCTTTTCAGTATTTAAAAAAAAATAGTAACCCGGTATTAGTTGCTCACTTCTGATTTCTTCCACTTTGGGACAGTATGAAGACTTGAAGCAATATACAAAGTTGGCGAATAGTTTGGTTTTCTGCAGTTCTATTGAGCATTTTGATAAATATTATCATCAGCAGTCCCGTTGGCTTGAAAATATGTGGTTAGCAGAATTCTCTAACTCCATCTAATACTTTTATATCGTTTAGTTATGATGGAGAGGACAAGGTTTCTTCAGTTGTTAGGCGGTTATTTAAAATGCTATTGATATTGCATACTAATTACATTAGTGTTATATTATTCATTTTAACATAATAATTGTAAGTTCTGATTGTTCTACTTTCACATAAGAGTAATTGTATTCAACAATGACGTTTTTCTAATTTTACTCATATCAACATTTTAACTTATATCTGTTTAGCTGAAGAAACATCTTTCAGAGCATAAACTTGTTGTCACCCGTCCATACAGTGTTCACCATGGAGATTTGACTTTGGGTAAGTATGTATATGTTTTGAAATTTCTAAAATTATGAAATTATTGTTGATATTTTTGCAGCAATAAGGAAAACGCGGTATATTCAGTGGCAGTATTTTTTTTCCTGACCAAGATTATCCTAATGATTTACTGCAGTTATATATAAGTGTGAAACTTTGAGCACTGTAGTAGAATTTAATTCCAAATTAGATTTGTTTATCTGATTTATAACACACACTAATACAGTATTGTTTACTGGTAACTTGCGCAATCCCTAGATTATATAACTGCTCATAATAATATCAATGCAATCGCACTCCTTTCGACATCTGATCTTTATAATCCTGTCACCTCATATTCTCTGTTTTTCTATTGAAAGTAAGATTTACTATATATCTAACATAGGTGTTGCATGGAGGTTGATTCGATGAACAAAGGATTCAGTAGTCAATCTCTCTCAATCTCCACCTAATTATATTGGACTTCAGTACAGTGGTTTTATCCCACCCATCATATTGTGTGATTGTGTGTTAATGCATGCACTGCAATAGACGAGTCCTTTTTTCCGGATTACTGATCTTATTCGGGTCTGTCATTCTATATCTAGCTAGATTCTGTCAACCTGTTCTGCTAACCTAACTGACCCCAACTGGCTAGTTTGGCCTATGTACTTGACCTAACTCTCAGTCATTAAATGGAATTTGATAGATTAGATTGTTTTGTTTACTTGATTCTATCGGATCCTTTGGCCGACGAAGCTAATCTTTGAGTGGATCTGTAGGTTCAAATGCCGTTACTGGAAAGCTGACTAGTCAGTGCAAGGACCTAAACAAGGAATTGAAGCACGTAAAAGAAACACTAATAATTAATAATTATGCTCTACAGCTTATTAAGAAATTCGTTGGAAAACATAAGAAACGAAATAATAACAATAACACGAATGTGGATAATAACAACAAAACGAGTAGAAAGAAATTCACACCCTCCATTGTGTTACCCCATAAGAAAGGAATATCCGGAACTTTACGTAGGACCTTCAACAAAGCTGGAATCAAGGTGGCATTTAAACCTATAAACACAGAAATAAGTTTTGTAAGTCCAAGGATCCGATAGAATCAAGTAAACAAAACAATCTAATCTATCAAATTCCATTTAATGACTGAGAGTTAGGTCAAGTACATAGGCCAAACTAGCCAGTTGGGGTCAGTTAGGTTAGCAGAACAGGTTGACAGAATCTAGCTAGATATAGAATGACAGACCCGAATAAGATCAGTAATCCGGAAAAAAGGACTCGTCTATTGCAGTGCATGCATTAACACACAATCACACAATATGATGGGTGGGATAAAACCACTGTACTGAAGTCCAATATAATTAGGTGGAGATTGAGAGAGATTGACTACTGAATCCTTTGTTCATCGAATCAACCTCCATGCAACACCTATGTTAGATATATAGTAAATCTTACTTTCAATAGAAAAACAGAGAATATGAGGTGACAGGATTATAAAGATCAGATGTCGAAAGGAGTGCGATTGCATTGATATTATTATAAGCAGTTATATAATCTAGGGATTGCGCTTTCACAAGTGAGTAATCGCTTATAGGCTTTTACATTTGACTAGAAGAGTTAATGATACTACTTAGTGATCCAGACATGAGTAGATTCAGTGCTTTTGAAGTCAGTGACTATCAACCAATAACAAACATTAAGACTCAGAGTTCACATCAGCAGAAAAAGCAATCGAAGTAAATATAAAGATGAAGTTTTGTCAGAAACAACCAGTCACCTAGAAGATCATCAGGACAAGCTTATAAACCACTTATAAAGAAAACCCCTATAACTCACTTTTTTCTGCAGTTTATGGTGAGTATGTTGTCTTGAATAACAATGGAAGCTTCACGATCCAGTTCAGAGAACATTATAATGTATCACTGTGTGCTGTATCGAATTAACAACCTAATATGTAATTATGCTCTACCATAGTGCTAAAATTCTACGCCCACACGGATGTCTGTCATCTAAGAAAGTTAAAATTGTGATACTGAATGTTTGCAGAATCTGTCGCATCCTCTTAAATTCGTGGTTAATCTCCACGTATGCAAGTCAAAAACCAGTCATGTATGAAACAGCTCTTTTATCCTCATTTTAAACAACAACACAGCAGTTAACAATCTATGCTGTATTTTTCTGAATAGGTTTTTTTGTGACCGAATGGAATTATGTTCGTGGGTGTAACGATACTGAGATTCAATAGACACCTAAACCGAATACTGTTACGATTGGCCTCCCTCAGTTACTTCTGCTTCACTGAGCCACGGAGATGTCAGGATTCAAAAGACTGGCCTGTGGCTGTAAGAACAACAACTTTTTTAGACAAATACATGGCATGTATATATATATATATATATATATATATATATATATATATATATATATGTACTGGGTGATGGTTAAAGGTGAAATGAGAATTTGGAACGCGGCTGGATTCGAAATAGCTACCACTGGGTAACTGGCCTGGCGCTCTACCAATTGAGTTACGGGCTCCGACAACTCACCAGATTTTTATTTCACTTCAGTCACCATGGGTTTTGTCCGACTACCATGTGAATTCGTGATACGTTACTACCGCTTGATCATATACACACTTGACGCCTAGTCAAGACTTCTCATCCTAATCCAAATCTAACTGAATTAGAGAGGTGGATCATCATATCGATTATTATTTAACTTTCTGAGATAGCCGTGGTTTGGCAGACTAGTACTGGGTGATGGTTGAAGGGTGGAATGAAAGTCCAACCAGCGCCCAACACATGACACAAGACATATGCTAGAGATATGGAAAATCTTACTATCAATAAAAACAGCTCAGTTGGTAGAGCACCGAGCCAGTAACCCAATGATCTCTGGTTCAAATCCGGCTGCGCTCCAACCAATCCGATTGTTCGTAGGACGTCGGATTTGTCCAATCAGGTTATGAGTTTCGTAAATAGTTTGTATAATAACATATTGTAATGTTGATAAATTGGTTGATTGTGGCTAGCAGAAGAATCCAAGACGCGCGTTTCGTCTTATTTGGGACTCGTCAGCTGGATGTACCTGCACCCCAGCGATGTTGTCCCTACTGGGGCTCGAACCTCGTACCCATCGCTTCAAACGCCAAGGCGTTATCCACGATGCCACGGAGGAACGATAGCCACTTCTTGTACAACGGGTAGTAGTTATTACTACTCATTGATATACTTGTTATTCTCCCTTGTTTTGTTGGATCGAATTGTTCGACCTCTATTAGCATATGGACTCCTATGCGGATACCTCGATATTGCCTGAATGTTAATTATGATGATTTGGTTGGTTGTGGTTAGCTGAAAAATCCAGGCTGTGCATTTCGTCCAATCTGGGTCTCGTCAGCTGGATGTTATCTAGTTTCCTTTTTCAAAATAAAAGAAATCAACTACTATTTTTCAATTATTTTTTTCATGAACAATTTATTTCAGATTATATGAATCATTTACTGTCCAAGTTGAAGAATGTCTCATCTTTTGATCGTTTAATCCAGTTGTCAAATGAGGGTCAACATGTTTATGTTGTATTGGAATTGATGAAAACTTTTCAACTTCAGCGTGCCACAAACTCGGTATGTAATTAGTATTTTACGAATATAAATATTACAACACAAAAATACTTGGTAATACTAAGAAACTGTCTAGATTACCAGATTGCACATCAGCACATGAAAATATAAGGCAGTAAGATAAAAGGTAGGATAACGGAATTAATATAAGTCATAGTTACGAAAAGCCTTAAAGCCAAAAGAATAAAGAATAACGCGTATAACCAAATATAATACAATGTTGAGGCTGAAAATCAGGTGTGAATATACGTGCCTAATTGATATAGATTGTGAGAGTCTTTTACCATCAGTTTCGCTAGTGACATAGACACCCCATGTTGATATCATATTAGAGTTCTTATATAGGGTTCACTTCGCTAATAACGATTTACAATGAACAAATAATTGGAAGAAACAAAACTTGATTATAAATCGTTTAATTTTCTAGCGACAAGTTAAACAGGCTTCATTTTATAGTGAGACGCGTTTGTGCAATTCACGTGAAAATCTTAATAGGGTTCAGTTAGTGATCAATTAAGTGATGATTTCCCGCCTTTGTTATCATCTTGAGGTTACGTTCAGCTAACACTGTCTATTGTAAATTAGAACAAGACATATAAGCGAACAATACCATTTTCAATTAGATCTTTTTCAGGCTTTACTCTAATATAAATATACTGAGTGATGATTGAAGGTGAAATGAAAATTTAGATCGCGGCCGGATTCGAACCAGTGACCACCGGGTTTCTGGTCCAATCCTCTACTAACTGAGCTACGAGATCCAGGTGTTTCTTTCTTTCTTTCTTTTTTTTTTTAGCGCAGTTGGTTGACTAATGGACGTGTAGATGATGATGAGAGCCAAGAAAGCAGCATGAAAATGTAGACACTCCTATAATAATCAAATTAGGTCGAAAGCTTGTGAAAACAAGTTACGTAATACCGAAGGATGAGGTTGGTGGATAAACAAAGTCTAAACAAATATAGTAAATATATGAAAGGGGTAGGAGAAAAAAATTCAATGATAAAGTTATTAGTGAATTACTCCTTGGCCAAGGGAGAGATTGGGAAATTACAGACTTCTTCTGGATACAAAGACTGGGATTATTAGCTCAAATTCCTATAGCTTCTAGCTTGTGTAAAAGGCGAGTTCAAATATCTTTCGAAAGATGAAGCAGAGTATACTACAGATAATCTTGAAAGCATTCTTCTTATCTACCAAGTGACTACTATCAATGAGTTGAGATAAAACCGAGCTTCTGATGAATTTTATCTATCCCTACTGGTTTCATATTTGTAAATAAAACCTGTCTGTAGTGGTTTCTTACTTTTACTCGTATTTTAATGTCCTATTGATTGCGTATTTTTTGAGATGAATAAGAGTTTTAATTTAGAGGTAGTATTTATCACGGACTGACATCAGTTGGGGGACTATTGAAAGCCTACGAGCATTGGACAACTTGTATATTTGTTGAAACCCCACTGTCTATTTCACATTATGTGAAAGTTTTATCAAAAATCCAATGTACCCAATCATCCATGTTTCTTATAAAGTTCACTTTGTCGCCTTTTATTATCATTTTGTATACATTGTCTTCTTGTTGTTCCTCCTCCGATTCACTTACCTCGTCCTTCAGTATTACGTAACTTTTATTTTCCCAAGCAAGGTTTTGACCTACTTTTATTATCCGAGTGTCTACATTTTCAAGGTGCTTTCGTGGTTCTTATCACCATCTATATTGTATATGCTTTGGTCAACGTTATCACTTTTCTTATTTATATTATTATTACCGTTTTTTTAAAAACCACAATAACCGTGAAATCTACATGATTGGTTTAGTTTTATGCATTTTAAGCTGTTTGTATTAGCATTTTGACTATCTGAGATAGCTGTGGTTTGACAGTTTAGTATTTATACTGGATGGTGATTAAAGGTGAAATAAAAATCTGGACCGCGGCGGGATTCGAACCAGTGAGCATTGGGTTTCCGGAAAATTGATGGTCTCTGGTTCGAATCCCACCGCGGTCCAAATTTTCATTTGACCTTCAAACATCATCTAGTATATTTGTATTAGAGTAAAGCCTGAAGGAGATTTAATTGAAAACAATATTATTCGCTTATATATCTTTTCCTAATTGCATGTTTTGTTTGAGTGTACTCACACTTGTCTTGGTTATCTAACCGACGTTAGTTCATAATTTCATCAACTGATTTCCTGTTACGGTATAAATACTGTTCACTTCTTTTTTATATGTAGAATTCTCTGTGTAATGTTTTCTTTAGTTATGTCTAGTTTTTTTAAGGACCGCTTTTGCTATTCTAGTTTCGGTGAACTTCAAATCTATCTGAATTTAAGCTTATCAAGGTTAGAACTTTTAATATCAACTTAGGTGCCATTTTCGATACTGCTTTACAAAGAAAAGTTATTGACTTTATCATTGGCATTCTTTTGTATCTCTTTTATGTTCACTCTACAGACGTGAAATCTGTTAACGGGGTTCTATCCATAATTATTTGAAGTTTTGCATTGTTGATTTCTATTTAGTTACCTGACTGTCATTATAAAATACTCATTTTACTTACAGTTAAGTCTTTACTCAATCACTTATGGGTTAATTGGTTTAGATAAGTGACCTTCAGCCAATGGGTGACGCGTTCCAACACCACTCCACCTACGAAGGTTTTGACAGCCAGGTGGTGTCATTATCCCCCACTCACTAGGTGTGGCTCATTGCCCTGGTGGATTCGTATGTGTAAACAAAACCGCTCTACTGTGGTTTCTTACTTTTATTCGTATTTTAATGTTCTGTTGATTGGATATTTGTTGAAATCTCACTGTCTGTTTCATATTGTGTAGAAATTCTGTAAAATCTTCAATGTACTAAATCATCCATGCTTCTCATCAAGGTTAATTGTCACCTTTCAATGGATTGATTTTTATTTTGTAGATATTATCTTCTTCCTATTCCTCCTCCGATTCAAGCGATCATTCTCATTCAATTATTAAACAGTTACGATTGTGTTATAGTTCATTGAAATATCTTATCACAAATATACAGTCAAATGATTATAAGCCTCCTGCTGCTGAAAATTCTACCACAGAAGTTAGCAGTAATGATGATGTCGATGACGAAGATGATAATAACAACAGTATGGATGAAGTACCATATCCAAGTATTCAATCGCTATACTGTTATTGTGTTGTGTTGATCGAAGAGTGTTTAATTCTGCTGTCTGGAACAAGTCAAGATCAAGTAATGTCTGAGGAGTCTGTGGATATTGTTGGCTCGATTGCCATGAAAACAGTCAAACTTTTAAATAAGTATGTAATATAACAATGACTATCACTAGCTAGTCACTTTTTTATTGAAATATATACGCTTATCAGTTCGTTTCAAATTAGTTTTCATCACAGATAGTTGGAGAAAAACTGAGAATCTAAGAGGACTGGTTAGTTATTTCATCCCACTTTAAGTCTCCTCAGCATCCCCCCCGCACATGACCGTGGGAGGAATTGACCCTAGAGGAATCAGGTCTCATGGCGTGGACGTCATCATCAAGCTATTGGGTTGGATTCCAATGATCCGGTTTTTTTGATTTTTGTCAATGGGCGATATTACACGACCATCATCCGGTGTCATCGGTGAGTAACTGTCTTCATTCCCGATTACGCCTTCCCCACAAGTCTTGGTTTCTCACTAGAACTTCAGGAAAAAATTGTCTCAAAGCAAGTCGTAGATTAACACTGAATAGCGACCCATTTAGTAGTTTTTAGGAATTGGTTTTTGTTAAAGTACTTTTCACCATGTATTGACATCTCTTGGAGAACCGTTGAAAACCTGAGAACACTGACCATCCGTTTCTATTTAGAGATCTCTTATGACGCAAATGATTATGTTAAATAGTTTGCTTGTGTTTAGATTGATGTGGGATATAGTCTTTAACTGATTTAATCTGTTTCACGTTTATCATATCAGTGGTTTTGTGAACTATATTCATTATACTGTGGCACTAATCGTATACATTCTCTTATTTGAAGCTGTAGTAATTTGCTTACTTATTAATGCTATTGTTCAGTCGTTTAAGTATCTCATTTTCAACTAGTAGTACATCGTATGGTTACATCTGTTCTGCGTGAATCGGTTGAGATAGGCTAATTCACACATGTGCCTGTGATTTATTTGTTGCGCTTTGGTCGTTTACGTTTTAATACATCGATGATGCATATGTTAATCAACTTAGATGCGAACCTACACAGAAATGAACCGATTCAATTCATATCGTTTTTCAACAGCACACAGGATAACAGCGTGTGCAGAAATAAATTGGTATTGAAGCTAACAGAAAAGGAATGATACATTAGAGAACAAATTACTGAAAGTCAATACAATATTCAGAATTTAGTCGATAGTGAAGAATGAATGAATGAAATGCACTCACCAGCTTTGTGTGTATTCGTGTGGTAGACAATGAGGCACAGTTATTGTGTGAGGGATAATGATACTGCCTGGCTGCCTAAACCTTGGTAGATGGGGCAGGACTCGAACCAGTGACCCATTTATTGAAAGTCATTTCCCCAACCCAATGAGTCATAGCTCCACATATATACCTGGATGCATCTTTGCCATTGTAGTTTTTTCAGCTTTCCTATCATGCGGTTTGAAACTTTTGGTAGCTTATAAACATATACAGGTATATAAATGCACCTTTGAAAATATGTATTATATAATTAACTAGTGTAATAGTGCAGGTACTTTTCCAAGAAGTTCATCTCTATCCTTACAAAAACCCATGGAATATCAGTATTCTTTCATTCCGTTTATTTGCTGTATCCTGCTTTAAGTTTTTAGGATTGGTACTTTTTGACCCATATTTTTGTTATACATATACCCCTGATGGTTTAGAAGCCTTGGATGTAGGTTCTATGATCATTAGCTCATCAGCAGGAAGCATCTGCAACGTCGAAGGGAATTATGGGATATAGGAGCTTTGAGGATATATCATTTAGTGTTGGGAATGCAAACCTTCCCAATGAACTATTCAAGTTAGTACTGACTATTTCAATGACTGGATCGTATATATGAATCGATCACGGGATGGCAATCAGTATAACTGTGAAATCTTGAATACTGATCAGTCCATCAATAAGGTTTCTCAATGGAACTCGTAAGCCTAGATAACGCTACAGTGGTGAACCGTATTTTGTTGTCACTTGTTAGGAATCATTCGACAGGTTACCCTATGCCGTGGGCGGGTGGATCAGAATTCTCTCTGAATGAATAAAATATGGCTACCTAAGCAATGAACTTCTTTAATTGTTAGATTGTTTTACTTCAACAACGTGTTACTTATTAATTTAATTGGTTCTAACTTGTTTCAATTGCTTTTTAACTGGATATGATCTTCTAGCCTACAGATTTATTCCTTTATTTTCGGCTTTCTGTAGATGTTGGATTCTGTTAGGAGATAATTATGTCAATGAAGATAATTGTCATACAAGTCAATATTCAATGAAGTATTGTAATTCATCTAGTGATATTTCGTTATTCGCTGACTTACCAATAAAGTTGTTAGGATGTCACGATGATGGTGATGACGATAAAAGAAAAAGTAGTAACTGTCAGTCCAATCTGGTAAAAGATGATACGATAGTTACTGTGGTGAATACAAATAAATCAGCATTGTTAAGTATTTCTGACGCTTGCCGGACTGTCACGGTTATCGTTGACTTATTGATATGTATTATACGTATATCTATCAAACTGTTATCCAACTGGACATCGGATTTCTACCTGCAGTTAGTTTCTTTGTTGTACGAACACTTAAGTTGGTAAGTCATTATTTACAGGTGTGGTGTGCATTTGCTTGTTGCTTATGGGTGTGCATTATTCACATAACCTGAAATTTCATCTGAAAAAAAGTTATGTTGGCGTTCAGTGTTGTTATTCATGGGGTTAATATTTTTACATTTATAACCTATTTATTGTATTATACTGTTGTCTAGCACTCGGATATCAAAAGTAACCAAGTCAACGTTTTTCAAACCACCTCCATCTGTTATCTGTTTGTTTAGTGGCCCAACATCCTTAGTCATTATCCAACAGCTTGTGAAGCTTTCAGTCTCTCACGCAATTTTGTCTACTTTGATATCAGTCACTTTCCATCTGTTTGTTCCTTGTGTAGTACTGGATGTGTGTCAACTTGAACCGATGTACCTATGTCCAAGGTTCCATATTGATTTTGTCAATCAGTCAGTGAAGCTTTCAGTGAAGGAGAGAACTGCTACGTGGTTACTGTTATTTTACTATTATTATTTATTATTACTACTGTTTTACGTGTCATCTTAATAATAGTGTTATATGAAATCAGATTTAATTGTTAAAATAATCTTTACGAGTCATAATATGAGAAATAAGCTAACATATTTAGCCAAGCAAAATTCAGTTTTATGTTTCGTAGTATGTTTGCTTCTTAAAGTAAGTGCACCACGTAAATTCACATATTCTGTTATATATATACAGTTCAAACCTTTTACAAGGGATGTGTGGCTACTAACAGTAGCCTAATATTCTTATTGGTGTAAACGTTTGTATGTTTTACGTTGGTCAAAGTAGAGTAATGAGGACTCCTAATTCTTTTTAATATGATCGTTAATAAAAACTTGCATTTCGAAAGGCCAGCATTTTACAGTAACTTGATTGGCGTTCTACCTTATTAATAATTACGCAATCTACAGTAACATCGTAATAATCCGATTGAGTATGTCACTTGTTCGTACATTTTTTTGCAGTTTTCTCGCTGCTAGTTCTTGGAGAGGATGCAATCACCAGTTGTCTCTAAGACGATAGAAAATACCATTGGAAAAAATCTTATCCCATAAAACAGTAGACTTTGTTCCCGATACTAAGGTGATATGAGAAGGCGAATCGGTATTCGCCTTTACCTAACATTTCACTTATCAGTCTTCATTATTGATAAAACTGTCTGAGATAGTTCTGGTTCGATAGATCAGGTGGAACACTTGATGATCGAAGTTAAGTCAAGACATGGTCAGCAGTTAGATCTCGTAGCCAAGTTGGTAGAGTACTGAGTAGGTAATCGGAAGCTGCTAATTTGAATCCCAAGGCACGACCAAGGCTTCCATTTTATTTTCAAATCATCACACCATCTCACTTATGAAAAACTGTGGTAAACCTGTCCAATCTCCTTAAAACAAAGTTATTTCAGGTAGTATCCTTGTGAAAAGAAATCTGATGACTAGATTTCAATTAACTGAAAGTGTTCTAATTCCAATAACTGAAAATTTATGGTAAATGAGAAACTTTTCAAATTGGTTTCACAGATTGCTTTCTTGTAACTTTCATTTCAAAAGCTCCCTTCGTGATATGTCACATTAAGGGTATTTCATACCAGCTCTGTTATCAAGACTCGATATAACCTTACAGATTACCCGTATATTTTTTAGTTATCGTCGTTGTAATCATAACGAAATATTTAGTTTTTTTAATATCCCTTGGGAAGCCTGAATATTGTTTTGAGTGCAAGAACATTCTCAGTGACACTTAAAAAAGAAACTTGTATAAGTAAACAAATAATTACTAGTAAAACTGTGTAACCATTTGCCAAGCTATAAATTATTCTTGTTATCTAGTAAGCTAATCATGCTTTTCTGAGTCTTACTGGCCGCAGGAAACAGGTGATATTAAAGCCTGTCTGTGATCGATTGGAGGATGAGGACGCCAAATACGTAGTTAGGGAGGAGTTAACTAAGCATTTATCTGAACGTGACAGCAATGCTCATCCTGGAGAAATCCTGCGTTATATCGAGTCTGATGTAGAAACAGCGGTAAAGACAGTCGGTAACCTACACCTAAAGGTTAGCAAACGTCCTTGGAATTGCGCAACATCATAGAAACAGTTTGATGCGAGAAGATTGATTCCAGCTGACTCTGACCACGATGAAGAGTGATAACAACTTAAACATAAGTTGACAAAGAGTCTTTTGTCGATCGACAGCAGTCGATGTATGATGAACATGAGAAGGATGGAGACGGAATCAGCGTTGGGTAACACTTGGCGATTACTTAGGCCTATTAGGGATACCGGCAAGGATAGTGAGTGAAACCGTCACTGAAAAGGATGAGACGCTGATGACCTCCCAGGACAGGTGGCTAGAATGTTAGGGAAAACACTTTTTTAAAGCACAGTTCAACTGATCCTAAGTAACGCTTCAGTTGCCCAGTTCCAGCCTGAACCTGAATGGGAAGTAGATGTCGACCCCCCAACTCTCCTTAAAGTTGAGAATGGATAGAACCTGAAAAGATGCAAAGTAGCAGGGTCTGACAGTTTACCACCTGAAGTTTTCAAAGATAGAGGGGGGGGGGAATTGCTGATTAAAGTGACGGATATACTGCATGGTGTATGGGAGTCAGAGGTGGTGCCCTTAGACAGATTTACTTCATTGACCATTTCAGTTAATAAGAAGGGGGCGAAGTCTTTTTGTGACAACCGTAGGGGAACCAGTTTAACTGATATAGTGTCCAAGGACCCTGGGGTCCATAGCTTGGTGATGCCCGGCTGGAGCTCAAGAGGAGCAAACTTGAGAAAAATAGACAGTTTTCAGACCTTACTTTTATCTTACGACAGGTACTGGAACACAGACATACTTACCGACCAGTAGCTGGTACTTATATCACCATACTGTTTGAGCATTGCAGTTCAATCTAAGGTTTTCTCTTATCTTTATATAACTTTTCGTTAATTTGATTTTTCTTGATCTCTCTTTAATACGATACATTAGTCCCTGTCGAGTAGTTTTTCCATGGATTAAATCTCTGTGAATATTTCCCTGTAAATCGCTTGATTATGTTGCTAACTTATGATTCATTTGTTAGAGGATCTGTAATCGACATAAGCCTAAAGCATTGTACTTTCACATAATTGTATCCAAATTTTATGCGATAGACGTATTTATGAAAATAATCATGTACATGATATTCTCTTTGTTGATATTTTACTTCCAGTATAGAACAAAGCATTCCTTGTTCAGCTTTACCTATGGAATTGCGTATCTATCGATATGGTGCAGAATTGACGGAAGATCTTTCATTGGAATTGAAATTGAATGCCTATTGTGGATCGGCTAGTGCACCTCCCAGTATTGCATGCTTGCATTTATTCCATGAATTTTCAATATTGTTATTCACCTATAATCAATTATCAACGACTAATAATCCAGTTTGTCGTGATTATCCAGAGATTGTAAAATTGTTAGTACAGTTGGTAATACGTAGTAGTAGTGAATTACAGTCAATCAGTGCACGATTTTATTCGCCAGATTTACGTTGGTATCTTGAAACAAATAGTCGTGTTGATAATATTGATGGAAATGTAATGACTGGTCGTAGTGACTATTCAAGTACACTTCAGACAAACGAGGAGTACACCACTCCCGTCTCACCTGATGATAATACTGTAGCTTGTAGAGATGATCTTCAGAACACTATCTCTAAGTGTTGGCCTAAAGACTGTATTTGTCTAGCTCAAGTATTAAGTTGCTCTATGAAATGTCTACTAGGCAACTGTTTAACACGTGAAATTACTACATTCTATCAACCAACAGAGAAATATTTATCCCTTGACTTTCTTGAATCCTCTGAATTCATGAAGATATATAATTGTATCAAGACGAAATATGGTGACGGTTATACTAATTTTATTCCCGAATGGATTAATACAGTAAAAAATTTGTTTGACTTTTGTGATGTATTCAACCATCATCATCATCAACAACAGTTACAAACCACTTTGAATAATAAACCGAATTGGTGGAATTTATCTGTGGATGGTAATAACTGGCAACAAGAAGTAAGTGGTCAAGAGCTTTTTTTCTTCAAAATTCTGCATTTTCTGAAGAAACCGTGTTTATTTATTGATGCGAAATCAGTCAATCCTAGATTAAGTGAATGTTGTTGTTGTTGTATTATTCCGTCGTTGAGTGGACCGAATTGATCAATCCTTTTTGACATATGGGCTCCTGTGCAGATGCCTTGAAATTGACTGTGGTTGAGTTATGTATTAGGGATCGATGGTGGCTTGCAGTTGAATCCAGCTTGATGCGCGTTTCGTCTTGTTAGGGATTCATCAGCCGGACATGCCTACTATCCAGTGAGCAATTTCGATCCCACTAGAACTCGAACTCGGACCCGATCGCTTCAAATGCCAAAGAGTTATCCACTAGACCACGGAGCGGGAACACCATCACTCACTGATACGTTCACCTAATAAGTCCCAGATAGGAAAAGAAGCTCATCCTGGGTTTCACCGTTAGCCGCTATCCATTATTGATATAGAAGTGACATCGTTTGTTGAGGTGGATGGTATCAACAGTTAGCATCAAACGCTTGTGATTTAGGGGCTAGCGGGTCCCCTCACGGAGATACGGAGTCCTCTGTTTAGCCTTTTTGTAGGTGAGAATAGCTTGTTATGCATGAAAGAGCTATTCTGTGTTCGACTGAATAGTTTTAAATTGCCGTATGAATATACTTCTAAAATATCACCTACTGTACTTTGAATTTATGCGTTGGTACAAGATCTTAATGTCAACGATGGAAGTATCACTCAAGCAGAAAGTAAGGATTGTTGTCTGGCTATTCGCTAACTTACAGAAAAAAGTGATTATGGTTGCTGGACACACATCCATACTCTTTAGTTGTCGATCCACCGTGTTCACTGAGAAAGAAGGTGTAAGAGTAGAGAGCGTTCATGTTTGGCTGCACTCCTGGATGACACAAGATTGAATATATATTTGATAATTGGAGATGAAATGAAAATCTGGGCTACGGCACTATTTTAACCAACAACCGCTGGGTTTCCGGACTACGAGACTCGGCTGATGACCAAGTTTTTTTATTATTCCACTTGAATCACCAGCGGCTTTTAGTTTAGGAGTTTGTGGGTATTCATCATGGACTGATATCAGTTGAAGGAACACTGGAAACCTGATGGCAGTGGACAGCTGTTTCGCCTTATTATGGGACTCTTCAGCAGTGCGCACCAATGACCCCGCCCAACCTAGGATCGAACCGTGACCTTCAGGTTCCGTGATCAGGACGTTACCATTGAGCCGCTGGGTTGAAACCCAATGGTCCATATTTTAAAAGTTGGGAATATGGACCATTGGGTTCTGGTTTAATGGTGACCTGGTGGCCCCGGGACCTGAAGGTCCTGGGTTCAATCCCCGGCGGAGTCACGGGTGCGCACTGCTGAGGCGTTCCATACTAGGATGTAACAGCTGTCCACAGCTCCCAGGTTTTCTATGGTTCTCCAACTGATGTCAGTCCATGATGAATACCGAGGGTTTTGCTCATCTACCATGTCAATCAGTGAAGCCTTACTGTCTTTAAAATCACTACTTATGTGAGTGAATTTTCGCACCACATGATCCCACTTTCAGTTCTCATTGATTAATTCGTTAATCGTCTTTTTCTTGTTTCTCCTTAATTTTATATCTAGTTTCTGGATTGGGAATGTGTGAAGATAATATTTTTATTCGCTTGTCCTAGTCCTTTCCCAGAATATGATAGTATTAAGACACTTTCAATATCAAATGAGGTATGTACACTGCTTATGGAAATAATGTCAATTTTGTTTAAGTGCCATTTCCCTCGACATATATTTGATGAAATGTATTTATAGGACGGTTCCCAGACATGTACTATGTAAACCACTAAGTACATACACATATTCTTGTTAAGCAGAATGTCATGACGATATAAGCGTCGGATTTATAAAACAGTTATGGATGCTTTTTCAAGTTAATATTCATCGTGAACCGACATCAGTTGGAGGAACATCGGAAACCTGGGAGCACTGTACAGCTGTTTCGTTTTAGTATTGGACTCCTCAGCAGTGCGCACCCACGACCCCGCGAGGGATCGGGCCCATGACCTTCAGGTTCGGTGGCCAAATTCAGTTATGGATGCGATTACATTCTGAAGACAGGGCACTAGTTTACTTGTGTTTTATTTGTATTCGGAATAAATTAGCGATAAGTAGGTAATGTAGTGATTTTTGAGTGCACAGTTTATTTCATACTTTGTAGTGCATAATATTTTTGTGATAAAATATATAAATGACCTTAAAAATCGAGTTACTCCTATAGTATTAGTAGTTTATATTGCGGATTCATATCACTTGGAGTATTATTATAAGCCCGTAAGCACTGAACAGTTGGTTTATCCTAGTTTATCATTTTGCACTCAAAATTCCAGTAGGAATCGATTCCAAGCATTTTACTATTAAGCCGCTTGGTTGAAATTCAACAGCCCGTTCTCCCCTTTTCTATGAATTCGGGATATAGCATGAAATAATCTATGCTGTGCTCTTAGGCTTTCAACGGTTCTCCAACTAATGGTAATTCGTAATAAAAACTGCTTTGAAATAAGTCAATCAATCCCCAAGTACCCTCATTTGATTTGTATCTATCTCGCATTCGTAGATGGATATAAATTAATATATATTCATCCTTGATGCGACAGTATGAGTAGTCTTCTGGTGAGTGTAAACATAATTTCAACAACTTTTCATATGGGACTCTCCTAACCTTTGTACTTGAATAGTTCAGTGATATAGGTTTCTCCCATTCAGTGTACGCTAGTAAAACTAAGTTCAAGAACGGTTAGGACTGATTTTTCTTTATTTCTCTAAATTGTTCAGATCATAACATATAATACGTTTTTGATTTGAACTTCTATGAAGAATTGATTCATTTCCAAAGAGTTTACGTTATAGATATACATTAACCAGAGAACCGTTGGAAGGCAGGAAACACTGGATGACTTTTATCTCGTTGAGAGCAAAAGCGCATCGATTTGATTGGATGGTAGTTAATCTTCACAATCAGTAGTCAGAAGTTGAAAAATGTAAGCTTCTGGATTTGGATCTAGTCTTTGAGTAGTAACATTTTCGTCACAAAGTCTGGTGGCCTTAGGTTCGACTTCACCTGAAACCTTATATGCGTGTGGTTGAGTCCCGAAGTATTTGGCTTGTGTTTCGAAGGTGTTCAAAGACCCTAAGGCTTGTTTTAAAACCCCATCGTAGGTCCTCATTGATGTTTACACAGTTGTTGTTTCCCCTGTCTATTGTGAAAATTTTGATTTTGAAAGCTAATTTATTGAGTAATTTTGTTTTCATATATCAGAAGTCTACACAGAATGATACTTAATAAACTTGTTCATATTGCATTCCCTGTATTCTACGCTTATTATGAACTTTCATTTTGTATCATCAGATGCTAAAGTTCCTTTGTGATACTACAAAGATTATGTCGACTTTTGAGCATGAGAAGATGCTTCCAAAATGTCAAATCGACTCATTATTACAATCAAAAACAAAAGATATACAATTACCATCTGTTCCAAAAGGGTTAAGGTCAGTCAATTATATTGTGTGTAACTTCGTAAAAACAGTGCGCTTCTTACTCATAGACTATTTCTACGGTCTTGAACTAGGTTGCAAATTTAACTGAATTATGAGTTTGCTGAAAGGTTGCTAATAATTTATGACTACTAAGATTTCCTTTTCAGATAAATGCGGACTTTAATTTACAGGTAGTATTCATCACCATAGGAAGCTCAATGATGCCTTTGAAGTGAAGACAGGAGTAAGACAAGGTTGCCTACTATCACCACCAAATAATCTTTTTGATTGTGGTCGACTAGACTAGACTGAATCATGCAACGTAGTTTGAGGAGCGAGAAGATGGGCATAAGCTGTTTGACCGGTGAAAAGACCCTAGAAGATTTGGATTTCGTCCATGATGATTTATGTCTAGTGTCTTATGTCGCTCAAACTCGAAGATCTACAGGCGAAAACTAACAAGTTGGCAGGACACACGAGGCAGCGAAGGAAGACGCGACTTCCCTTCAGGTGGACGTAGCGAAGACAGAGGTGATGAAGATATCCAACCGAAAACAACAAGCTCCAATCACCATCAACGGGAGAAACCTAAAGAAAGTTGTCTCTTTCACCTACCTACCTACCTCGGCAGGTGGCATCGTTTCAACTACTACAGGCGGCGGCACAGATGCGGATGTTAAAGCCAGGGTCGGAAAGACAGCAAGACAGGCCTTCCTTCATTGATCTGAAGTCAGGGTGGAGATCTAGTGCACTCCACTCCACTCCACTCAGCATAAAGTGTGAAGAAGATCCGGACTTTGAACACTAATTTCAGTCAAGTAAGTCAGTGCTTCTATATGATGGTTGAGAGACTTGGTGCGTTACGAAAAGCATTTCCAACAAACTTAACATACATCATCAACAGCTGCCGCCCACGCTCACTCCATAATGAAGACCAAATCAGGTCAGATGGCTAGAAAGAATAAGCAACAAGGAACTCTGGCTGACTGGCAACGAACCAACCAAGAACCCATCGCCCAACCAATATGCAGGAGAAGAAAGTGGAGGTGGATTGGGCTGGGTTGGATTGGATTGGATAGTACATATGCTGAGTAGACCGTTTGGGGACCTCATGCGCCAGACTAGACCAGGTCGTCGAGTTGAATTGAAATGAGAAACGATGAGTTGGGTGTCCGAGACGAGGGTGGTATGGAGGAGATGGTGTGAGGAAGAAATGAAAGCTTCTGGGCAGTCCTGGAGCCAGGATGAAAAGACTGCAGAGAAGAGAGTGGAATGGTGACGTGTTACTGAAGCCCTATATTCCACTAGGAACCCAAAATATGAATGAATAAATATATTCTCATCAGGGACCGACATCTGTTTCGGAACCATTAAAACCTGGCAGCACTCGCAGCTGTTTCATCCTGGTCGTGAGTGCTTGCTGCTAAGCAATACCATACTATGACGAAAGGGTTGTGTAGTGCTCCCTGGTTTTTATTGGTTCCCTAACTGATGCCAGTCTACGGTAAGTACTACTAGTTAGATTTGTTTAAATAGAGTGGTCTTTGAAGTGGTGACCCATTGATCAACTTGAGTGGTTCATTATCATGTCATCATGATACGCTAAAGTAATGTGTTGTTTTTCCATAGGAGGTCAAGGAAAAGATTCTGTTGTATTGTGAATGCAAATATAACAGCTGTACATCACAAGTTTCCCTCTAGGACAGAGAGGTGAAAGATAAAACAACTGGAATCATAAGTTTTCACAGCGATTTGGTTTTTTTCAGACAGTCTAATCTTATCTTCTGAAATTGTCTGAAACGCTATTAACGCAGTGTAAGGTTCGTTTACGGGTGCGTATGTCGATGGGAAGAACGATGATTCATTTTTATTCTATTTTCTGATTGCTTCAGTTGAAATTACTGGTGAGTTATTAAAAGTTGGACAACATGACATATCTAGTTTTCTTTACGTATACGTCAGATGTTTGTACGTGATAATTTGACAGTAATCTCTTTTTGTTAGTAAACACAAAAGATTTGATTACCTGAAGGTGCATACGAAGTCAGTTTTTGTCTATGTGTGAAACATTTTGTTTTTTACTAAGTTAGTTCGTTTTTTGTATCGTTTACTCTTCTCTGTGTTTATTCATAAGCCGGTTACATTTCCCAGCAATATCAACCTTTACACACATTAATAGTGCCTCATACCTTCTCAATAGGCAGATGTGTAAAAGTTTATTGATTTACATTGTCTGTTTGTAAACTGAAAATCCGACGTAGTACAAATTAGTTTCATTCGTCAAATTATTATAAATATTATTATTCATTATTATTTCAACAGTTTTCTGACCAAATCGATGTATTATTTAATCGCTGATAACTACATGAAGAATAATCATTTTGAGTAAGTTACTATTTGAATATTTCCTTTTTGTGCAATTTATGTGAATTAGGAGTTGTGGTTTATTATCTTAGGGAAATGACTTTCAGCCAATGCGCAACGAGATTGTTTCCCGTTCCACACACACACACACACACATATTGCTTACTGCATGAATGTGCACAAGTTTGCTTTTACGCATTTTGACATTTTAAACTTGTCCGAATTATTCATTCTTCAAGGAGCCTATAAAGAGAAGTATTTTCTTTGAATCATGTATAAGGATACACGATGACAACTAAAACGCTCTTCAGTTCCCTTAATTGACTAGAGCAACTACTAGAGCAGCGAGTCATACATTATGTATGTTGGAATTAGTAGGACCATGAATTATAACAGCAGAAAAATGTGGCTACTCAGCAACAGTATGGGGGTTACTGTATTACATTATAAACCGCACCTATTAATGACACTGTCGAACTGCCGAGACCGGTTAAGGTGCATTGAACTCCCATTGAAATGACTGTAAATAGATAGATATACAATAGTACTGTGTTCTGCACTGGAAATGGAATATACAGCCAATATATCTAATTCATGGTAGTGAATTTCAATTCTTGTATTATACCCATTTTCATTCTCTGTTTCCTCTAATCTGAAGGATAGTTTTTAGCAAAATGCTACGTTTCTTAACTATGACAACATGCACTAACCATATTCATATTTTTCCACTGATTTGTAAGCTCTATTTTTGTATATGTAAACAATTCTGTTTCGCTGAATGACTGAAATCAATGACTTGGTTTCGTGCTTTATATCTCTCTTCTTTAGGTCCAAGTTTGTAGACTACTGAATTATAACATACTTAGACCTGCTAAGTATAGAAAAAGGATGTGAGTAAAAGAATTGCTTATCAACTAAGAGACTAGTTAAGCTCATGGAGATGCGTTTTGAAAACGTAAGCAGTGAGAGTGCCTCACTGGTAATGTACAGTTAAGTTACCAGCATAATGACAATGCAACTGATATCATTATCAATATTGGACAAGTTTAGGCTGGGCAAAATAATTTGCGTCCTGTAATTTTCTGTTGCTAGTAGTTTACTGTCATTTCATTCATTCGTTTATTAGTGTTAATTTTTCGTTGGGAATATTTAAGTTGCTGTAAGTTGGTTAAAATACATTAGGTAGAATGAATTATTTTCTTCTGTAGACTTCTATAACTTTCTTGTAATGATATTTGTAAGTTCCCGTTGCTATACGACGCCGAATCGCTCTTTCACGTCAACAGATGTCTCGGTACTAGTGATTATTAATGAAGCCATATTGATCTTAGTTACTAGCAGAGAAGTCAAGCTAGGTGCGTGTTTTGTCCTATAAGGGACTCGTTAGCTGGATGTAGGAACACCACCGCCCACACTGGGGTGGAGGTACATTCAGTTGACGAGTCCCAAATAGGACGAAACGTGAGTCAAGCTGGATTCTTCTGCTAGTCACCAAGATAAATTCTATCATTTCCATTTTGGAGAAAGTTTTTTCCCCTAAAATATTTTTAATTAATCTTTTGTATCCTATCTAGTCGTGCTGTGGAGTATTACCTACAAGATTTACGTGTTTCTCCTCATCGTGCAGATACATGGGCTTCATTAGGTCTGATCTACTCCAGTGAATTGGAACAAGTTTTGAATTTGGTAGTTTCATATAATCATAATTTTTAGCAATATATGCTTTTTTGTTATAACAGTGTTTACTTATTTGTTTTTAATTTATTCATTCTGGTGTATATGTAAAATAGAGATCAGATCTTGTGTTCTTCGCTAGATGGTCTGCGGCGGGAATCTTGTTGGCACCATAGTTGAACAGTCGAACAGCTACTCACCAGTGACATATGTCAACGTTGACTACGTAAACTGTAGATCATTTACAAAATACTCTTGAGATATTTATAATACTTTAGTGTATGACTATTTGCTGTTTGTTTAGTTGTCTGCAGATAGTTTTCTCTATCTGATCACAAAGTTAGGTTTCTAAAAGCTGTTAGTTCTTGTGAGTTTCAAAGTTTTAGATGGTTACCATTATTTATTATTATTTGTGCTTTTGAGTTCCTAGTGGATTATAGGGCTTCAGTAACACGTCACCATTCCACTCTCTTCTCTGCAGTCTTTTCATCCTGGCTCCAGGACTGCCCAGAAGCTTTCATTTCTTCCTCACACCATCTCCTCCATACCACCCTCGTCTCGGACACCCAACTCATCGTTTCTCATTTCAATTCAACTCGACGACCTGGTCTAGTCTGGCGCATGAGGTCCCCAAACGGTCTACTCAGCATATGTACTATCCAATCCAATCCAACCCAGCCCAATCCACCTCCACTTTCTTCTCCTGCATATTGGTTGGGCGATGGGTTCTTGGTTGGTTCGTTGCCAGTCAGCCAGAGTTCCTTGTTGCTTATTCTTTCTAGCCATCTGACCTGATTTGGTCTTCATTATGGAGTGAGCGTGGGCGGCAGCTGTTGATGATGTATGTTAAGTTTGTTGGAAATGCTTTTCGTAACGCACCAAGTCTCTCAACCATCATATAGAAGCACTGACTTACTTGACTGAAATTAGTGTTCAAAGTCCGGATCTTCTTCACACTTTATGCTGAGTGGAGTGGAGTGGAGTGCACTAGATCTCCACCCTGACTTCAGATCAATGAAGGAAGGCCTGTCTTGCTGTCTTTCCGACCCTGGCTTTAACATCCGCATCTGTGCCGCCGCCTGTAGTAGTTGAAACGATGCCACCTGCCGAGGTAGGTAGGTAGGTGAAAGAGACAACTTTCTTTAGGTTTCTCCCGTTGATGGTGATTGGAGCTTGTTGTTTTCGGTTGGATATCTTCATCACCTCTGTCTTCGCTACGTCCACCTGAAGGGAAGTCGCGTCTTCCTTCGCTGCCTCGTGTGTCCTGCCAACTTGTTAGTTTTCGCCTGTAGATCTTCGAGTTTGAGCGACATAAGACACTAGACATAAATCATCATGGACGAAATCCAAATCTTCTAGGGTCTTTTCACCGGTCAAACAGCTTATGCCCATCTTCTCGCTCCTCAAACTACGTTGCATGATTCAGTCTAGTCTAGTCGACCACAATCAAAAAGATTATTTGGTGGTGATAGTAGGCAACCTTGTCTTACTCCTGTCTTCACTTCAAAGACATCATTGAGTTTTCTATCATGTTTTGAATAACTTGGCATGTGGCGTCGTCATCTTGCTGTTGATGGAGGGTATGAAGATTTTTGAGACTTGGTAGTAGTTATGGAGTTCGATTGATATGCTATTTGATTTTATTTTTAATGTATTTAATGAATTCAACGATATATTTATAGAGGCTTCTGGTCAATGATATTTAATAGAGAATTGTAGTGGAGGTTGACAATGGTACCCGTTTATTTTTTGTCTGCTTTTGATGTGTTATCGTAAGCTCTGCATAAGAATAAGTATCTTCAGTCTGTGATATAAATCTTCCCTACTGTTGTACATTCAGTTTTCAGCTGTCTGTCATATGTGTGGGTATCATATTTTTGTGGTAGTTTCTGCACCTGAAATTTAAAATGAGTATTGTAGGAATGTGTTAGTTTCGACTACGACTCTGAGCCTGTATCACTGGCACCGATGTACAATGAGTTAGAGTAGTGTTCTATTCTTAGGCTTAACCTCATTTAAACCCCTCTTCTCACTGCAAATGAAGCATCCGCTTGGTATGGCTGGAGTTCATAGGAAACATCTAACTGTCGTAACAGCGTGTCCAGTCATCAGTACCACTTCATTCTGGCATCTCCGCATCGTGGCGTAGTAAGTAATACTATATTGGTAACTTCTTTTTGTTTAACCAATATTCAACTGAATTTATTGATCTAATAGAACTTTAATGGAACAAGCGTTTCATTCGCATAGGTGATTGTGATATGTAGGTTAGAGCACCATGCCAAGATAGCAGCTATCGGTTGGATAGCGTGTACGCATAATACTTAATTTGTAATCTTAGCATCTCGGATTTTCGCAGAAGTATTATAATAATAAGTAATTGTCAAGACGGGGTTTCTTCGTTTCGCTTTGAATTTATTTACTATTACTCTGGAGTCACCAATAAGTGTGTTATTAGAATCAAGGTAGTCATATCAAGTTCTCCATGTTATGGTGTATTGTTGATCAATGAAAGTAAATGGATATAAGAGTAAAATTTGGGCACCGTGGTTGATTGTAATTCCCTTTTAGTCTGTTTATTAGAAATATCATACAGTGAAACAGTTGCATTTAGTCGATCAGTTGAGAAATTGCAGCTACAGTTACTAAATTCACTAAAACGTTTTATGTAGAAGCGCATATATTACTAGTGAAATCGTAAATTCACTACTTCTGATATGGAGTTACTGTTTTAAGACTCACCAGTAGACTAATTTATCGACTCATTAATTGCTGTTATTCTGATACCGATGGATTTATTACACTCGACCGATAGGTCAGTTCGAATTCTTAACTGAGTAGGTATCAAAATGCAAAACTGTTGTTGAACTGATCAAGTTATGTATCTTAATCTTATATGTGTAATGGAGGAGTAGCTTGTTACGCCAACGTGAAAGTTGTGATCAGGATGATGTAACTATGGCCTTATCATTAAATGAAAGGGATAATACCATACCCAGTTGGTAACCTTTGAATTTTCGCTAATATATATTAGACTGTAAGATTATTCATCATGACGAAATTGTATTATTATGAGCCAGTGGAAATCGAAAATTTACTATAATGTTATGTGTGACTATTAAACACACACAAAGTTTTAATTTGCTTATTTGACCACTTAGATTTCAACCCAGATGTTATGAAATCAATCTGTGTTTCAACCAATTAACTTCTAGAACTAACGATATTCTAAATTGACTTTAAATTAGGGATTAATATTATCATTCAACTTGGTTGTAAATGAAATATCACTTAAATTTAGTTACTGATGTCAAGATTACTTCGGGGATCAGCATTTACCCCTTTCTCTTTAAAGTTTAAGTCAACCTTACCTTTATTTGACAATATGAAAATTTGTAACCCTGTACCTTCATTAACTAAGATGGTTTGGATATGAACCGCGCTTGCCAGGCTACTGCATACCTTGACGTACCATGCCAGGGAAAGTTGGATTAAGTTGGAGGAAGGGTCAATGTTGCCAGGCCGAGACATATCACCAGTTCATCTAATCCCTGTCTGTTGGTATGAGCCGTGTTGTGAGATGTAGACTGTTTGGGTGGGGTTCTCGAGATGGGTGGGTGAGGACCTGATGACGACGTTGAAAATCGGTGACAATGGCTCAGATGTATTCACTCCTTGGTGTCTTCTTAAGCTTTAATATCTTTATCCCTAACTCTTTTATTGTCTCACACAACTTTTTCTGCTTCAATGTGAGTTTTTCTGTCTTCTTGTTCTTTGTGTAGTACTGTAAGATGTGGCAACTTGGACCGATGCACCTGAGTACAAGTTCCTACGTTGATTTTGGCTATTCATCTATTTGAATGATAATAATGTTAAAGATAAGAGTAGAAGTCTTGTTCGCATTGTATTTACAATTCTGGTGCACAATGTTGATTTCCTTTTGTTTGAATATTACAGACTAATCTGAAAACGGAACGAGTTTCAGCTGAAGCTGTTTCACGTTGTTTACGCTGTTTTAATGTGGCACTTCACCTGCAACCAGATACTGTCACGTTACTTATTGAACGTGGCTGCCTTGCCTATCAACTACATTCATATGCTGCTAGAATTGTAAAAAAGGTTAGTTGGTTTTTTAAATTACAAAATCGAAATTTTGTAGTCATTCAAAGCTTCAGATCATTCCTGTTTTATGGTAAAATTATGAACTACTTTTTACTTGATTTAGTAGTACAGTTCTATATTCTTTAGTTTTCTCATTGCAATTCGCTTTTGATTGCTGCATACACACACATTTTTTTATTTAGTGAAGTGGAATAATTTGTAGAGCATGAAGCTTGTAAATGGTTGATGACGATGCAGAATTCTTCTTATTTACTGACGAATTGTGACAGCTAACTTTTATCTGCAGTTTTCTCTCTGACACTAGTAGCATCGCCTTATTTACAAGTCAGTGTACTCAACGGAATACGATTGCATAGAGAAAGAACAATGATTGGAGCGGAATAGCATGGCACCACTTTATTTCACCTGTTTCTTACCAGCTACTTACAACCTAAAATCATTTAAATGTCGTATTGCAAAGGAGTTACATCATACATTGTTTTCAGTTATCTATCTGAAGTTACCTAACACAACTTAGCATCATATTTTAGAACTGTAATGACCTGAACACTTCCGTTGAAAGGTAAGTTGTTGTGAAATTCTAGTTAAGCGGTGGGGAGGGGAGAGGCTAAGCACCTCTTTATTTATTCCACAGATACCTGATAAGCCTAGGTTTCCACCTACTAATACTCTTTTCTTACTTACTACTTGAATGAGAGGCGAAAATAGTTGCGTCACAATGATGTATTTTTTTGATTGAATTTTTTCTTGAAATACAATGGAAATTTCGTAATATTTATCGTATGAAACATATTGACAATGTGTACTTCATTATGGTGTAGTCTGCTTGATAGTGGCTAGCGGTGGAGTCAGGACGTACGTTTCGTCCTGTTTAGGACTCGTTAGCTGGATGTACCTTCACCCCAGTGAGTGATGTTGTTCCCGCTATGTCTTGAACTTCAGAACCCATTGGTTCAAGCACCAAAGTGTTATGTACTAGGCCACTGGTGAATGAGAGCCAGGCAAATTACAATATGATGAATAATCAGGCAATGTCGAAGCACCCGCATAACAACTCAATGAGATATTAAAAAATAATTTATAGGGAATGGAAAGATCTCTAAAATCCTGGGCGTCCATTTTCTGCTGAGGATGTTCTTCACTACTAGCAGATTTCTAGTTAACCTCTATATGTATAAAACAACTGTATTCATCTTTCTCGCCTTGTTTTTCTCCCCAGTCTGAATACAGGAATTTTCCAGATGTTCATTTAAACCTATGTCGTAAATGGCGCCATCGTATGTTACAGTTGTCTCGTTCTTCTTACGAAAGTGTGCTAAATCTATGCAGTTCAGCTAAACAACAACGATTAGAAACAACAGAAGAAGAAAGAAAAGCAACAGCATCAACTGTAGCTGAAGAAGTAGCTCAAATATCTGATAAACTTCAACGAAAGATCCAATCTAGCCGTTTAATTGAAAATGATATCACGGATAATAAATCAAATCCAGATAATAGAATAGCTCAAAGTAAAGAAGAAGAATGGTTATGTCATTATATGTTAGCTAAATGTGCTGAAAAAGATGCTCATCTTATCAAACAATCAGAAGATGTGTATCCATCGTCTCGTTTAATGCATGTTCTACGCTTGTATCATGGTGCATTAAAGGCTTTAGATGCTGCTGGAGCTAAATATCCTAAAAAGATAATTGTTTATAACAAATTACCTTTTCGTGCTGTTGAAGCGATTGAGGTGAGTTCTTCTAATTTGACCCGATCAATCAGTTTATGTTGATTATTAAAGTTGATGCTTTACAAGCAACCTAAACATCTTAATTCTTCGACTGAATATATAGTGAGGTTCATTCTTTCCCTTTTTCTTCTATCAGGTATATTATAGGATTCATGCATTATCTTTAAAGTCTTTGTTGAAATATGGACCTCCTTCTGGACATACTTCACAATCGGATCGTTCTGCTTATCCAATTAATTTAACAGAACTAGATCAGTTCCTTGCAATGATTGACACGTCTGATTTTGTCACTAGTGCAAGAAAACCATGGTAACTTGTTTTAATGCTTGATTAATTCTTATTGAGTATGTATCAAAAAGTGACTTCTTTGCTTTTTTATAATTAAGTTGTTAAAATAAGAAATGAGTTAGAAGTAGCTCGCAGATTCCTATTTGAATGAATCTCTTAGCGTCTAGGACATCATTTTCGGCGGTTTCGGCACACTAATATTTGTTGTTCTATGAGGACTAATGAGAATACTATCTAGTTCCAAAACTACAGTAGTTGAAGAGTGGTTTAATCGCTTGATATATTATATTTTAAATGTGACTTATAGTCTGGTACAAGAATCTGTATATTGGATTACTGATTTGTCATCACAACTGTGACGGTTTCTTAATTCTTTACCTTACATCCTTTCGAGTATAGTTTCCAAAATAGTAATCGCAAACATCTTGAATAATCTAGTTAACCATCTCAGTAAAAATTATCTTTCCTTTTTGAAAGCATCGTAGATGGAGGGTAGTGAAGCCTTGTGTATTATGGAGTTTTTCCCCCAATAAATTCCTACCTTTAAAGTAGGTGTTTGTTAACCAGTGTTTTTTTACAAGAGATTGTTGTATGTTATCGAACTACTTCTCAAAGTACTTCGTTTGGAGCTCCAAGTGTCTTTGCTAATAAGTTAGTCAGGATGCCATTTAATTCGCATATATATTTTTCAGATAGTTGCTGTTTAACTGCCGGTAGCTGGAATTACCTGAGATGGTTGATAATCCTCGAGTTGTGTAGCCGTTGTGTAAGCACTGTGAGATTACTTACATGAAAAACTAAAGGTCGGTCCCACAGAAACCCAGTGTTCATAAACACATAATTAAGTAGTAAGGCGTTCTTAGTAATATGATCAAAATAAGCAGCAACGTAAATCTATTTTTTTCAGCATTCTTTATTATCTATGTGAACCTTGTAATACTTTCTGATCATTCAAAGGAAGTGGGTGTTTCCTGTGAGGAATTATCTCTGATAAGTATAATCCACAAAATAGTATGAAGAAATCAGGTTATATTCTTATTATATTTGATGGGAGAGTACATTCTCTCCTTCGGTTTGTATTAGTTTATATACTTAATAGCTTGTGAGTAAAAGGTTTTCAACTGAGATACCTTACGTTTTGGCCTTCTTATATTCAGTTCAGAGTGACTCGATCGCTTTTGAGCTTCAGAAGAAGTATTCTTGTCATTTATCATAGGAGTACGACCTAGTCGCTCAAAGCTATATTACCTGTCTTCACTCTAACACCGTACTAGTGGTTGGTGCTTACCCTCCAGTGACCAATCAGTATACCTAACTCAGTCTTGCAGGAGACCAATCGCTACCCGAATATCTCAGTAGTAATATCTCTGACTGCAGATGGGACATCAGTTCCACAGAGTTTGCAGGTACTCCTTGCCGACGAATGCCAAAAGACGCAAAACCTAGTTCCAAGGTTTCCTGACGATTGCCTCCATCCAAGTGACGCCGTACTAGTCTAATTGGTTATAAATTAAATGTACTGTATACATACAGTTTATAAGATCTAATTAATACTACTTTTCTTCTAGCCGACGAACTCGTAAACGAACGGCTAACATGGCAGGATTATCCACTAAACAAAGTCAACCACAAAAGTTAATTGATCAAGTTGAACTGTTTGAAAATGGTGATAAACCAACAGGAGTGAATGAATCATCTGAAGTGATAAAACCAATTGATACAATTGAAAAAGTTTCAGATAAGTCAAGTCAGCCGCCTAATATTTGTTTAATTTCAAGCAATTTGAATACTATTTCATCACAAGATGAATTTATCGATCTCACTTCACCTGATCCAAATGTGGAAGAAGAAGAATCACCTGAACCATTATCTAATATATTCACTGACAAATTAGGTGGGTATCTGGTTTTAGTAAAAATGTATTTTGTGCATAAATATTATGCTTCTCATACATTCTGTTATGGGGTAGCCTACTATTGTCTCTACTGTTTCTTGTTCTAACTAAACTCAAGGTATCCTTGTGTAATGTTGTGTTCTATTTCCCTGGTAGAAGTCAATGATGATTCAACAAGGAATTTCGCTTTGTTATATGGGTTCTGTTGGTGATTTAATGGCTGCATTACATGTCGTACTGACGAATCAATATGATTTATTCTCTTTTGTGTAATCCTTGACTGTTGTATGGAGTTAGCTAGCGCATTGTCTTTGATAGTCATATGGATATCTGTTGTGTTGGGATTACAGGTTATCCAGGGCAATAAGTAGCAAACAATAACAAACAAAACAACTCCCCAATGTGTGTAGTTTTCAATGTTGCTAATTCACTGTGCACCTACATACTGTGTTAATTTATGCTTGAAAGACGCATTATTCTCGTTTAGCATGAGAGAAGATTATGTTACATTTGTTCTTCCACCTGCAGTATTTTGTCCGGTTAATTGTACGCTCTCGGCCAATTAGATCACATCTAGATGATCAGTTATGGGATCATTATAAACTGAACTACCTTCTTATAGACTGATGATTACAATTAAACGGATTGTAGGAGAATGTAAATAGATTATCGATGGAAGATGTTTGATGCACTTTTGTGAAGGGTAGGTAGAGAAAGTGAACAGTTAAACTTGCTTGGGCAGTTGGATCAACCTTGGTGGGTCAGTGACCGACGAAATCTCTGTATAGATACAAAACTCTCGATTGACTTTCACCAACTCATGCCATTTGTGGCAACTCCGCAATATCCGATTGCCTATTAAGGGTCGAATGTACTGTGCTACAATTTGCTCGGTTCTATTCTATGGCTGTGAAACATGGTCATTGAAGGCAGGGAACATGAGAGGGCTTCAGGTGTTTGACCACTATTGCCTTCGTAGCGTAGGCCGTGTGTCATGGTGTTACCATGTGAGTAAAGCAGAAGTCAGGTGTAGAGTTTTAGGGGGAAGTGGAGAGGTCATTTGATGCGGTTGTGAACCTTCAGCAATTGAGATGACATTACGTGATAACGCAATGTTAACTGAAGTGAAAAAAGGCTCGGTTAGGGGAGGGGGTGAGTCTCAAAGACGGTGTCATTGTATAAAATCTTTGACTGTTGGTCTAAGACATGTAGGGAGATACAGACTGGGTGGTTGGGGTTCACACGACAAGAAAAACCAGTGGTTAGAGGATTCTATGTGAAATGGCTGAGAATCGATGTCAGTGACACAGATGTATCCACACATTGCCTCATCTTAATCGCTATTCTGAATTCAGGATTTTCTCACTCTCCCTTCCTCTCTACTACTTTTGACCGATCCTTTATTTCTTCATCTTTCACTTTATTGCTTTGTTACTTCTTGTACTGATGTAAGTTGTAGCAACTTGGACCGTTATGCAGTAATGCCTGAATGTATGTTGGTTTTGATTGATTGAAAAACAAAGTGTTCATAGTGAATTTGAACTCGGCGGATGTACCGAGATTCCACCTCACATGTTAAGTAATAAATTAATTTTGTACGTTTGTATTTTCTTTACGTAAACCAAAATTATCTGCACAAGTGTGTGACTTAGTCGTGTTCTGTAAATGTAAAATACCTGTAGAGAGGTAACTTTGTTCTTAAGTTATATTAGCATGAACAGAATTACTACTAACTATTCGTTTTCATCTTTAGTTGTATTGCAACTCACGGTTAGCTATCCTCTGAGATGATTACATCTATTATTGGCAGGAAAAGTGATTCTGTTTTCTTCAAAGCACATTACCTATGTTATTATCCAACGAAATTCATGCCAGCTTATTTTCACTGTTTATGCATACACTTTACTTTGACAGTTTTATGGAAGAAATGCGTTGATCGGTGTCGTTGTGCTTTAGAATTGGTACTTCAACGACTACCTCTTCATTATAAAGCAATGTATCAGTTAGCTTCATTATACCTACATGCTCCTCATTTAAAGGTGAGAAAAAAAATGAGCTTACTTTATTAATTCATGTTTATTTTGAATGTTTTCGGATGACTTTAAAGGTCACCCTAGAAGCTCCTGAATAGACCAATCAGGTTTCGGTATTTATCCTGGCAAAGTACTTCATCATAAAATAAACGAATGTGATTTGTTACCTTATCAGTTGCTAGGGTTGTTTTTAAAGTCGCTCATGTTTTCGCTGTCTGATGAAGACTATTTGTAGGTCAGGGGATGATCTCAGTGGTGTTATGTTGTATGAGGTAGATGGTTCAAATTGAAGTTAGTGCTGATGTTATCTAGATAGGTGATGAAATCTTGACAACTAAACTGTACAACTCAGAGGTCACTATATTTCCACTTTCTTCATGTTTATGTGTCAGCGGTCATGGCATGTTTCAAGACTAGTTAACATATAGATGTTTTTTTATATCGGTGAGTGATAGATCTAAATAATTCACTGTTTTACACTTATTCATAGTATCTCAAAATGTGTGCTGTTGTGAATGCCAACAATTTAAATTTTATTCTTGAGAAGAGGAGTATTTCAAAGTAGCGATGATTTACAGACTCATCCGAATGTTGTTTTAGGATGGATGTTGGTATATTTGTAATTTTCCGTTGTTACACTGGGTCAAATTCATTTACTTCTGTTGTCATATGTGGGAGCTTTTATGCGGATGCCTTTATATGTTACATGATCTTCCATTGTTATAATTTACTTGGTTATGGCTAGCAGTGGAATCCATGACGCGCGTTTCTTTCTGTTTGATACTCGTCAGTTAGATGCACTTTCACTCCAGTGAGTGTTGTTGTTCCCACTGGGACTCGAACCCTAGCATTCATCGCTTCGAACGCCAAAGCGTTATCCAATAATTGCGAGATGGATAACACTTTGACATTTGAAGCGATATGTAGTGGTTTTTAGTCCTAGTGGGAACAATACCACTCACTAGGGTGAAAGTATATCCAGCTGATGAGTAGCAAATAGGGCGAAACATGCGTCCCGGATTTCTCTGCTATCCTTAAATAGGTAAATTATAAAAGAAAGTAAAAGCCTTAGGTTGCATAGTAGGGGGTTGAACTCGCAGAGTACTGATTTGAGCCTCGTTATATGATTCAAGTTTATTTCTAACGGAATCTTCATCAGATTTTCGCTTCTTGGGCTTTTTTACGTTAAGAATTACTGACTAAAATTCCTTCTTCACCTCATGTTTGCTGCTCTTTTCTTTGAATCTTTTATATTTCTAATCTTTCATTGACATCAGTTAATTGGTTCTCATCAAGATCAAAATATCGGTGAACTAGTGGTTACAAATCAGAAATTACTAGATCTAAAATATAGTGGGTATTTGGTAATTTTTTATTATGTCAGTAGGCATATGAAATTGTCATCAACTTCTTTTATTTTTTGCAGGATTCCAACAAAGCGTTGGATATTCTATTGGGTCCAACAGAAGAACCGTGTAAACCATTATCCACTACCAATGCTGGTAATAACAATACCACTAATATCACTACCACCAGTGCTTCTAATCAATCCAATATTGGAGGTCTTTTTAAAGACAGAAAACAGAATAACTTTTTTTATGTATGTCATTTTCTTATTATTTGTTGATATCACTATGTTTGTCTGGAAGCTGTCCCACTACATACTACTATATTTAAAGATTTGGTTTTTTTGTCGTCATGAGATATACTCTAATAACTACTCATAATTTATTTTACTATGGTGATACTTATCAAATGTATCGACTGTTTCTGTCTAGCAGTACCCTACAGGCAGAATAAGATTTTCTTCAGATTTATTAAGTATTTTATTCGCTTGACTACCAGAGAAGAAATAGTGAATGAATGACTGTGTTTCAGATAGTTTTGTAGATGAAATGTATTTGTAAAATCCCAGTAACGTTTCACAACTTTGTGAAAATCGTTTCTTCAGAGAATAAAACCGGTTGACTTTAAAAGCCATCCTTACAGCTTCTGGAGTAACCAGTCAGGTTTCGTTAGTCTGACTAGAAAAGCAGTTTTTCATAAAATAGAGACGCCTAATTGGTTATCTCAACAATTTCTAGGGTGACGTTTAAAGTCTATTTATTGACCGTAGTTCAGTTGGTAGAGCATTGGGCCACAAACCCGATGGTTGCTGGTTCGAATCCGGCCGCGGTCCAAATTTTCATTTAACGTTTAATCATAACCCAGTATAAATAGTAAATGGGGACGAATCAAATCACATTGTCTATACATGGTAGTAATATGGGCGTAAATGTCATTGTTATGTTGGCCACGGTGCGTTCAAACCTGTGTCTTTGTCATCTGTTGTTAGTTTAGAGTTCAAGGTGGTGTGAATATATGCACATATGACTGGGTGTGAATGTGTGGGAAAAATACTCTGGATGATAAACTCAGTTTGTTTGTGCGTCTGCACTTTTGTTCTGATCATTGTATGTGACGTGGTGTTTTTTGGAAATACTATCCAGGTTGCTTGAGTAGTTAGGCCTTCCTTACTGTTGAGTGCATTAGGATTGTTACTGTGATAGATGGCATGAACCGCAATTGCCGACTTGATTTGTAAATCCTGTGGTTCTACAGGATTATTTGGCGGTCTTTTTGTGTAACTTGCATGTTCTTTAACCCGAATCGGGATTTCACGGGATGATTCCGTAGTATGATAGGCATCACAATCGACACAACCTAGTTTGTAGACACAATTCTGTGTGGAGGCAAAAGGAATTTTATCTTTTATGTGGACTATAGCATTTCATATGAGTCTTTAACTGAGTTAATGACAGAGCGTTTGAAAGGCTTTGGTAATGATACTAGATATTTAGATAATGCTTATATTAGAGTGTCATATGGACATCAGATTTATGAATTTTTGGCAATCCATAGAAACGTGATGTATAAGATTTTGGATATAAGGAAAACCATAATGTGTCTCCGATGGATAGTTTTAGTTCCTTTAAAAGCTGGTCTGTTTCTGTTTTCATCTCGTTCTTCATTGCTTAGCACTTTTCTAAAAATCCAATTTCTTCAACTTAGTCAACTCTATCAAGTCACATTTTGATCCTGAAGTTTATACTTTTATAAAAAGATTCAAAGCTGTACCTTAGTGATTAGCTGTTTAACTTTCATCTGATGGTTTTGTAGATTTATATTCTTCTCCACCGTAATATCTTCTAATCCGTCGAAGCACTGAATTTCCGATTACTAGGTCATGAGTCTGAATACGTCACCAGCTGAAATTAAGGGGGATAGATAGTATTACTAACACCTAAAGTGCATGTGTTTCATAATTTTTGGTACACGAACCTTCTATGTGGATGTTGTGTTACAATTACGGTCAGTGTGGTTATCGTCCAATAGATCATGATATTCTTTGTGTCTGAGTTGCTTTTGCCACCTCATGAGATAGTCGGCGAATTTTAAATCCATATTCATACATTCTATTTATTGATAGAATTTTTCATCGATAAATTTAGTTTATTTTTAGCGGTGTTACGTTAAATGTGGAACAAATTAATTTGATAAAACAGACTTTAGTAACGGGAAGATTGTGTTCCCTGGCATCGACAATTACCATTCCATTTACTATATGTGCTCAGTCCTTTTAATAGTTAATTGTCAACTAAATAAATTATGGTTGTAATGTCTATGGTTGCAAAACCTTGTGTCCACAGGTTTTAGACCTGCCTTTTAGGCTCGAGATACTCTTCATTGACAAGTGCCGGAAGATATGAAGCCTATATTCGCATTATGTCATCAAATGCTTCAATACCTCCGGTTCGTATCTTAATTGTGACTGAATATTATTAAGACTTTCCCGGTGCTTTTACATGCCATTTACAGATGGAATGTGTAAACTATTCGTATAATCAAACGTAACGGCTGATAATTATCATTACTTATTATTTGTCCTTTGGGTTCCTAGTAGGACATAAGGCTTAAATAGCACGTCACCATTCCACTCTCTTCTCTGCAGTCTTTTCATCCTGGCTCCAGGACTGCCCAGAAGCTTTCATTTCTTCCTCACACCATCTCCTCCATACCACCCTCGTCTCGGACACCCAACTCATCGTTTCTCATTTCGATTCAACTTGACGACCTGGTCTAGTCTGGCGCATGAGGTCCCCAAACGGTCTACTCAGCATATGTACTATCCAATCTAATCCAACCCAGCCCAATCCACCTCCACTTTCTTCTCCTGCATATTGGTTGGGCGATGGGTTCTTGGTTGGTTCGTTGCCAGTCAGCTAGAGTTCCTTGTTGCTTATTCTTTCTAGCCATCTGATCTGATCTGATCTTCATTATGGAGTGAGCGTGGGCGGCAGCTGTTGATGATGTTTGTTAAGTTTGAGTGGAGTGGAGTGGAGTGCACTAGATCTCCACCCTGACTTCAGATTAATGAAGGAAGACCGGTATTGCCTTTCCGATGCGACGGCTGATAATAATCACAATTATTTTTAAGGTATTATTCATGAGGGACTGACATTAGTTAGAGAACCATTGAAAACCTGAGAGCACTGAACACCTGTTTCGTCCTAATATGGAATTCAGCAATACACGCCCTCGACCCTACCAGGAATCGAAATCAAGACATTCTGGTTTCATAGCAAACGCGTTAACCATTCAATCACTGGATTGGAGTTCAGTGGTTCGCAGTTGTCTACTGCTGTCAATATAGCGTGACTATTCACCATAGTCTTATATTGGTCTCCTCTGAGTTCCGGACTGACTGAGCCAACAGGGCTTGGCTTCGCATTCGAACTTCGGGATATCTATCTCGAAGCATATCACTATTGAACACCATACAGCAATGTAGTTTGAGTTTTATAGGGATTTTATTTTTAAGGTTGTACTCATCATGAATTGACATCATCCGGAAAACCAATCAAAACTTGTGATGGTTGCGCTGTATTGTGAGTTGACAAAAGTAGGAAAGTGCGGACCGCTTAACTGTAGTCCGGTGACTCACTGACCAACACATACGTCATGAAACCCTGAGGTTCTGATTTTGATTCTTGACAGCGTCGTAGGTACGTACTGTTGAGGAGTTTCGTATTAGGATGAGACAGCTGTTCATGTTTTTAATGGTTAGCCAATTGATGTCAGTCTATGATGAATACTCCCTTAAAAATAATATCCTCCCTAACCTAAAACTGCACTATTTATATGGTCTGCAACTTGGTGATCAAGATGTTTGTTTGTTTGTTAGCACTTACATCGTGATCTCAGGCGCAAACTGTCTACTTTGATCCCTGGTGACTTCATCTCTTAGAACATAGAAAGTGAATAACTTCCAGCCTACTAACTAAATTTGTGCATTTCTGTTGAAGTGCATTTCTTATTTTCAGTTTTCCATTTTTTTTATCATGCACTAAGCCTATTCGAAACACCGAATACTTGTTCCTTGATATGTCTTAAAGTATACTACTGTTTGGTTAATTATTGTAAGTATGACTTCGCTTTTGTAAATCTTTCCTGTCTGCCCTAATACTTTTAATTATATCACTTATTCCACCTCATAGTCTGGTTAATTCTTGTTGTCATTTATTTTGCTGTCAGGGTGTTTGGCGTATACCAACAGCTGATATCGATCGTAGTGGTAATTTTGCCGCTCACATGTATCGTTCTGTTTCGTTGACTTTATCTTTACTTCATGATCGAGGAGATTGGAAGCGTTTAGTGCATATATTTCATCAACTGAGAAAGCAACCTCCAGAAGAAAAGTTAGTTTTATATTTTGGAAAATATAATTGTAAAGGATAAGATGTTTCCCCTGAAATATTATTCCTCTTATTATCAGTAATCTAGTGATGTTTAAAAAAATGCTTTGGTGGACAATTTTTTTCAAAACATTTCTACTTTGAACTATGCATCTATAAATTTAGTAGTGTAACTTTGACAGCGGGGTGATAAAAGGCATAGTAGAGACGGTGAGCACTATTGGTAGGGGAAGTCAAATTAACTTTTTGTTTAAAGGATAGAAGAATAGTGATAGCTTATGGAAAACGAGAAGTGATATTTCAATGAATACATACCATTTTATACTGACCTTTTTAGTTTTATTGAGGTGGTTTGATTGGATCAACATCTAAGCTTTTGGCTCACTTCTCTGCAACTTTATATCTTCCATACACACTGGTCCGTTAGCCACTTTAGTGTGGATTTGTGGTTCGTTGGTTTGAAAAATTGAGTTGCGGGTTTGAACACCGCTCGGCTTGTTTAGATTTAGGCATCCAAATAGTATCATTAGCCCTTACACAATAACTGTAGCCTACTGGATGAATATGCAGAAAGTTGCTGAGTGGAATTCGATTAGATTTTTTTCGAATCAACTTAGTTCACATACTCTAGTCACTTATTGTGGAGGTTCAAATGCTTAATTTTGGTTATACAATTTGACATTGGGCGATGGTCGTGCTATGAACTGACAGAAGTTGGAAATACGGACCATTAGATTCCAACCCATTGACGTAACGGTAACGTGATGGCCGCGGAACTTGACGGTCCTGGATTCGATCCCTGGGTGGGTTATAGGTACGCACTGCTAAGGAGTCCCATACTAGGACGAAACAGTTTTCCAGGTCTCCAATGTTTTTTTTAACTGATGTTAGTCCATGGTGAATGCGAACTTGAAGTTCGATAAACGCTTCGCTTTGGTTTTATACATCGATTCTGAATGACAACGATACCAGTGTAACGATCAAGTGGCTTGCGTTTGTCTTCTATAGCAATGCCTTCCTACGCCCCAACAGTTTGATTTTGTTTGTGATTTCAGTGTGTACAGAGTGAATAGGCAGTGGTAAGAAATGTAAAGTTAAAAAAAATCTGAAGTGCAGTGCTTTACATATATCCGTGTTTTGCTAATTGTTCAATAGGAGCGCATGCTGTTGCTAGAGCAGTTATTAATTAGAAGGGCGAAAATCGCTTGATGGAACTAAGGAAGTGAAGAGATAGAACGATGAGACAAACAGTCAATTTTGATTAATAGTTGACTATTCTTCTTATTGTAGACGATATTCTCCTGTTGAAGGCATAAATGACCCCTTTGATTTTCGCTGCACTCTGGTTTTTTTTGACTAAGTGATGAAATATTATGACTGAGAATGATTGGTCTAACTCGATGTTATTCATTAAATTAGATTGGCGGACGCTATTCTTAAATTCCATCATTCATGTTTCATGTTAGTATGTGTTGAAGCTGAGTACGAATGAAGTCTTTGAACAGCGTTTGTTTTGATCTACAATATTCCTTTTATGTGTACAGCTGATACCAACAGAAGACAGTGGGATTGAAAGTATATTAACTTCAATCGAATGTTGCTATTATAGCTGAAGGTTTGGTTGTTGATATACTCTTTTAAGGACCTTGACCAGGGGAGACAAAATAGCATATTAAAGGTGTAAAGTGAATCAATCAACTTTAAATATCTGAAACCGCGGTAAAAACAAGTAGTATTTGCATGAAGCGAAAAAGACGCGAAAATGTTTAAATTCTACAATGGAAATACGTACATAAACTACATTTTTAGGGATCAGATATCACTGACGGCATTACGAGTAAGTAAATGTCCAAATTTATATTTTTGCCATGATTTAGGAATATCGAAAGACCTGCATACATTGACACTCAACAGTGAAGATTGCAGATAAATTATTACCTTCATCGACTTTATAACATTTCGTTGTTACGTCTGCACATTATTCTTAATTAATCTGATAGTTTGTCATCATTAATTGCATTTACCTGCTATCTCTTTAAGTTATCAAGTAGTAGATTCTTTATAATCATCTATCACTTTACAATCTGGTATACTGGAACAGAAGCAAGTGTCTCGTGGCCTTATTGTGATGTCCTAGATTCCATGGAAATAAATGGTTTTGTGTATGCGTGACAATGATAGATACTGCACGTCTGCCTAATCAGAATGGATATTTACCAACATTTCTTTAATCTCTTCTAGTTTTGAAGGATCTGATAAAACATGACGGATTGACTTGAAGGCTTGAATTTGACTATCTACATGATGACTGTCTAGTAGCTGTCTGAGAATCCATCCGCAAAACCTTTTACTTAGCCACGGCCTAAACCTGATTAATAGTTTTGTTTTGTCTATATATCTTTGTCTTATTCTCCATAGTCATCTCAAGATAATACTGTAGAGGTTTTTGAATTATCTTCACAGTATTGCTACTAATATTAGTCGTATTTTTCTCATGACTACTAAGGAATTCATTAAATAGTTTAGGAGGGTAATTTTTGATGAGCGATGTATCTTTAATGTGTTTACTTTCTTATCTTATATCTTCTGTTTTACTGATGAGTTTTCTGGTCCAGTTACTTCAACATTTTATTGAGGGCACTTTAAGTGGCATAGGGTGAGGCAATTTGGTGCCTAAGTAATGATTCGATTGTGGAGGCTTTCTATAGACACTAATGTCTAAACTCCCATCTTGTTTTCGTTTAATTCTGCAATCCAACATCGCTAATTCTCCTTCATTATTTACTGATTCATAGGTGAATTGGTTTGTGTTGACTTCTGAAAATGTTTGTGTATAGGCTACGGTTTCAACACTTTAAATGTGCCATCGATACATTGGAACGATACCTTTGAAGCAGGACTAAATGTTTCGATAGCTCTCTGTTCCCAACTATCCATGAATATGTTTGGGGTGATAGAGGATATTTGTGATTCAGTGGAAACTCCTGTTTGTTTGGATTGTGGCCTTTAGGCATAGCTGGATTTCAGACATTATCATTCTGTAAAGTTGCATGGAATGAGAAAATCAGTGAACTTGTCTTTCTGTGGTTAATCGATTACACTTGATGTCAAAATTTTCGCTTCATAAACATTTCTTTCATTTGTTATAGTTTACGACTCTGTTTATATCGATCTGTTTGTAGTCTGTCTATTGTCGAATATTACTATAACACCTGAAATGGAATGAATACCACTTTATACGTGCATTATGCACACACCCCCTACACGCACAAGAAAACAAGTTCCTTAGTTTCTAAGGTATTCCCTTTACAGTTGTTGAAACGGTTCATCTGATAAGTAGAATAACCTATCACAACAGTTTCTTAAAGCGATACTTCTCTAGCTTTTTAATATCTTTATTTGTTTTCATTTTTAGGAGAGGATTCCTTGGTGAAGGTGATCGTGTTTTCCTAGCTAGACGTGCATTTAGTCTCATACAGCCGACACTATTCAATTGGTTAACAAAATTGTCATTAAATTTAGCGCATAAAATTACTGAACAAATTTCAAAAGATCATTCATTCGCATTCAATTCAGACATATCGTCTATGGTCTCCGATGGTTTTTTAACTGTAGAAACTTTAACTCAAATTTATCGACTACATTGTGTTTCATTTTCACGTAACTCATCATCTGGTGTATTAAATACGTCTACTTCGAGCAGTTTAAACTCAAGTCTGTGTTCACCTACAGCTACCTGTCCTACTAATACTGTTGCTGATACATCTTCATGTCCCTCGAATACACCTGGTGCGGCTAATGTTACCGCAGCTGAAACTTCTGGTTATGCATCAGTTCTGCAGTTAGCCTATCGATTATGTCCAGCAGTTTGGGTGAGCAGCTACATAGTCATACGTTATATATAGCCATTTTATATGATTTGATTGGAGATAATTGCTAGACAGCTATAGATTCCAACCTTTGTGCTTCCCACTACTTGTTTATAAGGTCAATCTGAAGCCACAATAGAGTTTCTGCCTGCTTAACCAGCACTTCAAATAAAGTAGTTGCAAGTTAAGGTGTTTCAGTCATGATTGAGAGAATTGGGTAAACTGATCGCTCCCTTGATGTTGACTGTTGTCATCTTTTCTAGTTTCGTATGTTGACTGAATCTCATCAATAAAGTTTACAGTGTAGCCAGTAGGCTGAATAACTTGGCATGGTGATCCCTGTATTATATATTAAATAGTTGGAAGCAGTGTAACTGGCTGTGAAGTGTCTTCATCCAGTGACTTCCATGGTTACTAAGATGTTTTTCAAATATTTTTAACCTTCTGAAGGGTGAATTAATATTGTTGTTCACGTTAGAAAGTAAGCGATTGACGATGAGGAGATTGTTTTTGAGCGATTTTCATCTAAATTCTAAATTCATTTGTTTGTTCGTAATCGATTCATCATTATATTTAGTGTGTATGAACAACACTCTGTCTTTTTTTACATGGAGCCTAACCCATTTGTAACAATTGACTCGTTTGTGGTTGGCAGTGGAACCCATGATGCGCCTTTCGCCCTATTTGTGACTCGTCAGCTGGATGTACCTCCACCCTAGTGAGTGATGTCGTTCTCATTGAGACTGGAATCCTGGCACCCATCGCTTCAAATGCCAACGATTTTACCACTAGACTGCTTAGTCACGTTAGCCACCTCTTGTGTGGTTGGTAACAGTTTTCTTGTGAGTATTAAACAAGAGTGTTTTTGTGGACGAAACATTCCTGACAATACACATAGTAATACTGGGTGATGATTAAATGTAGGATGTAAGTTTGGATCACGGTCGCATTTCAACTAGCGACCACCGCGTTCCAGATCCGGTGCTCTACCAACTGGGCTGCGAGACCAGATTGCTGACCAAATTTTTACTTCTCTCCACTAACCAAAGGTTTCACTCGACTACCATATGAATTCGTGACGTATTACCAGCACTTGATCGTACTCACACTGGTGATTGAAGTGTAATGAAAATCTGGTCAGCAGTAGGACATTGGAGCACCGGGCCGGAAATCCCGGTGGTCGCTGGTTCGAATCTGGCCGTGGTCCAAGTTTTCATTTCACCTTCAATCATAACCCAGTGTCAGTAGCTGTCTACCGAACCACTGCTATCTCAGATAGTCAAAATAATGAAAAATATGTTGATATATTTTAATCATTGTTATTCATCAAGATGTATTCCAAAGTAGTTCGGATATAATTGAGTATCTAGGGAATTTACAACATCTGTTAGAGATTGCAAATCTCCAAAGCCTCAATTTTTTCCTGATGATATTCATGTTAGCTTATTGATTTAGACAATGTGACTTTCAACCGGCAAGTTGGATGTTCTAACCCCACTCATTTATGCCTGGGTAACCAGGTAGGAACCATCACGCTACTTGGTGGTGCATGGATATTCACATAATCACTTAGTTTCGTTCTCTACCAAATGGTTTCTTGTATGCACAAAACCTACATTTATGAGCTCATACTGATTCGTTTCATACAGTTAGCATCCAAGATTTAGAACGTATGAAAGATTGGTGACATCTTTCTTGTTCTTGTATGAATTGTCTGCCTATAAATAAAATTCTATGCTGTGTATATTTCAATCGTATCTGCACAGAAACATGTTTAGAAATATTGAACTCTTTTAAACGGTTCCCTTTTTTTGATTTTCCACTACATAAATTTTTCCTTTTTTGTACACTTGTTATCTGAGATAACGAGACCTACTGATATCATGTATGAACACTTTAACAATAGTCTTTAATGTTCATTCTTGATGGTTGCATGAGTGGAGCTTGGGAACGGTGAGCCCGAGAAACCAGACGGGCTTTAGACCTGTCCATTAGTATGTCAACCAAATATTCACATTCCAGAACACAGGCAAGCCTATCGACGCCCGACAATAGTTGTATTTTTGGACTTGAAGGCGTTATTCGACTCTGTCGATCGAGAAGTCTTAAGGTAGCGTCTCTCACTGGAAGGAGTATCGAGTAAGTACATTATCTTATTGAAGGCTATTTACTCTAACACATGTGGATGTATTAGGGCTTATGGTGAAATGTCGGGTGAGTTGTGTACGTCGGGTAATGTCCGTCAGGAATGTTTAATTTCTCCATTCTTATTCAATTTTATCATAGCCTTTCTTATGGTGGTCTCCTTCTCGTCATCTGATGACACGGGGATCGACCTAATCACAGGAGGATTTTCGGTGAACTTAAAATATACAGATGACATATTCCTGTTAGATGAAGACTCTGATAAGATACAGAGTCTTCTGGATACATTGAGTGGCAATTTGAAAATGTTTGGGATGGGTTTCTCACCACCTAAATGCAAATGTTTGCTCCAGGACTGGTCTTCAACGATACACCGGTTAATAATAGAGAATGAAATGGTTGAGCGCGTCGAACATTCCACTTACCTGGGAAGTCGGATCATTACTGGTTTTTTGGTTGGTAGCCGACGAAATCTCTGCACGAATACAAGAGGCTTGACTAGCTTTCATCAAATTAGACCATCTGCGGCGCCACCTCAATATCCGATTGGTTATTAAGGGTCTAGTGAACTTTGCTACACTTCACTGTGTTCTACTGTATGACTGTGAAACATGATCAATGGAGGAAGAGGACATAAGAGGGCTTCACATGTTTTACTACGGTTATTTTCATAGGATAGGCCATGTATCGTGGTGTCACCACATGAGTAACGCAGACGTCAGACGTAGAGTTTTAGGCAGGAGAGGTAAGACAGTTGATGCGGTTTTGAACCTGCATCGACTGAGATGACTGGGACATGTGTTACGTATGCCCTGCCACCATCTGTCTTGGCGCACAATGTTGACCGAAGTGGGTTCAGGCTCGAAAATGGCTCTGGGTGACCAGAATAAAACATAGCATCAATGCATGGAGTCCTTGACTGTTGGTCTTAGCAATGTAGGGTAATGCTGACTGGGTTTTGGGGGTTCACAGGAAAGTAGAAACCAGCGGTTGGGGACTCTAGGTGAAATGGCTGAGAATCGATGTCAGTAGCAGAGATGCATACACACATTATCCCCGTCTTAATCGCTAAGTTGATCTCATCTCATTCTTCCTTCGTTTCTTTCTTTTTCTACTTTCTTCTTTTGAGTGATTTTTTTCTTCATCTATTTTACTGCCTTGTTACTTGATGTGTTGATATAAAGTGTGGAAACTTGGACCACTACACCGTAATACCTGGTCTTATGTTGATTCGATTGGAGGTGTAATTGTATACAAAATACAGGTTCATTTATGTGCACAGTTGATCTTAGTGTATCAAAACTATTCCTGGCGGTCATTATCATTAATTCGTGACTCCTTATGCAATCACTTAGACAGTTACAAAATTTCCTCAAAATTTTCAAGTAAATGTAACTGGTTCTGAATATTTCTACGATTTCTAACTTCTTGATATATCTAAGAAGTAGATTATATAATTCCTAGCGTAATACATTTCTTGAAAAAGCTTCTTATATTTACCACAGTTGTTTTTTTTCACTATTTAATCTTACAACTTGTTTTCATTTGTTTGACTTATATCTACCTTTTTGTTTTAGGATTCTCGTGGTCCTTTAGTTCCACTTGACTGGGTTCTAGAAAGGTGTAGTGAATTGGCTGCTACAAAATCTTTAATAGGAATATCTGATAGTTCAAGTACGATGAATAAAACTTGATCAATATATCCATCCATTGACCATTAAAATTAGACACGGTTAATAAGAAACATTTGTATTTGATAGATTAAATTCGTTTTAGGTGATAATGTTAAAATTCCCCTTTTGTACATATATTAAAGTATGATTTGTTTTGGGTTCTTTTTGTGTAAAATGGTTCAGTCAAAGATATTTCATCACTAAGTGACATGATTTAATCAGTATTTACTTTTGTGTATTATCCTGTTATTTGATGTAGGTAGGAAAGGCAGCCTTAGTAAAATTTGAGTGGTATCTGGATGAATAAGTTGAATTGAGCAAGGTGATAAGAATGATTATTATTTTGGAATGTAAATTGTGCACTATCATCCATATTTTGTTTGGCTTGCGATTTTGGCTCAGTAGTCAGTGTGAAAATGAATATAAGATCAACAATAGGAAACTCGATCATTGTTTTTTTTGTGGAGCTGAAGGACATGTATTCAATTGAACTTCAGTCGACCAGCATGATTTTAAATTCAGTTGGTATAAGTTAGGAATGTGTTCTAATAACTTTATCGATTCATACGAATGTTACAGGTTGTCTTGTTTGTATTGTGTTGTCTGAGCTGGATTAACTAATCGTGGGGCTTTCATCATCTTTCTAGACCACATCATCAGCACTAACTTCAATATGAAGTGAGCTGTCAATATCTCTCAGTCAGTGATTTAGTAGCTTGCCCTGATAAACTGGTTTGTGATTGGTTGTTTCCTTCGAATATTGTGTCATTGGTTGAATAAATTTTCTTGTTGGCTTTTCTTCTGCTTGGCCTCTGAGCTTTCTGTCATTTATCATTTTTCTCATTTGTTGATAGATTGGGTTTATGTCAATACATCTATTGATTGCCGACTGACTGACCTGAATGTCAGGCTTCTAGGAATTCACTGATTATCTTTGCGTTTCCTCACTCCGTTCAAGATATTTGCTTTGTCAAAATTGAATTCATGTCTATAAATGTTATCCACATGCATTGAAATGAGTGATGAAATGTCGTGACATTTAATAGCCGTTTGGTGTTCATGTAAACGAAGGTAAAGACGTCTACCATTTTGTCTAATGTAGTGTTGACTACAGTTATTGCAGTTGATTTTGTAAATGATATTCGGTTTGTCTTCTTTGGTTGTTTGTTCTTTGGTCTGCATAATAGTGTTTAGAGGGAATTTGTTGGTTTATGAGCCACACCAATTCCAAGTGGTCTCAGTAACCTTGTCATAATTTCTAACATATTCTTTATGTACTGTAGGATGATGCATTTGTTGATTTCTGTCGATGACTTTATAGTTGATGATATTGGGGGATAAGCATCTTCTGATAAAGATTTGCAGGTAGCCGTTCTTTAGGATGGACATGAAGTAATTTTCTTCGTTTCTACGTGTTGTTGTGCTGCAGTGTGTTCTCGCTCTTTTGAATTGAGTATGCACGTAACCAATTTCATGCGTTGTTGGGTTGTTGCCACTGCAATAAGAATAATGATGAACAGCAGAAAGCTCAGAGGTCAAGCAGAAGAAAAGCCAACAAGAAAATTTATTCAACCAATGACACAACATTCGAAGGAAACAACCAATCACAAACCAGTTTATCAGGGCAAGCTACTAAATCACTGACTGAGAGATATTGACAGCTCACTTCATATTGAAGTTAGTGCTGATGATGTGGTCTAGAAAGATGATGAAAGCCCCACGATTAGTTAATCCAGCTCAGACAACACAATGCAACCAAGACCATCCAACTGAGGTACAAATATTCTCCACCGATACAAATTATGTTAATAAGAATAGTACCACTAATAATAATGGCAGTAGTAATATTCACTGCATATCAAACAATTTGTGGTACAATTTAGAATTCTCAACATTATATATTGCAACAACAACATATATGTATGTATATACTCTTTTACAACATTTCGAATAGCGATGATGGGCAGTGGCTAGCAGTGGAATCTAGGATGCGCATTTCGTTTTATTTGGGACTCGTTAGCTGGATGTGCCTGCTTCCCAGTGATTGATGTTGTTCCCACCGGGACTCGGACTCGGGACTCGCGCTTCAAACGCGAGAGCGTTATCCACTACAAGCAATAACACTAAATTTCGAGCAGCGTTTTTATAAAAACTTAAGCGATGTTAAGAATATTAATGACGAGAACATTCTACATTGTAATTAAATCATTGAAATGAGATTGTTACCTTTGACAGAATTGTTTTATGAGTTCTGTTCTAACATTTTTTTTCTCACATAAAATGCATACTAGATAAGATACAGTGGAATGCTTGTATTTAGCTGTATGAGCACACAGTCTTATGTAGTTCCTTCTTGTCCTCTTTGAAGGGATGCAAGGCCAGAGCTGTGAAGAAGTGGATGCTTAATGTCAAATGTAATCACTGTAGCTAGTTGCTTGCTAGAATTTGATTGTCTGTCAACTACTCTGTTAATCAGTTGGGTCCGAGGCACAGCACTCAACCTACCGATGGCTTTCAAAGCCCTACGTAATATAAGATAGTCTTTTTTTAGTTGGCCAAGAAAGATCAACGGGAAAAAATAGAGAAGAATAGGTATAGTGCAGAGATTAATAAATTGTAAAAGTGGAAGTTGAGTTATGCTGAAGAGCTTCAGTTTTTTTGTGGTACATTAAGCAGAAGATTTTTTTACAAGTCAGCAAGATGTGAGACGACCAAGAAAGATTGAATGTGAAACTCAACCCAAGATAGTTAACACTCGATTTATTTTGTGTAGAAATACCATCAATGCAACAGGCGTCATGGGACTTAAACAACTCTCACAAGTCTTGTTTACGCCTAAGGCTAAATTCAACAGTCTAACATTTCGAAGGGTTTGTTTGGCTTGAAGCTATTTGAGAAAGTCCATTGGTCAATAAGAGACAAGAATCCATTTAATTCAGATCAATCTCAGTGAGTGTTAACTGGAATAGAAATTGTCAGGTCATCAGCATGCTTAATAAAATTAATTTCAGCAGAATAAGGTAAATCATGTAAAAAGAACGAGAACAGAAACGGAGAAAGTTTTACATCTTGAGGCACACCAGCTTCACTAAGCAATAAAGTGCAGTGCTTCTCTTTATAGAGAGTATACTCTTTCGTTTCAGAATAATAAGAATATAGCCACTTTGGCTGTATATACAAGTTACATTTGACATTACTACTACAATGAAGCTTAAAGTATATCGTTCATTTTATGCTCTAGGGTGAACTAAGCCTGATAGGTACCTGACTTTACCATTCATTCACTAATTAATTCAACCTACAATTCATTTCAAGCGCAGTGATCATTTCCTATTAATGGAAGAAACTATCACGATTTACAAGGGCTCAGTGCGATACTATTTTGCTTGAGGATATTTGCATCCATATATCATGAAAAGAGATTTATTTATGCTTATCAGTTTGACTACCTCAAACAGCCGTGATTTGGCAGGATTGTGTTGATACTGGTTGATGATATATTATCAATCAACGGGTTTCCGGCTGGGTGCTCTACTAACTTAGATACGGGAGCCTACTTCCGACCGGATTTTTGTTTCACTTTAATAACCAAGGATATTGCCGACTACCCTTTGAATTCATGACGTGTTACTATCACTTGATCATACTCACACTAGCTGCTCACTCAGCACTTTTTATCTTGAATTATGAAGGGAGAATATCAGTTTAAGCTGACCCAGAAAAAGTTAACAGTGATTGAAAAAGGGCGAGGAGTTATTTTATCTTCTGTAGATAGGACTAGAACGGAAGGTTTCATGAGATTTTGAGGCGAATGACTCAACTTTATCATAATATACCTTGGTCTGAGACTTTGAACGGTATGAACTGTGACAAACATGTACACACATTAGACCATCACTAAATCATTTCATCATTCTGTGTGAGTATGATTTCGCTCATTAAAGAAATTGCTCTAAGTATTTCTAATCCTTTTAGCGTTGTTTATCGGGTTAAATATAGTACGCCCAACAAATGAAGCTGCTATTCTAGCCAAGTGACCGACTCAGATTTTCTCGTCGATGTACACAATACATAGATTAGTTCCAGCTTTTCTATAGTACTGTGTCACAGAAACTCCAAATTTACTTTCCTACTGTTGACCGTTTGTCTTCACTTTTGTGGATATTCTATTTGAAGGCCAGTCAATGAAGTTACATGGTTTTCACAAAGTGAAACATGATCCACCCTTCGTTGTAGTAATTTTTTGTTTGTTTGAAAATTCAAACTATTGCTAGATAATCCCGTCCATGTACTGCAATACCAGCTGAAAAAGTTAGTAAGACAATAAAATATATCAGTGAACTTTGTATAAAAGAAGAAATTCTCAGGGTCTTTAGAAAATTAATCATCGTACTGGATGAGTTTGAAGTACTGAAGTATACACTTTCGGATATAATAAGTGGAAGAGAATATAAACTTTTAATAGAAGACTCTAATAAAGCGAGACCAGGTCCTTCACCAAGTCTGGAAGTACGTGAATCAAAGTTTTAACGGACCAATGGAATGTGATTACAGGTGTAAAGTAATCGACTATCGACTCAAAAGAAAGTGGTTAATCTCTCCTCTAGAGCCCCAACTGAAACAAAAGTACGTGGAAAAGGGATTAGACTTCATCACAGAAGTGCGTTATCTGAAGATGTCATAACTAGCATAGATGTGGCTCAGTAGGAAAAACAGCCACTGAACAGGTTAGAACACAGTGTACATTAACATTGTAAAACAAGACCGGCCGATATTTGATAAAACTAGAGATATTGTCCATGAATAATCTACAGTCACCTGTGTTCTGTTTGACTGAACAGTACAGTGTCGACTGACAAGACTAGTGGAGTTTGCTGTTGTCTTTGTATAATCTCTACTTCCGCAGCAGCAACTTCTGAATCAGTGAATATGCATGAGTGCATTTTCACAAGTTTTGAGTACAGTGAAAAGTGGAAGAAACTCAAATGTAAACTGACGAGAATTCTATACTGTGACCATGAACAGTACTGGGGAGCAAAGACTGAAGAAATAGAAAATTCAGCGGCGTTAAATAACAGTAGACAATTATTTAAACTTATTTAAGAAATGAGCGAAAAGGTTAGTAGTTGATGGGACCATAGCGTAAAAGGATGGGTCTTTGTTTCACTTACACTACAGACCTCTCGGACGATGGCCGGAACAGTTCAGCAAGTCACCGACTGACCGCTGTTCAGTTAGATCCTTAATGGGAAACCTGATATAGACCCTCCAAATCCTACCAGAATTGAGAAAGCTATAAGTAAATTGAAACGAGGAACGGCAACGTTGTCAGGTGAACTAGTATCAGGATTAATTAAAGATGGTGTCTTAGGAATTTCGACTGGAGTGCTTATTAGCTGAAAGGAGTTAAATGTGATCCTTTCTGATTTATCGCGATCACTACTTGTCACATTTTTCAAGCAGGGAGGGAAATTTTTATATGATAAATATGAAGGAATCTGTATGAAGGGTTCTGTCTCAGAAATTACGTCGTACGACTATTAAACGCGTAAGTAAAGATCAGACCCGAGAAATCCAGGGAGTTTTGGGGTGTGTCAACCAGATATTTACTATCTGTCACGCTCCTGAAACGTACGACTTAGCGATGCCTGACACTAGCTGTATTTCTCCATCTGTAGGCAACATTCGACATCAATGATCGAAAGGTTTTATTGTGGATGAC